AAGAACACGCGAATTGATGAGAAGTGAAAAAGTAAAGAAAACCAACGACCAAACAGGGAGAAAAAAAAACACTTTTAAAGACTAGATAATCAGTTAAATCAACAAGACAGAGACGGGATGGGAGATGAAGAGAGCAAAAAAACTATCGTACGAAAAATAAATGAAATATGTTACTCTCTCGTAGACAATATGAATTGTTTGCGACCATGCGCATCATCTCGCAGACAGTCAGCGTGCCATTCACTGTATGAATGTTGGTATTCAACAATACAGTACCAAATGCGCTGCTAACTGGTCATTTTCTATTCAACCACACAGCCGCCACACCAAAAACCATGATCCAGCAGATTCTCGACCATTTAAAATATTGGATATTGACATTTTGGCTTCTTTCTGCCATTTCTTTCACAACAACGCGAGACTGTTAGCCATGGCATGAATTTGCACTATCAATTTACAAGCATCGCATACGTTGTCATCGACGACCATCTTATGCATATGCATGAACGTAATATGGAAAGAGAGAAGAACGATGGAAATTTAAAAATGATTTATGACCTATCATTCAAATTAAAAATCTAATATCCTCCTTCTCTACCTCGCTCTCGCTCTCTCTCTCTCATACACACTCTCTTTTTAATCCGTTCTTTCTCTCAAATCGGGGCAATTGACTCGAAATTCATCTTATTTATGCAAATTCAACCAAAAGTCAATGTTAAATTAAGTAGCAAATGGCAAGACATAAAGAAAATAAATCTCGTTTATTATGATAGGCAGATTGGTCGAATCTCAAGCCATCACACATTTTGAAATCTCACCGAGTTAAAACACATCCTATGTATTAATATGTGTTTGCGAGTCAGTTGATAAGAAGGAAGCTGCCATATTATTTTGCTATTTCACTTTAAATCCCCCCAGAGAATCGTCCGCATTTGTCGTAAAAGATGATGTTGAATTTCATATTTATTCATGGTTTAAGGTACCAAACCAACTCATTCTTCGTCGTCCCTCAAAACGAATCAATTATGCACACGCACACACATTCACTGTGACATTAAAACACCCAAGGCACATATTCTAATGTTTGTATGTGTTGCATTCAGACGAGCCGATTTCAAAGAAAGTTTTGAGAAAATAATTTTCGTCAAGTAATTAACAGCATTCGAAATGAGACACGAGATGAAAAACGGGGGGAAAAAAACAAAATATACATATGGTATACTTATTTGCACACAAGGAATGAAAAACAAGGAATTTTAAAAATAACAAACAACATCTTTCTATCTCTCAATGGGCTTATAATAGTTTGTGCTCGTTGTGTTTGCTGTGCACGCATACTGTATGAAGGGCAGATACTCGCTTCGCAATGCGAATTGTGATGAAACGAACATAGAAAAACTATAAAAAAAATGCATGACCAAAATGTGAATGAGCCATATCAGCTGTGAACAATTTAATATCGAGTTTATAAAACACGCCTTGAACATTTCGCGCGAAAAAAAAAACAGCAAAGATAACATATTCAAAATGCGACTCAAAAATATTGAGTCAAAATATTTGAAATTTCAACAGTATTCGGTGATGCTTTAATTAAGAGAAAAACGAAGAAAAAAAATACCTTTTTAGACGATATGCGTGCATCAGAATATCGTATTTACATTTCAACATTACGAACAATTGACGCAAATAAATTGAAATAAACAAAAATTATATTGATGGTGACGTGCAAAGTGGTGTACATGGCGGCGAAAACGCGGTTCAATTGAAAGCCACCGGTTATAGAATCGGTTGTAATGAAACGTTGTTGCCGTTTATTATTATTATTGATAAACGCTCAGCTGTACAATAGCCGCAAATGAATTGTTGGCTTTATTGGCAGTGGCACAGACACGCAATACCAAACAACCACGTTTGTGCGTTCAACATAGAGGAACAAGAGTACGAGAAAGAAAATCGGTCGGTTTGTTTTTTTGAATCGCGATCGGTTCGTATTGAGTGTGTGAACATTTCTATCCTATGCACACAAATACACAAACGCACCCAAAACGCATATGCACGTATATACGCATCGACAGTAACCGAGTTGTGTTTTACAATAGTACAATAATAGCAAATGGCAAAGATAGACATGGACATGTAACAAAGGAATACATTTTTCGTTCAGCATTTTCTCTCTTTCTAACCTTTCGATTTAGCCACTGCTGTTTGGTACGCACAGTGTTTTTATTGTTGCCACATGCACAACAAGACGAAAAAATTGAACGTAATGTCCGTTTACAGTGCATTCATTTTCGGCTTGCGATGTGAAAATCGAAAGAATTAATTTTCACGCTCTTCTATTTGCGTTCGATCCCGACCTCGTCTATTCTACTCTCTAGCATTCCCACCATTTTAATTCTTTGCACATTAAATCTATTCGAATTTGACTTTTGATTAATTCTCACAATGATTTCTCTCTCTATTTTCGCTTTCTCTCTCTGTCTGTCTCTGTCTGTTCCCATTTGCACGCATTTCGGCTTCAGTATCGTCTTCCGTCTAGTTTTGCCGTTTTCATAAAAAGTTGAGTGTCCTTTTTTGGGTCGTTTCGAATTGTTTCCATTTCGATTTTGTTAAACATCAACACACGCACACATATGCGAGAGTGCGTATTGTTCATACAGACCCTACCGTTCTATCACTCTCTCGGTGTGTACATGTATTCTCTTATAAGTAGTTTTGTGTGCGTGCATGCACCAGGACTATTATTATACGCACGTATTTTTTGTTCTTCTAGTTTTTTCACTATTTCATCTATTCGGTCGATTGTATTGTTGGTTCACTTTTTTTTGATGATGGTTTAGCTCTTGATATGCATTCAACGTATCACACTGATGAAAAGTAAAAGAGAGAGTAAAACCGGGGAATCGATCCTAGAATATATCGCATATACGCATCGAAAATATTACGTGATATATTTGTAAGTGAAATCCATCCATACAAATATAAAAAAAAAAAACAACGAAAAAAGCAAAATGCGGCATAAAAAAAAAACTAATAAAAAATTAAAATATCCAACTCGAATGCGACCGAGGGAAAGAATTACGTAGTCATAGATGAAGATATTGTGAATAGACGCCGTATACACCACTGAAATACCGAATTAAAGAGAATCCTGCGTTTTTGATGATTGCCAGCGGGTTGCTTTTTGAATAATACTCTTTGTATTTTCTTAAATCGGTTTGAATATCAGCGCATCATTCGTTTCGGACCATTACATTGTTTACATGCTATCTCTTTCGCTTTAACGATTGCCACGCACTTCCGAAACTCACAAATCACTAAACGTTACTAGCTTCGTCGTCTATCGCAATAAAAAACAACAACAAATCTCTAAAACAAGACGAAAGTAGCAACTTTCTCATTATTAAACATAATTACAATAATCAAAGGAATTCCTCTCGGTAATTAAGTGGCTCGAATTGACTTTTGGGCTTTTTTGATACACCTTTCGCCGTTGACGACGATTCTAGTTTGTGTTTGTGTGTGTTTCGGCTCAATCTATAAATGTAAACCTAATCGATGATTTGCTCTATCTATATGAAAATTCTAATTATGACATTATTTTCAGATGGCTGATACGTGCAAAGGTGGATAGCCGAACAAATGAAATTGCATTTGTGTGTGAGTTTATAGCCCACAAATACGCACACACGACACGTATGCGACACAAATGGCTGCTTGTATTTGTAGTGGTAATGGCAATGGTGGTAGAAAAATTGAACTGAACGTGAGAACAAGAGAGATACATAGAGTGCGAAATATATATATATATATATATAATCCGGTCGCCCAGCATCATTTTCCAGACTTATCGCTCATACAAATAGCCAACTACACCTTTCGGCAGCCTCAACATCAAAGAGACTCAAGAAAATTACGTCGAGCATAAATTTTCTGCTTAGAACTCTTATTCAACACCCGTCTAAATTCAAACCACATGATAAATGAAGCGCAATCCAGGTTCAAGCACATCAATTATTTACAAAAAAAAATGCGTGCGTGTGTTTGTGTTCTCATTCGGTAATTTGTTTGATAAGTTTACTTTGATTTTTTCCGTTTCATTGTCAGCTCACGATTTAATGAATTTTCATATTCGTTGCTCATTTTAGCAGCAGCTTCTTCGTCTTACTTTAAACAACATACACGCACACACACATATTCTTCACCCCCATGAAATGCAAATGTTACATATTATTTCTTTGTCGGCGGAAAAGCGAAGCGAGTTGCATCCATTTTTCCATCAATATTATTGTGTACACAGAGAGTGGTGGCGTGTAATCAATTTTTGCGACAATGGTCGCACACACACAAAATGCTGCACTCTCAATCACGCGAGAAAAAATCTCTACCATCTCTCTCTCTCTCTCTCTCTCTCTCATAGTGCGTGCACAATAAATACACAATCTGCTACCACACACAGACACCAAACATCTGAATCGAAAATATATATATATATAAAAAAAACGCACAACAAAATATTTTGATTGGAAAATAAAATCGAATATGTGTAAATATATTATAAATGAATCCGGTAAATTTGTAATGTGCAAACATAGCAAATGATACAATTTACGGCAATAGATAAATTTCTTTGTCCTTTTGCATTTTCAAATACATTTCCCGATTTGGATATCACTCTCAAAACATTTCCGTGCCAAATTGGTTTTTTTTTTTTCAACGTGTATGAGAAGCTCTTCATTTTTACTCGTTATTGTTTGAAAGTTCACTTTTATTTATTGCAGCAACAACAACAATTGACCATATTTTGCGCATTTAGACGCCGGAAAATAAAAACCGACTGTTTGAAAAATCACTTTAAAGTGCATCAAATGAAACCGAACGACTCGAATCGATTGATGATGATGAAGACAATAAAAGGATAAGTTAACCAACGAAAATATTTAAAATACCATCCAAAAAACAAACTAGACAATAGAGTATAAAAAATGAATTTCAATTACTTTAGTGTGTGCCGTTGATTTGATGTCGTAAATCGATGCAATTGATAGACACTTCAGCTCTTTTTGTTTTGTTACACAAAAAACACACAATTTTTTTATGAGTGAGCACAAAAATTTAGAATCATAAATAAAAATGTTATTTATCGATATTAATTCACACACTTGTATCTTAAATCGAACTGTTTTCTTTTTATCAATTCTTTCTCTTCTCTGTTCTCTCGCTTGTTTTGATCACTTTGTAAAACTCTTTCTCTCGTTTCGTCTCGTCTCGATAAAATCCGTTTCGTACGAACCTTCACGGACAAACGCTACTCATTGACTGAATATGAAGCGAAAAACACCGTACATAACAATCGGGCACAGAGGAATCATACTATCCGTTGCATACACACATATCGGCAATCGGTTATAGCAGTGAGAAGAAAAGCCGCACATACAAACACTCTCTTACACACATACAACGAGATGAACACACGCATACGTTCTAGCGATACAAACCCAGAGTCAGTCGAACTGAATCGCGCGCACAGAACCAACGGCACACCGATAAAATACGATGTCGGTTCAAATTTCTGCTATTGTATTGGGTGTAATGCAAGAGGAAGAGCCAGAAAAAAAACGATTGCAAATCAGCCACGGTTCTATCCGTGATAAAAAACAATATGTATATTTGCGAATTACACACAGTTTTCGTGTATCAATCGAGTATTTCTATTGGAATAATGATGTGTCTATTACTCGAGTAGTAATTACTTTTTAATCTTAAGACTCTCTCTTATACTCGTTCTTATTCCGTGAAAAAAACGATGTTTCCGCATTTTAGTCGACAAATTTGAATTAAATGGTGATAATTTCGAAAAAAATCAGAAATTACGAGGTAACAATGAGAATGTAGAAAAAGAAAGATAGGAAAAAAGGAATAAAATGCAATGATTTGCATGCTATCATTTGCGTGTTATAATTAAATATGAACCAGGACTGATATTGAATACACATTTGCAATTTCTTTTATTTATTGCAAAAATTACCTCATCGCTTGTTTTATCAATATTTACAATTGGAGTTTGTTTTTTTTTTTTTGCTATTTTTAATATACGTATAACAATTGAATCTTATTTGAATTTACTGTCGACATTAAACGCACTCTTTTATCGTCGCCATGTTGTCTTTTTTTTCCTCCGCACTTCTGTTATGTGTTTTCATTGAACGAAATCCATACATACTGTTCAGAATCGTATGTGTCGAACACATTCTGTCTTTGTCTATTCAATTGCCTTTGGTCGCATTTGTTCGACTTCAATTTTGTGTAGAGTACAGAGAAAGAGAATGACATTTAGTTATCAAATGTGAACGAATCAAAAGGTGCCTAACGAAAAACACAAGCACACAAATTCAAGAAAATAAACGTGAATTTCTTTTATTCCTTGAACGGTAGCGTAAAGAATTCATTTTATTTAAATTGAAAATTGGTTTTGTGACAGCAACGTTGAGTTGCTTAAAAACAAATACCATAAACAATGTGCTAAATCCATTATATTTGACCTCGGATTTTTGGACAGATTTCCAACCAAAAATTACGATACACAATCCATTGGATAAACATCTCAAATCGGAAATTTTCTGTTTTTTTCGTGTGTGTTTTTCCGGTAAATAACAAAAAAAAACCACCACATAACTTAAAATCTTGCGATTGAACCTGTTTTGGTGAGTGGCTTCCGATTATTCCGCTCCAACGACACAGACGGGAACATTTTCTTTTCGAAATCGAATATCAAAAAGAGTTGAATTTTGAATAATCAACGAATTTTGAAAATGACACACGATCTATTGCGTATTATTCCGTCGGAAATTCCGCGACCCTCCAAACGTGGTAAATCGTTTTTTGCCAAAGGTGATTTCTTGTACTTTCATTACTGTTGTGATAATTACAATGATGTGGTAAGTAGATGAAACATAATGATTTTTGTAATAATGAACGCATTTTGATAAGAGACTTTTTTCAATTCTGTTAAACAAAGGGCTGGGGATGTGCCTATCGTACTCTTCAATCAATGTGCTCTTGGATAGCTAAGAATCGTAATTCAATGGATGTGGATAGTGATCATCAAATCATAGGCACCAATGACATTCCCTCCATCGAAGAAATTCAACAAACATTGGTCAATATCAACGATAAACCGCCCGAATTTCTAAACTCAACGGATTGGCTTGGCGCATTGGAGGTATGCAAATGACAATTTTCTTCATATGTATATATTCGTTTCATTTTCATTCTTCAACATTTTTTTCTTCGTTCGACGATAGATCTTCTATGTGATTGATACGATCTATGATATATCGTGTCGCATTCAACATATACCAAGCTGCCATGACATCCGAAAGTATAGCAATATTATCAAATTCTATTTTGAAAATTTTGGCGGTCTAATAATGATGGGCGGCGATTTGGATGGATCTAGCAAATGCATCGCTGGCATTCACGTCGTCGATAATGACGCATACTTGCTTGTTGTGGTAAGTATAGTTGTTTGATGCCATTCAAACCATATCCAAATGTTCTTTTTTTGTGTCTCCATATGTTTTTTTTTTCTCTATTTATTTCTTCAATTTTTTGAAACGCATATTATAATATATATATATATAATACACAAATATGAGCATAAATATATTGGCATTAATTTAGAAGCGATACACAGTATATCGGTGAGTGGACAGAGGGATGATACACGACTAGGGTTTTGAGATCAAATAGCAAAGCAAATAATTATTGTGAAATGTATGAGTCGAAATTCGAAATTCGTCACAATAAAATTCACGAAGGATGATGATTGACACTTTTTCGCCCTCAACAAAGCCGAACTGTAAAACAATTCGGACCACATGGATCACATTTAGCTGTGCGCTGTCTGAACGTCGGGTATTCGGTCCGATTTGATTGTTTTCTCTTTTCTTCTCAATGCAAATGTCGCTCATCTCATCTCAACGACAGATTAGGATACAGAATCAAAATGCCACGAAACGAACGAAAAGAATGAATAAAAAAATCTTATAATTTGTATTCAAACGTGCTGTTAATATAAGTTATAAGCTTTTTTTGTGTGTGCCAAAGGTTTTTATCAATAATATTTTATGTGATATACTATTTTTTTCTTCTATTTTTTTTTTGTTTTTATTTCAAATTATACATTCATTGATACACATTGGGCGTTCTCAATTTTTTTCTAAAATTTATTGATCAAAATAATGTAGACGCTATAGTTTATTGTTCTAATTCAGAATTATACAGCACATTGAGAAATGTCTAACCAATTATTTATTCTTGTCTCTTCGGTTTTTATGTTAGGATCCACATTTCGTTGGTGTACCAAAATCGGTTGACGACTTAATTAGCCAAGGGTACATTCGATGGCAGCACACATCGGATTTTGTCGATAGCTCATTTTATAATTTATGCTTACCTCAATTGAAATTCTTAGAGTGACTAATATACCATTACGTGCGATTTATATTTCGTTCAATTTTATTATTTTTATCAAATGTAATTATTTTATTATTATTGTTGTTGTTGTACGCGTCAACATGGATCTTCCAACGGACAAAAACGATTCTACTGAATTCACATTTATTTATCGGCTAAAATATATCGATGTCGATAAAATGCTCGAATTGTGTTTCTTGTTTATTTTTTTTTTGGTTTTTATTTTCAATCGGTGCAACTAATAAAAAATCGCAACAAGCAATCGGTTTGAAAACAAAGTAAACTCCACATGAAGCATTAAATTTTTTGAAAATGAAACAAAAAATGTTGAAACAAATGAATATTTTTTTGTGAAATTACGAAAATGAGGTGTGCTGTTCGGTACATTTATTTTTAGAATTTAGAAAGAGAGTTGATATTTTGACACAGAAAAAAGAATAATATGCAAAAAAGACATATAAAAAAATTGATAAAATTTTAGATATTGTTGACAACGTTAATAAAATAAAAAAAAGGTTGAATATTTGCAATAAAACTTTGAGAGTTTTTTTTTTCAAATTTCCTAATGATTTTTTTTAAATTGAAATTCCAGAGTCCTTCTCTTATTACTTCTCTGCATAAGACGATGTTTACTCCTCTTGGCATCAATTGAGTTACTCCACTTGAATTCGATTACCGTACTCCAACAAGCACTCTTTGATTGCTTGTTGTGTTTTACAATAGTCTTGAAATGGCGGAGCAATCACCTCGTCAAAGATGTTCATCATATCAATATACTTTCGTAGTGCCTCATCCATTTTCCCCTCGTTGAATAGACGCTTGGCGGTTTTTTCCAAAATTTCAGTGTCTTGGACAGATTTCAATCCTTTTAAAATGTTTGTAAATTCACCACATTGAATGCATTTGATCATGAATTCGTTGCAGTCCGATGGAATAGCTATAACGTTGTTGCATGACTTCTTGCCATTGCACCTGCGATAGAAAATTTATTGCATTATTTACTGTTACCAATATTTTTTTTAATTATTACTTTGACTTACTTGAATCGAATTTCATTCGTGTTCATTTCGTCGTAGACTGGCCAATTTTGTTGGCACGCTTCGCACGCACAACCAAACCAATAAAAGTCTTTCAATTTCTTTTGACGATCGGCTCGCGAATTTTGACTGTACAAAGGACCATAATTTTCGCATACTTGTTCACCCGGTTTCATATTTCGAATCGAAATCGCATGCACCGTCGTATTTTTGAAATATCTATCGATTCATTTTAATATTTTTCGTCAATTTCAAACGATTTAAATGTAATTCATTGATTTTAACTTACCGAACAATGCTGGGATTACATGAATGATTAAACAAGCACAATGTTGTGTATAAAGCAGCGCCGATTGCAACCGTCTGTCTGGCTCCTGTTTTGCTGGATTTTAGCAAGTCAAATACTTGATGTGAATTGAATTGAAGTATTTGTAAATTGCGTAAAATCAATTCACCGATAAAAATTCGATCATCTTCGCACATATCGCCGGTTTTTCCACTGATATCACTATCGAAATAATGATTTGCGTCCAAAATTTTCACCAAAAATGTTGCCATAAATGAATACTGCAAATAACTATAAGTGGGTCGCATCTTATCATGACAAACCATGCTATAAACACGTCGATAGTCATGCGATGGCAATCTATGCGAGAAATAAATAATTTTGGTTATGAAAAAATGCACCGAATTTTACAAAACATACTTGGTCATTTCTTCGATACTCATATCAGATTTTAATTGGTCGCGAATGCTTCGATAGTACGACAATGGTCTTTGCGATATTAACCGCATTGCCATTTGACAATTGATGGAAGAGCCCGAACTCCAAATGGACTCTAACATTCCACACTCGAATTTATGGTAAGTATAAATGGCTGCGTTGCGGCATTTTTTCGAGCAAAAAATCACGTCGATACAATTTGGACATGGCAGTGGAGTGATCGATCTATTTTTGGAAATCAACATTTTTGTCTTCAAAATTGGTTTAACTTAAACGAAAAAAATGTTAAATTGAAAAAAAAAAAACTGATAAATACCTCGCAAAACAGAATTGACAGTGAGATTTGGCGAATTTTTCAAAAAGCGTGGCACAGATGGCCTGTTCAACAAGTATTTCTTCACCACATTTTATTTCGTGGTTTGTTTTTACGAATCGCCCTTCATTTTCGTTGTAGTCAAATGTAACCGACTTGCTCAATTGTGTAACGGATAGTGCTGATGAATTCGCATTCTTCTTCGCGCAATTCATATTCATTTTCTTCTCATACTCTACTTGTTTTGGCAGCATTTTGATCATAATCTGTGCATCCTTCTCCAATTTACCACGTTTTTCCATCGGCAATTTTGATTCATCCAAATGAGTTATGGTTTCCCTTTGGCGACAAAAAAAAATGTTTACACTCAGATTCGAAGAGAATTCTCTTGAAATTTAAACAAGAAATGTGATAATTGTAGGAAATGTCTTACATAAATGCTTTCAGTGCCTTCTCATATGATTTCTTTGCTAAATGGCATCGTGCGGTGCGCTCTTTTAGTTTATACATCATTTCGGCCGGATAATTTTCTTCGGCCAATTCAATATCCTCGAGTGCGTGTTCGAATTTTTCCAAATGATACAGTGCTGCAGAAAGTGAAATGTCTTAGCTCAGGTGCCGAATGTGACATGATCGAACATTTGAATATACATACCTGCAGATCGATTTGCCAACAGAATCGAAATTTCTTTTGCTATTTTTTTTGATTGATGTAAAAGATGTCATGAGTTTTGATTGCTCTCGAAATCGGTAACTATAAAAAATCTCAATTTAAATACTTACCATTTTCTGGTGGCATCAATAGCAAACCTTTGTTATACGATTCAATTGAAGCGGTCCAGTTTTTCTTTTGAAACTCCCGATTCCCTCGCAGTTTATATTCGTTGGCCAGATCGTCATTTTTTATTGATTTATCATAGAGTGTAATTTGAAAATCTTTGATCACCGGATTATTTGAAATAAATTTATAACGTGATGCATCGTCTTCCAAATTGGCAAAGTTTTTCACTTGTTCGGCATTTAAACTGCTTTGTAATTTCTGGAATAAATCTTTAATGAATCCAGTTGATTCACTTTGTTCAGTGAAGCGACCCATTTTAAAAAATGGTTTCTCTTTCTCACTCGAAAAGTGAAATTTACAAACAACAAAATGCGACGAAAATTTTTGCGGAAAAACTTTTTTCGTGGGCAAAAATGTCAGAAAATATGTGTGTGTATGCCTGCACAGAAGATCGAAGAAACGGCACAAAACCGAAAGTGAAACTAAGCTTAATCTATTTTCGACCATACAATTTAACGTAAATTGTATTGCGCAACCTATTTGCCGAACATTAAAAGATCCTCAATACGCTTGCGTGACTCCAAACGCACGTATTTTGGTCCAAACGCTTGTGTTTCGGTGTTCTCCGTTCGTTTTTCACTTGCATGTTCAACATTTCAAAAAAAAAAAAAAAAAAAACAACCGATAAACCCTAGAAAAAACCAACAGAAAGGAAAACGGACACTCAGTTAATTTCCAAAGTTTGTTTATTTTTGTTTTTGTCTTGGTTGGTTATTGTTGCTTTTATTAATAAAAACCTTAAAATCTAAAAGAGCATAGTCTCGTTTCAAAGAGCCGCATAAGCTGCTTGAAGGCTTTGTTACTTAAATGAGAATGTGAGTTTTTTCTTTTTGTTTGCGACTGAATTCGTTTTCGCATGTCGTGACAAATATTCGCGTCGAGTTGAACTGGACCGTACATCGATGATGTTATTTATTTTTTGTACAATTTCTTCGGCCATAACAGGATTCGTTACAAAATCATAGTGTCGAAATGATGAGTTCACATCTAAATGTTGTGATTGTAGTGATGATGATTGTTGTTGATGATGATGGTGATGATGTTGTTGTTGTTGTGGTGTTTGTAATAGTGTGTCTGGCATTGGGCTATATACAATACGAATAACAGCTCGGTTTCGTGCATTTTCTTCAATTTCACACCATACAATCGATTCCATGCTATGGCTTATCGGTTTTTGGCGAAGAAATTTCGATTTGGAATTTTGCGGTTGTACCGGATCAATTTCAAGCTTTTCACCAGAGACACCAAGTTGTATGTCCGTTTTAAAAATGCCTTTTGTAAACATTTTCACGCGATACGAACGATACAATGGCGCTTCCATTAACAATGTATGGCCCTTCATTCGGTCCAAATCCTTTTGATTGGTCGATACTTCACTGACAATTGTATCTTGATTTGGGCTATTCAACGTGCTATCCGTTTCGGATATTGGACGACTATCTTGTCGCATCACCGTATCCATACTTGATCGTTTCACCAATGCCAAATGACTGAAACGAAATTTCGAGCACGGTTCACGCAAATCCAACGGTGGAAAATCATCAACCTCACCATCACCTTCCGTAATATATAAACCATAATTTTGAACAGATAGCAAAGGTACATCAGTATAGGTAATGCTGCATTTATAACAAATTAAACCGATAAATTCTTGAATGCGTGCCGTTGCCACAACACAAATGTCCATCGGATAGTTTTGTTGCTCTTTTGGTAGCATTGTTAAAAAGATTTTAAACGTTTTTGTTGGCACACTCATTTGATTACCATCGAAACGGGCATATGCTTGAAATTTATTCACCGGTTTTCGTCGTACCTCTTCCAAACGTTGGGCCAATAACGATTCAACATGTTCACTGCCGTTACCATCAGCATGACCATTTTGTTGTGTATTGGTTGTATTGAAATCAATGCGTCGCGTAAATAATTCATCAATTTCTGTTTCGGTGAGTACAGGTACATTATCTTCCAATTTAATGCTACGCACTTTCGATGCACGCCGTTTCGATGCATCCAATTTATCGAGCTTATGATTTGCTGAATTTGTATGTTTGCGCAAACCATAATCCGGATCCATTTGAATATCGTACGATTGTGATAGTGGATCGAGATCTTCGTCGTCACTGTGATCTAGACCCGGATACCATTCGTAATTTTCATCGATGGCCGTTCGTATATTATGATGGTGATGATGATGATGATGATGATGGTGATGATGGTGATGAGATTTTGACGATGAACTGTGACCAGTTGTCACTTGTGGTGTTTCACGACGAGATTTACACGATTCAATGTATCGACTTGGTAAATCATCTGACAACATAACGGCCTCGCACATGCCAGTATCATCGGTTGCTATATACGAATTTCGTATGTGCGACAATAACCAGTGTTTATTATTATATGTGGCCATATTTATTTTTTGTTATTCTCTTGTTCCTAATTTATTAATTCTTTTTGGTTGTAAACACTATAAAAACTATATTCGTTATATTTTGTACGATAGTTGAATGCATCCGTTTGGCATTCATTTAGAACAAAAATCGGATACGATTTGTTTTTCTTTTTTTCGTTTCGTTTGTTTTTGTTTTCGATGAACACACAATTTTTCTTATTATTATTATTTTTTCTTCTTCTTTTCATTCTGTTTTAATTCAGTTTGACAGTTTAGACCAATATTGTTCTGCGATTTGACAATTCGACAAATTTGGAGACAGACTGAATATGGTGTGTGTGTGTGTGTGTGTGTGTGTGTAAAGGCTTTTTTATACTGCCATTGATTCGATTTATTGTATTAGATCAACAGCGATTGAATGATTTTTTTTTATTTCATTGTAATATTCTCATGGGAATATCAATAAAAAATTATGAAAAATATTTTTCGCTAAAAAGAAGAACCTATTAACAATTTCGCCAACATCATTTATTAAAGAAAAACGTTGGATACACACAACGTGAGTATTGACTGACAAACATGAAATCTAGTACGTTTTGATGCTATTATAATCTCCACACCTCAAATAATAATCGGATTTGAATGCATATAACTTATGAGCAATTGAATGGAAGTGAAATGTCAAAAAAACGCCTCAATACGCTCGCTGACCAAGTGTGTCTTTAATAATAAATCGGAGTGTTGAGTCAGTTGTACAACAAACAATATAAATCGAAATTGATTTTGGTTGAAATATTCAGTATCCGAATAAAATTCGCATTGTTAGTGCCTACCAGATACAGTGACACGTTTTTGTTTTGACGAAAAAAAAGAACAACAATAAATAAACAACAGCTGCCGAATACTTTGTTTTTAAATGATTTCAATATGAATCCGGACGGTGAGTGTCAAGCATTTGAACCCTTATAGCAATTAAGAATGGAAACTTCGAGATTAAGTGTGATTAAAAACAGAAGTACAGCGGATAAAATAAATCGAAATTTATTTATTTTACCCTATCTCGGTACCTTATTTTTCATTCATATGTATTTGTATGTGTATTTCTGTATACGTTGCAAACAATCAGAACACTCTATTCATTCACACAAAAGAATCAAATTTAATTGGAAATGACACTTTCGATTAAATATGCAAATTGCATGCGCGGCTTTGACTTCAATGTTCCATTTATCTTTTCTATTTCATTTTCTTACGAAATGCTGTTTTTTATTTGGTTTAAATCCATGCTCTTGATAAAAACAAATGAATTAAAAAAACAACAACGAATGTTGTGTCAGTCATACGAACTGATTATTCTTCTGAAATAAAGAAATTAGAAAAGGCCAAACGTTCATGTGATTATCAATGACTTTTGATATTCGAATGTGCACTGCATACGTATTCAATGGGATGATTTGAGGAAAACCAAAAGTTGTACGTATTCAAAAATTCGTGGAAAACCATACGATTATCGGTGAAATGACTTGAGACTCATTTTGTGCACGCGAAATGTTCGCTTTATCGATGATTCGCTCTTTGTTTGCATTTGCGATCATTGCGTCGCATTTTTTATTTTGGCTGTTTGCCCAACTTTTGTTTTTCTTTTTGGAACGGAATAAAGTGCGCCTCACACGTTTAATTTAACCTTGTACATGTTTTTCCATTCCGATAATTTGAAAAGTAAAAAAAAACACTTTTTATTTGTATATCGATCGAAATTCGAATAATTTAATCGCATTGCACCTGTATAAACTTCTAAATATGTCAATCGAAACACATATATATTGTTGTTGCATATTCTTATCGTGCACATCATTTTATTTTCGTAAACTTCATATCAGAACCTTTGTATATATATTTTTTCTGTCGAAATTGATGCGAAAAATAAAAAGAAATATGACAAATTGTACATTGTTCAATTTAACACAGACTTTAAAAAGCAATGTCGTTGCCACTGTGTGCATTCACATTGCTACCGTATATTTCTATTTGGTTCGAGTTCGATGCGTTCGTTAAACGTATGTAACGCTAACAAAATTGTCACGCACTCCAAATAACTCCACATGCATACTTTGTTGTGTATGATTTGTATATGTTTACCGACCAATTGGGATTGAAGAGTTTATTGACACCTTTTGATTTTATCACTTTTCCATTTCTTTTCTCTCTCTCTCCCTCTTCCTCCCATCATCTTTCTCTGTCCATCTCTGTCGATATTTATTCTTTTCACTGTCGTTGCGCTATCAATTTCATTTGAATCGCATTCTTCAAGCAGGAAATCAATCGAATTCATGCATAGACATATATACACACATGCCCATAATTCAAGTTGTTTGTCGTTGACCATTTTATTCTCTAATCGCATAAAAATACATCTACCTGTTCTATTCTGGTTTCAGTAATCGTTGCTGCAAGGCTTTTTAGTTTTGCTTTGCTTCAGTTCAGTGCTCAGATTGTTTATTTGTTCTTTTCTCTTTCTTGCGGTGTTTATTTTTTTATTTTTCGCCATTTTCATTCGTCTTACAAGACGATCCGTAACTTTTAGATACATCAACAACATTTCTTTCAACACTTTTACGTTACACAATTATCCAAGGCAATCATTTCTGTTTTGTTCATAGAAAAAAGAAGAAGAAAAAGAAAAACATTTATTCAAATGTAAATTTGTTGCGCCTCGTCATAACTCAAAACTTTGTGTTTCTAATTGTTTTTGCACGCGTATGCCAGCGCATATGTTATTTGCCGTGTTTGGCAACGCATACCATTTTTGTCAGTGACTCTGTGTCCAACGAGATCCAAAAGAGTGAAAAATGCCAAAGAACAATCATCTCATATACTCCATAACCATACTCACATATTTGAATATTTGGATGGTGAATTTTTTTTTTAAATAAACTCAACTGACTGATAATGTTCTTTCTTTCGTTTGTCCATATAACATCGTGTGATGATGGACTTTCTCAGTTTTGCATGGAATAGAAATTAAACGTGAGCGAAAAAAAATAGAGACGCAAATTTGTGTGCGCGCGGTGTTTGGTAAATCGTAACTTCGTAGCTTTCAAGCGTTCATTGACACACGCAAGCAGCATTTTTTTTTATTCGCCGGTTGAGTGTTATGTGTTAATACCCGGCGCACACGGTTCACATAATAATTTGTCGACATTTTGATGGCATGTCAATTTTTTTCATTCAAAACGTTCAAATATTAAATAAATTGTTTTTAAGTTAAAGTATAATTCTGAGGGTGCAATTTTACGAAATATACCAAAGTTCAAGATAAATTTCCAACAGTTTATTTTGGAAATTGGTTTGTACAACTTGTTTTTGGCAGAAAGAAACAAAAACTAAAACAAAGTCGTTGTTACAATTTTTTTGGGTGATTGAATGCGGGCAAACCGCCTTTCACATATGCATAAAATGTGCTCGATAATTAATATTGAATTTGAGCGTCAAACCGATGGTGATAAATTATGCTATAGAAAACGCGTTCGCAGCAAACGCGGTAAGAGGTGTTTTTTTATTGTATATCGATCGCTTGTTCTTTATTAAGTCAACTATTGTCTAAATCGTATTTTATACGTCGTACATCTCGCTCGAAAAAGTGAATGTACACGCATTACTTGTAACTGACTAATGAAAATCTATGATTTTTCATTACGATTATTGAATTTGAATTGTAATTAAAGTGATTATGATCTATTTTCTTTCTTTTTTTTCTCTCTCCCTTTTGCTCTATTTCTCCTGTCACACCCTCAGGCGATGAAGATTTTTTCGGCAATTTGCCGATGGACGACCCGATGGACAACTCAATCTTGATCGATGATTATTTGGAAACAATAAAAAATGAACCGGACTTGGAGAAAGCTGATGTAGACAATGTGCCCGCAAAATCGTTAACCGACACTATGATGTATATGTACGATTCAATGCCGTTCGATTCAAAGAGTTCGTTTGACAATATTTCGGTGGCAAACGAAATAACCGAAATTGATCCGAATTATTTTCTCAATGATATGTATAAAAGTGAGGTTGATTATTCGTCGACATTTTCGTCACCATCGTATCGAAGTACACCGTCGCCAACGACCAGCAACAGTAGCCAAATTTCGGATCAATTAAGCGTTGATTCAGCATCGAATCCATCATCGGAAGCATCGATCAATTTTCATAATGCACAAAATTCAACAACATTTCCATCGAATGGACAATTTATACAATCATTTGCGCAAAGCAATTATCATTTGGATACACCGCCAATATCACCGCCAACCGAAACAATTGCCGCAACAAATGCACAAACATTATCGTATATTCAACCAGCCGCACAAATTGCCGCCCAACCAATTCCAATGCTAACAACAACAACCGATAATCAATTCAATATCATTCAAGGTACATTGATACCAATCACCGCCGTATCTCTATCAACGCCACAAAATGGTACAAATATTTTGAGCTCAAATAATACACAAACGACGAAGAAAGTGAAAATCCAACCGAAACCATTGGCCATTGCAACGAAACCAAATGGAACAACGGCAGCAGTGACAACACCATTACCAATGACCGTCGTGAAAACAGCACAAATAAATGGCACAAATTTAACAGCAACAACAAAATCGATTCCAACACCAAAACGAATCGTTCTATCCAGTGACTATAAACCATTGGTTCTTAAATGCAAAACACAACAAACTGCTGCCAATGCCAGTACACCCGCACCAATTGCAGCTGTTCAAACAAACGACGCAAATATTATGAAATTCGTGCCGGCCAACACAGCACCAATATTATCAACGGGTAATACACAATCGACGGTCAAATTGAATCCACAAAAATTAGCTTCGGCCAATGTACCAAATAATCGCATTCAAATTGCACCGTTGAGTCACAATAAGAAACCAAAGCAACATTCAATTCAAGAGGAAATTTACGAACGTACGCTAAAGAAACAAATGCGAATGATTAAGAATCGAGAATCAGCCTGTATGTCACGCAAAAAGAAAAAGGAATATGTCAACACGCTTGAGAATCAAGTGGCCGCTTTGAAGATTGAGAACCAAGAGCTGCGATCGGTAAGTCGGTTCGAATTGACAAGAATCGCATTTTTCCCCATAAATTTTTGTTAAAAACGTTTTTTTTTCTTATTTAACTTTTAGGAAAACTGTGCATTGAAAGAGCGTCTTGGACAGGTAACAAGTAAAATTTGCGATGTATGTGGCAATCTAATGATGGACAAAGTTTCAAAAACCATGGACACGATGTCTGTATTGAGAAGTGTACCAAAAAAGAATGCCGCATTTCTATTGGCATTTTTACTTATGGTATCGTTCAATCTTGGCCCATTGATGCCGTCCTCAAATGTGGCTCCATATGATAGCGATAATTCGTTAGCGGTGCCCGACCATCCAATCGGCACACGTAGTTTACTTTGGATTGATGACGAAAATGACAGTACAAATACGTCTAATATCGGCGATAGTTCCGATTCATCGGAGCGTCCATATCCCATGTGTCCGGTATCGGTGAATCAATCAGAAAGTATACGATTGGCCACTGAATTACAACGATGGATCGGAGATTCACCGAAATATTTTAATTTAACAAAAGTCTCATCGAAATCTGGCGATGAATTAATCGATCTCAATATAATCAATGAATTTTTATTATCGAAAAAGGATAATGAAGCTATTAAAACATTTTATAATCAAATGAAAGATGCGCCCCCATTACGAAAAATGGCCAACAAAATTGATGCGGAGAAGAAGATGCGAGAACAACGTGCATCAAAGAAACGTAAACTACAAATGGACAAATACGAAGCGAATAAAGTGAAATCAATCGATAGCAATAACAATGTACAAATCTTTAATCCAGTATACAGTAATGCCATGAAATATGCAACATTCTTTGAGGAAATTCATCGACAAGACGATACTTTTTATGTTGTATCATTCCGTGCTGATCATTTACTATTGCCAGCTCTTGCCCATAACAAAACCTTTCGACCGAAAATGTCACTCATGTTACCCGCCTGGAATTTAAATAACGACAATAATGCATCGACCGATGGCATTGTAACATTGATGCAAATCGATTGCGAGGTATTGAATACCTCGATGATTCAAATTAAAGAAAGTTCAATTCCCGACAATTTACGAAATCGATCGTCATCATCGTCGTCGCCACCATCACCGTCATCGATGCCAACACGAAATGCTGCCAGTCCTGTTACAACCAATGAATCAATGAAATCATCAAACATGAAATTGAAACAACGACGAAGTCGCATTACAACACAAGAGCCAATTGTAACACAAACCGAAAGCAATATTACAACTGCGTCGAATGGCACCGATATAAACACTGGCTTCAAAAGTGCAACTCTTGATGAATATGATACGAAGAATGTGGACACAGTGAAAAATTATAAACCGTATTTTTTGCGTAATCGCGCTGAACGCACACAAAACAACCGCAACATCGGCAACTGATTGCATTCACACTAAATATTAGAAGAAATTTCGATTTTAAGAGTTTTTCATTTCACGTGATTCGATTTTAGCGCTGTTTATTAAGTCAACGAAATTTGCTGTTAATTTTTTTTATAGGCATAAGATTAGACTAGAATTGAAACACAATGTGCAAATTTACGTATTAAGGGCAAACATATTCGAAAAAATTAAAATTTAATATTTCAAGGCATTTTTTGGAATTTTTTTAATCTCGCAATAGACATTTAAAATGAAATGCCCTGGATAATTTTTTTTATATTCATATCAAATTGCTCGATTGCATTTATTTATGATATAGTTATTAAGACCTGTAAAGTGCTAAGAGTTTTTCAAATAATTTGAAAATAAAGACAAAACATTCAATGACAACCCTATTTTTTTACAATACTAAGATCACTGACGTATCGACGTTATGATAATACCAGACATTGACCTCATTTTATCTTTCGTAATTCGCATTTTCGATTCGCATTTTATTTTTATCTTTCGCATCTCGTCTACCTAGAGTTGATCAGAAGAAAAGAATGGAAAAATGGAAATTATAAAAGAAAGTATATACTTTATATAGTATAGTTATAGTTTAAAAGCAAAATCAATGACCACAACAACAATATTGCTTAAATTTGGGATTTGTTAATAGCAGTGGTAGTAGTGCTGAGATCATTGATCACTGTGAAAAGAGAAAAAAAAAACCTAAATACTTACTATGGAATAGTACTGGTTGCCAAGGCCACTACCTATCAATCAGGAAAATAAGAAAGAAAAGAAACACAAAATAAATCACCATTAATCAATAAATCAATATCAGTCTACAACGAAGCCTGATCATGCCGACTACTAATTGACCGCGACGGTTTGGCAAAATCATAATGAATCGATTAAACTGCGTAACTGTTAAAATAACGCACTGCTAAAATAAAACAGTAGAAATAAATAGATTTTAATTTTGAACATTTTTGAAAATAAAAATCTTTTGTTTTTTAATTTTGTGAGATTTTCTGTCCACAATATTCAAAAATAAAAAATCCAAATAATTTATCTTTTGAAAATAATATTTGCTCTAAAATCGCAAACCATGAATAATAATAAATAGACAATTCTATCGTAAATTTCGTAGCCTCAATGCATGATCGTTGCAACTTTTTCAAATTGCTCAATTTAAAACATACTTTTCGCGTCTGTTCTCCGGAAAACTATCGCCCGAATGCATTGCAAAACTTTCCAAGTTTTTTGAGCATTCGGCAATGACCTGGATAAAAATGTGTTCTGAATTATGGATTCAGACAAAGTCATTGTGTTAGATAAGGGGTTCGCTCGATGCATTACTACAGAATGAAAAATCGGCAATTTACTGAATGACCAAACCAGCATGGCATAACCATGAACAAAGAAAAAAAAATAATAAAAAACAACTTTAAAAATAGATAAATTAGTCATTACAAAAAATATATATTCTTTTCAAGTGGAAAGCAATTTTGGAACCACTTTTGAATGATACTTATTTTTATTGAACATAGCACTTTTTATTAAGATTTACCATATAAGAGACTCCAAAAGTCCAAACCATAAATTTCTATCTGAAATTTAAAAATGAAAACAATAAAACGCACACATTTAATTCGTTCTTTTTATTTCACCATTTGTGATGATATCCCAAATATACGTCACACAGAGTATATCGACGATAAGGACGATACCAATTGATTTTTTAATAGTTTTTTCCTTATTATTGTTTCACTCACTACCCGAGTGAAAAAAATGACTAATTTACATTGAAAGTAAGTGACTATAGTTAGCTAAATTCATGAATTTTTAAATTTTGTATGGAAAACAATCGACTATGTGACTATGATTATTGTCAACTATAGTTAGCTGTTGCAGTTAATCATAGCTTACTTTAATTGATTGAAGTTAACTAAATTTGACTAAGGTTGCTTGTTTTTACAGTCAATGGTCAGTCAGTTTGTCCCAAAATAGTCAGTCTTCTGTACACGGGTTCTCTTTTTGTACACGGGTACCATTTTTCAATTGTTACAAAGCACCGCTCGGACTGTTTTTCGTTTAAAGCTTCCCATCCTATAGGCAATTTATCATTCAAATGATTTAAATCTAAATGACAATCCTTATGGTCAATATTATCTAAGTGACGACATGCCATTTGACAGCAAAACTTCTGCAATGAATGGCAATTTTCCAAGAAGCGAAACACATCATTAGTTGAAACATTGAATTTACTAAAGTGAATCTCTTCCACCAGTGGTAGTGCTTCGATAATTTCCATGACATTTTCTTCCATTTCGATGCCTGTACCATTGCATTCCAAGCTGAGTTTTGTTATGAACGGATTTGCCTTGAGGTAAGCAATTACAAATTTATCCAGCTGATCGCCAGGAAATTTACATGAAAATTCCTTCAAACAATGAGATAGGATAGGTATTTTTCTTGTAGCATTGTTCACACAATCAATTTTTAGCTCTTTTAAACATGCAAAGTAGAAAACATCATCTTTGCCGAAATCATAGGGACCAATCGACAAACGTTCGATTTCGAGATGTTCAAGCAACTTCAGATATTTACTTGCATCACTAAGACATTTTTTTATGCGAAAAGGTTTTTGATCTTCAGCATTCACAACCAAACGTCGCATCTGTGGATTCAATCGTATAATTTTCGTCATGACGTCGATTGTTGCCAAAATGTTCAATTGATCCAAGTGCGCAAAATGTACTTCAACCAAATCAAGGGTGAGATTTTTGTAAAGAGTCAAAGTAGATATTTTTGGGAAAAATTTATTAAATCTACTGGAAAAAAGTTTCTCCCAAATTGAGTACACTTGTAGATGACAGTCCCAAAATTCAACCTTTTCAGCATTAATAAATGGCTTTTCAAATGTATCATAATCGATTTGGAACATATCTATAAATGAAATAGATTTAACTGAATCACAGCAATATTCATTCACATAGGTTAGCACAAACGGGTTCAAGATCTCCATTTTGGGAATTAAGTGACCAAAAGATCGTAATAATTGATACGAAGTACGTGGATGATCTATATGTTGAATTTTACAATTTTTTGGAAAATAAGTTCGATGTTTTATTCCGCCTCTGAAGAAAAATTCTTTTTCACGATACCGTTTTTTAAATACCGATTCTGCGGCAGTTTTCAGTTCTTTGTTCGCATCAACAACATCTAGAAGCTGTTTAAGATTCAAAAACTTCATAATATGCACGAGACAATCATTATTTAATTGTGTTAGTTTCAGTGGCCTTGCTTCATTGACATCAGTTGAATCATCCTCAACATCATTTGAACCATCAACCTCATCACTCTCAACCTTCTGTCCGTCTTGGAGGCGTACAGCGCCCGAGACAGAATTCAACTTCAAAATAAAACAACCAATTCCCATACAAAAATGTACTATGGGATCTGTACACCCCAAAGACGGAAATATGTTGTATAATGCTTGGATGGACAGATGGTTAAATAATGCAAGTTTATTCATTTTCAACGATTATTTTAGTAAATTTCTCGTTTGTTTTTCTGTAAACGAAACAAAAAAAAATGATGATTAAAACTAATTTATAGCATTTGAGTAAAAATTAGAGGTAATGAAAACAAGGATAAAATAAAAATAAAATTCTTCACAAATGTGTCAAATATTTTGGACATTCATCATGGAAAATTCGATTGTTTTGAAGAATTCATCATGGCGAACGATGCTTTTGCAAATGACACTCACTTCTAACTTTCACAAATATTTTCAATTTGAAATGATTTTCGTATGGTTTGTTTTAACTCGTTTGATATTTCACCGCACGCTATAAATAACGATAGATTCAAATTTATGATATGTTTGACAAATGACCAGTAAATTTTTACAACACGGCTAGGTTTTATCCAAATTTTAAACAAACTATTTTTCAATATTCAACACAAAAACAAATTAACCATGCTCGAACTTTGGAAGTTTTTTGAAAAGTGGCCGTTTTTCACACACAACGTCTCCATCGTTTCAAAACCATAATTACCAAATACTTGTAATGTCATTAAGTACCTTTCAAAGAACATATATATCATTTACTTGGCGATGGTAATGCAGATTCACTAAAAAATGGTAAGAGTTCATTGTATAGGGTTTAAACGCACTCAAGTATTAATGACACTGTTACCGAATGACAGCTATGCTAATGGACAGCAATGAAAATATAAACAAATTGAAAGTGAATAGATACATTTAGTTATCAAGTGATTTTTGAGATTGTTGAATCTAAATTAAAAACAAAAAAACGAAGTAAAATGGTTTGTGAAAAGTGTGAGAAAAAATTGGGAAAGGTAATTACACCATTCTTTTTCCATTCTGATGCATTACTTTTTGGTTAATTTTCATTTTTTTTCCATTCTTTTCTTCATCCCTAGGTAATTACACCAGACCCATGGAAATCCGGTGCCAGAAATACAACGGAATCGGGTGGCCGTAAAGTAAATGAAAATAAAGCTTTAACTAGTGGAAAGAATCGATTTGATCCAGTCGGTCAGACTCTTCGCCCCTGCCGGTAAGTTGATCATCAAATCTATCATTTTCTCTTATGCAAAATTGATTATATTAGATTTTTTTCTCCTCAAATAGGATTTGCCGAACGAAGGTCCATCAAGTCGGATCGCATTACTGTCAATCGTGTGCTTACAAAAAGGGCATCTGTGCGATGTGCGGCAAAAAACTTCTCGATACCAAAAATTATAAACAAAGCTCGACATGAACACCATTTACACAAATTACCAACCCGATCGGACCAATAAAGAAATCAATCATTAGTCGTTTTTGTCTTAAAATTGACTTCATTCATCAATGAATTGACTTCAGTTGATTGTAGTTTTAATTGAAATTAGTTTTAGCAATTGTTTGTACATTTATTGTGTGTATTGAATTTATTCAAGTCAATTGGTTCAATTCATTGAAATCAAGCGTAAATTTTAAGTCCAAATGTTGAGTTCAAAATTGGAGAGATGCAAAAACAAAAATGTTCACTCTAAAAAAAACCTAATATAATGAATGAGAAATAAGAATAAAAAAAATACATGTGTTTCTTTTAAATTTATTTTCGTTTTTTATTTCATATTAAATTCATGCTTGGAATAAAAAATGATTAAAATAAAAAAGTAAAAATGAAAATGATAATGTGAACGAAACGTTATTCATTGAGCGTACATAACCTCAAAAACACTCTTACATGTACCGACACTGCGTATGTGTTGTGGTAATACGTAGCGAAATGTCAAAATGATGACATGTTACAGTCTAGACTCGTTCATTTTGTTCAAAACGTCCTTCCGGATCGTATCTTATTCGTACCAGCGGAGCGTGTTTTTTTAGTGTTATTTAGTGCAAAATCATTCTCCATCTTCCAATATGAGAATCTATAAGTGTATTTTTACCGGTAAGTAATTATCTAAAAATTATGTGCAATCGTTTGAAATTAATATTTTTGGTGATTTAATGTAAATTCCGTGTAAAAAATGCAATTAAATTTCGAACATTTGTAACAAAGAAAAATGTCGCCACCTTTGAACGTTCTACGTTCAGATAGCTGGATTTCATATGCTACTGTGTATGAATGTATACTCTATTGACGTAAATGCGTCAATACATAAACGGCTACAATTGAAACTTCTTCTTTTTTTCCGTCTCTTCAACATTTAGTTTCTTTATGAAAATGAATAATTTACAAATTGTCTGGAATTATTTCCGCATTTTTAACGATGCATTATTTGCATGCGTTGGAATTTATTTCGAAGCGATATTTTTATCGCTTCGGTCTGGAATTTAACATTGATTAACTATGTTAAGTTCATCGTTTCGTATATGTATGTGTGACACAATTTTTCTGTTGCATATTGACACATTCGCATTTCATCGCGCGTGTTGTGCATTGTATGTAAAAAGAAAGAGAAGAAATGAAAAATTCAACTGAAATGTGTGTCATTTAATTTGATTTCTAAAAAATGCACTGAATTTACAACGAATGCAAGAGTATTTTTGCATTTGTTGAATGTACGCTCTTGCAATAGAATGTATTTATAACCTCAAATCGAAATCGGTCAATTTTCGGCATATGGTTTTTGGGAAAAAAAAGAAGCATAGCCATTCACATTCATCACAATGTCATTGGGGTAATGCAAAAAATGATTGAACTTTTTTTGTTTCTAATAGGGTTCTATTTTTTATTGAATTTGATTTTTATTTATGTATGTGTGTTTTGTGAATTGTTTTACAGGCGATGAGATGTTCTCAGACTCATACAAAATGAAGCTGATCGATGATGTCATCTATGAAGTGTATGGAAAATTGGTGTCCCGTACAGAAGGTAACATTCAAATCGAGGGTTTCAATCCATCCGCTGAAGAGGCCGATGAAGGTACAGATTCCACTGTTGAAACTGGTGTCGATATCGTTTTGAACTCCCGTTTGGTTGAAACATACGCCTTTGGTGACAAAAAATCATTCACACTCTACCTTAAGGATTACATGAAGAAGTGAGTAAACGTCAACATTAGTTTTATTATTATGGTATTGCGCTGCGCTCAGTTCAAATCAAATGTGAAAAACCAAAAATTGAATAAAGTTTGAATTGCTCTTTGGGTTTAATAATTGAAGAAAGAGAGAGAGAGAGAGAAAGAAAGTGAAAATAAAATGCCAATTTGTTTGTATTTTTAGATTGATCGCCAAGTTGGAAGAAAAATCTCCAGACCAAGTTGAGGTATTCAAAACCAATATCAACAAACAAATGAAAGAAATCTTGGGCCGATTTAAGGAATTGCAATTCTTCACCGGTGAATCGATGGACTGTGATGGTATGGTTGCCCTCTGCGAATACCGTGATATCGATGGTGTATCAACGCCTGTGTTCATGTTCTTCAAACACGGTCTCGAAGAAGAGAAATTCTAAGTTAACTCTCAAGTCAACTACAACAACAAAAAAAAACCAACAACAATAATACAACAAAATTAAAACCATGCAGACATTACACCTGAATATATATTTTTTTTTGTTCAAATAACGGCATACTCCAGTTAATATCCATTTCTTCTTTTGAGTTTTTTTAATATAATACATTTATTTGTTTCATTTTTTTTTCTTTTGAATATTTGTGTTAATGCAATCCATTCCTTTTTCAATACTAAATTATTATTTTTCTACGTCTTATTTGGAAAACGATTTTGTGTTACAATTTCATGAAATGTCCAAAAGAAAGAAAGAAAAAAAAAATATAGAGAGAGGAAAAAAGCACCGGTTACGAGCAGTTAACAAAGAAAATAAATTATTCAATTTGTCACATATTGGGAGAAACTGAAAAAACAACCAACAAACAAACAAAATTATTTGGTTTTTTTTATTTTATTTTTTTTTTTTGCTAATTGGCATATTTGTCCTGAACCTTTTTGTTTTGATTTTGTCTTCTGTTTCCTTATGATTTGTTTGGAAGGTGGAGAACAGAACATCAACGACTTTTGCGCTATTTTTTTCGTTCAACAATAACAACACATTATTACAGAAACGAGATTATGAATAAAAGAAAAGAGAATTTAAATTGTGAATAAAAGAAATAATGCTGTTTTGTTTTGATATTTTGATATTTTATCCCGGACAGTTTGAACTGTCAGATACTGTGTTGTGTATGTATGTATGTATGTACTGAACTGTGAAGTCTCTTTCTTTCCCATTTGGTTGATTCGATTTATTTCTCTTTCGCTATTTTCAGCCAAATAAATATATAAGTATGTACGCAACAACATTGTATAAAGCAATGGATGGAGAGGGATAGAGCGTAAGCAAGAATGTAGGCATGCAAGCAAAAGGAATATATAGCACACCGCAGCGAGAATCCATGTGACGAGTGCGCGCAATACAACCCAAAGAAAAACCACCTAATATTACACACATTTGTGTTGTTACTTCTTCTTTTTTTCTCTTCAATGTGACACAAATGTCATTTTCAAAACACTGATAAATCCATCTCGTTCACATTGCAGCAAAGAAACATAAGCGGTGCTACCTAATTAAATTCAACATTCTTTTGCATCACCACTTATTTACCACTTGATACTTGCATCACCAATCGAAACAACAATCAAAAGAAACAACCAAAAACAAACCGCAACACCACGAGACGGGAAAGAAAGTCTTATCATTTCAGTGAATTTGGACATTGTGTTATCGTCAAACGAGCAGAAATAATACGCATTACCTCCGTTTTTTATTTTAAAATTTTGGAATATTTTTGCACGATTTATAAAAAAAGGAAGAGTGAAAGTAAATAGAATATTAATTTGTGATTATTGTTTAACGAATCAATAATGTAAGTAAAGAGAATCAAATCAAATTATTTTTTTTGCAAAGAAAATCGATAGAAACAAAAATTGTTATTTTCATTTGGATCACAGCAACTGATTCTTCATTTCAATGCGGAACGTGAACCGAAAATTGCGGTAACGTGAACATTTTGGTTTTTGTTTTGTGTGAAACTGAAACTGATCTAGTCTAAATTTAAACGCAAATAAACGGTGTCACAGTTCGTTCAAATTGAGTGAGATTGAGCCAGTTTTTGTTGTTGTCGTTGTTGTTGATTGGTAAAAAGCAATAACACACAAATAAAGAACACCACGCTCGCGCTCCTTCGCCTTTGCAGTTGCAATTTTTATTTATACCCAAATTAAATTTGTCTTAAAAATAGTCCGCATACGCCTACTGCAATCTGCATGCAATGTTATTGAAGTGAAACAACAACTCGCATTTGGTTGAGCTTAAGCACGGCATTCGAGCATACATTCGATATATTTCCATTGATGTAAAATCGAGATCGCATACCGCACGGTACTGTATTCATAACAAAATGCCGTATGTTAAAATTCACGTAACATTTGCAGGTGAGAAGCGCTGACTTTGAAAAAGTCCTCTTGCTGGCATATTGAAGACAGGGTTTTGAAAGCATTGTCAGCATCAAGATATAAAAGTGGCCAATAATGTTAATAAAATGCATCGAGAGACGGTTCGTCTGTGTTATTCAACAGTTCTTTATTGATTTATGCATTGCAATCCAATGGGAAGAACTGAGCAGAAAAAAAAATCAAATGAATGAAAAATTCCACCAGCTTTTGACATTGGTTATTGTTTTGAATTAACTGTCATGTGGTCGATTGGATTTCAAATGATTAATGAATTTGCGTCACATTGTACACACTCCCGTGTTGAGAAACGATAGAATACACTCGACATTGTTTAAATAAAACTCAATGAAATAGAATGAATGGAACACATACACTATAAAGCATGTGCGACATACTATATCGGCTTTTTCTAACTAAAAATTGTGTACACTGTACGGTGACTTGGATTCGTAGAGATAAGAATGTGCACTCACACACACACATAAAATGGTGGCTGTAGCACATATTAGAAGTCGCGATTTATGATCATAATTGTATGTAATGTGCGCGCTTGCTGTAGCGGCGTACACAGTGTGATGATATTCGCACGTTGTGTGTTGTATTATACACGCGTGCGTTCGCTATGATACATAAAGAGAGAGTGTGAGCAAAGCTCAAGACCCGTCGAGCAGATCGGTGTTCTGTTCATAGTAAGCTGAATATCGACGAGTAGTTTCGATCGGCAACGACTAGTTGAAATACGCCGAAATACGCGTGCTCAACGAAAAAGAAATATATATATCACATAAAAAAATCTCCCGATTCCAAATAGTACCAGTTACGTTTCACACCGTAGAAATAAGAGAGTGAGCAATTTTACAATTTATTCTGTTTTTTTTTTTTAATCCCATTTTTTTCACGTGTATTTTTGTATATGCGTATGTGCAAGTATTTTCAAAATTATTTTGACAGAAAAAATGCATCAATCAAAAAAAAATTATGTATATCTTCATCTGTCATATTCAACGTGGATTTGGCTTTTTATTGTTTAGCATATTTAAAATGCAAACCTCGACAATGAATATTCTCGAAAATTTTAAGAGTGACGATTTGTTTTTACGGGATACGAACTTACTTTGAAAAAAGAGAGAAAAAATCAATTCAAATCGCTTCAGTTTGGCATGACAAATAAACGGTGCATGTGATCGTTTTGTTTTTCTCTCGCTTTACAGTCACATTTTTAAGATCAATTGAAATGACCACAAAAAAAAGAACCTGAAAATGATCACCAAGATAATGTGTGCCAATAAAAGAGAGATTCAAGATTGAAACACATGATTTTTCGTTTTATTTTCAAAAAAAGTTCGTTTTATAATAAGAAATGGTGCGATCGTTGCTATTGTTGTTGGTTATAGTTGACAGCAACGCGCGCGTTCTAACTCTATTGTTTAATGGTGACTCAAAGTTAATCAAATGCGAAGAAGGAGAAGCAATGAACAAAAAACCCGAAAATAAATTTCGCGAGGCACTTTTTTTTATCAAGATGCGTACTTGTACGAGTTCTCTTTCGACGTCAACGTCGCCGCCGTTGTCGACAACAACAATGACGACAATCTGTATGTGCCGGTCCGATCGTTTATCGATATAAATATTTTCCTCTGGTAGAATTCTTTAAATTTATCATCGCCCAATTGCTCATTATGAATACATGCTGGGAATTTACGGGGCAAACGGTGTGACTGAAAAGCGAGAGAAACAAATCGACACCCAATTTATGTGAAAGAGAAAAACCGAATTGAGAAATAGAGAGAAAGCGAACGAGAGTGAATTTTGTGGTGCGCACCAATGCGTGTGACCGTGCCAAAGAAGCATATTTAAAAGTAAATTCATTTATTACATAACCGGCCTTATGTACCAAAATTATCTAATCAAAGAACATTTTGTGCGAAGACCACATGCAGGATTAGCTACAACACACATACATGTGTTAATTTCGCTCTCTCTCTCTCTCTCTCTCTCTCTCTCTCTCTCTTATTCCCGTGTCTAAACGAAAGCAAATCAATTAGTGTTATGCAACAATGGATGCATCAAGTGTTCCATTCCCTTTAAAAAGGTAAATGCCACTACAATGTGGTGCTAACCATGATCAGCTGATCAATACGCGCACACTCTCTTCGGTTTTGCTTGAAACAAGTTCAGGAACTTTAAATATATCCACACCAAAAGCTAATCGAAGCGTGTCATGTGCGCGATACAGACACACACGCCGTTCGATATAAAAACCAAGAAGCAAATGAGTGAAACGAAGAAAAAGAGTTGTGTGAATAAGAGTCAATCGGCTTGACACTTGTCATATTATTTTTTTCATCGTTCTTCAAATAAATGAGTCGCGTGTATGAGATAGAGATATCTATGCTCTGACTTATATTTGATTGTGTATGAGCTGGGTGCTCAACCTTGAATTTAATAATCTAAAATATCAGCGTCGATTTACTATTATTTCATATTTCCTTATTTTTGCCGCACTCATTCAGCTTTTGTTTGACTTTGATGTTTACTGTGATTAAACATACTATAATCATAGATATAAATGAATATTGATATATTTCGATTGACAAATGGTCTATTTTAATAATAAAAATCATTTTGTAATCTATCTAAAGTACTGTTAATCAGTACACCCACGAAAACCCCACTCAAATGGAAGTATTTGTAATACATATGCATTGTTTTTGCTTAAAATTGTCGAGTTCAACAGGTGCATTGAGTATCCAGTCCAAAAATAGCCGTTAAAATATACGAAATTCGTAAGCAAATGCACGTGAAATTAGGTTTTTATCGGTTTGAGGTTATCATTAGTCACGAGTGCGTTCGCCTTTCTTTTAGTTCTACTCTTTTTTTTTCCTTCGTTCTCGTCCATATTGCACAAGATCTCGATCTTTAATAACAAAGTAATTAAATTTATGTTGTTCACTTATACTACAAACGAAAATGATGTAATTTCGTCAATGTCGACGAAATATTATTTAACATTATACGAATTAATCACGTTTTTTTTAAATTGAATTTTCATTGCGCTATTCTCATGCAGTTGAGACTGTAATTTGCATCACAAAATACTTAATTCATTTTGTTCTCTTTTCGCTTCGCTCCATAATTTACACAGTGTTTAAACTGTTGTTTGAAATTGAAGTGTTAATTTCGTTCAAATCCTTGATTCATTGTAACTGTTGTTTTTGTACACAATCTCATCGAACAGAATTTCCTAATATGGTCGATTTTCTGATAATTATGTGATCGATTACGATACATGTTGACGCAAATTGTTGTTGAACTCTGCGTTTGTTATGAACTAAATTAGGTGAATATCACAGTACGGCAAATTTATAATTATAATAACTGAATATGATTATGACTATCTAGTCAAGCCTTATTAGTTAGAACTTATAGTTTTCATTTCTTAACTAATGATAAGTCATAATCAACAATTATGATTTTACAGCCATAATAACAGAAAACGATGATATTTGTCAAGTTTTTGACAGGACTCTGGTGAATAGCAAACTTGGTCAATAGTTGAAAAACAATGCTCGTAGTGCGTTGACAGTATATAAATAGATCTCTCTCTCTCTCTCTTTCTCCATTATTTTCCTTCTCGTTCCCACAGTTTCATTAGCAACGGATTTTATGATGAATATGTGATGTAAAAAAATTGTAACTCACTGTTAAAATAAACAAGCGATGATCGATTTTCATCCATAGTCAAGGTTTCGTTTGTTCATATATGACCGACATGGAGCGCAAACAAAGTCAGAAAACAGCAATAAAATAATAGTCGCTGACGATGAGGCTAGAATAAGGCGAGAGAGAGAGCTGAACTGTATGTATGTGAAAAATTATGTGGTCGGTGCTCACGTGAACACCGTATGAAACGTTGACTACGTAATCCGCTTCACGAAAAGCTCTTTCTTTGGGATTTTTTCATATATACATATATATTCAACGTTGACGATAACGCGCTTCATTCATTGTGTGTCTGTTGAATTTCGTTTATGATGACATTTGATACACATTCATCAAAGCTCGATCTCGGCTACTCGTGTGTTTTGGCATTCGCCATAACATCTAATTACAGCATGCGTCAGCAATGAGATTTCCATTGATTTTAAAGCATTTTTCTGCCTCTTTCTACTTCTCCACTGCTTTTTAATATTGTATTCTATGCTTAACTCTTTCGATTGTTGCTACCGATAACATAAATTGATTGAAGTCTTTTTTTGCTATTCTGGCATAATTTCTCTACGAAATACTTTGTTTTGAATTTTGATTATCAAGGCAATCATAATTTAAAAAAAAAAACCGAAATTCTTTCGTCAAGAGACAAAGGTAAGAAGCGTGTGTCTGGCCTATATACGTAATATCATATTACTAATATGAGTACGTAAGATTTTTTGCAGGATGAACGTGGAATTGATAAGATAGGGCGGACAAATAAGCGCGCTATTGCGAGAAATCTCACATATTGGTTTAAACTAGATTTTAAAAAAAGCACATTTGCAAAATGATAACATAAACAATAAATTTGTGAAACACGTTTTGATTGTATTAAGCATGAATACTGCATGCAATGTTACCACATGCTTCTGTTTACAAATTCAATTGACTTTAAAATAAAAAAAAAAGAATAAACACATGATTCCGCTTGATTATTTAATCAAACTGTGCGAAATGTTTCAAATGATTTTGTGTATTCTGTCATTGTTATGGATTCACGTCACATGCATAAACAGCATGAACCGACATTTATGAATGAATATGACTAATTTGGTTCGCGGTCGGCATTTCAATTGAAACTACCAGATATTGTGAATACAAACAGATTCAGAAGATTTTTTACCTGCATCGTGTTTATTTCTCTGCAACACTTTGAATTTTCGTGCAATGAGACTGCCATTGACACTGACTCACTGATTACAATTTTTTTTTCCTATCTTGATTGCATCATAGAAGTAAAACACACTCGGAAACACGACCAAATGTTTTTTTTTCTCTCGTCAAAAGTAAAGCAATTAAGATTTGAAATTTCATTCCAAAGAAGAATGAAAAACAACAAATTATAAATTGTAAATGCTTTTATGAGGAACCATTGACATTTTATCAAAGTGCTGTTGATTTGATAAAACCAAATGACTAGTGGATTTTTTATCTATCTTTACCTAATGTTTCCTTTTATTTGAAAAAAAAAATCGTTAAAACATTCAGTTCGCTTCGGAGAGAAATAGGAAAATCAATAGGCATATTAATTTTAATTTAAAAAAATATTTTCAGACTGAAGCATATTCATGTATTTCATCGAACACAACTGAAAAATGTCACGCACAAAAAAGTCTTGGCATCGGTGCCAAGTATCTTTCTTTAAACTACTTTGAAATTCTTTGAACACTTGAAATTTCAATCGTCATTTCAAATTCAAAATGCCGAAAATTACATTCATTTCGAGCCACACGAACGACAGACGCAACGACTGAATAAAATTCGAATTAAAACCGAATTCTAATTTAGATTTTCAAAAAGTGCATTATTATCAGGAATCATTTTATTTTTTTCGTTTTTTTCCGTTGATATTCCTGCAAATGATAATTAATTGTTGATTTTTTGCTTGTAATTTCAGTTATAATCAGTGAATAACAATGGCGGCAAGGTTTCGCAATATCGGTGTGACAACAATCGGTGCATGTGCCGGTTTGGGGCTTGCTGGATGGGCCTTAAATCCATTCGATAAACAATTTGCAGTAAGTTTTTAAACAAATTCACAAATAATATTTCATTTTGATTGAGTATCGTTAGAAATTGTACAAAAAATTTGTTTTTTCTGGTATTTTGTTAAATTCCAGAATGTGAATGCAGCCGCCATAGCAACGCCGCGTGTTAAACGAAAACTTCCACCACGATCTGAACAAGTGAAAACACTGCAAAGTGGCGAAGAGTACGATGTGATCATCATTGGTGGTGGTGCAACTGGTGCTGGTTGTGCTCTCGATTCAATTACAAGAGGTGTGTGTGTGTGTGTATATACGATGATAATCATCGTTGCAATAAAATAAATTCTAATTTCGTTTGTTTCGCCAAAGGTTTAAAAACTGCATTGATTGAAGGAGATGATTTTGCAAGTGGTACATCGTCTCGTTCGACAAAATTGATTCACGGTGGTGTTCGTTACCTGCAAAAAGCTATTTTGGGAGTATGTATAGATTGATGCATGTGATAAAATACCAAATTCAAAGGATCTTATGTAATGTGTATAAAAATGTCTTTTTTTTTAGGCTGACATAGAACAATATCGAATGGTGAAAGAGGCATTGCATGAACGTGCCTCGATGTTGCATTCGGCTCCACATTTGACACATCCAATTCCGATTATGTTACCGGTTTACAAGTAAGTCAATCGTACGAAATGAACAGCATCAAATTGAATATATATGTTTTCATAGATGGTGGCAGCTTCCATACTATTGGGTCGGTATTAAATGTTACGATTTCGTTGCTGGCGATCGAAATGTAAAGAGTTCCTACGTATTATCGAAAAAGGATGCGCTCGAATTGTTCCCAATGTTGAAAGGTGATAAATTGGTGGGTGCCATTGTCTATTACGATGGTCAACAAGACGATGCTCGTATGAATTTGGCTGTTGCATTAACAGCAGCCCGTCAGGGTGCAACTGTTGTCAATCACACCGAAGTGACGGCTTTGCTTAAGAAAAAAGATGCATCGGGCAAAGAAGTGTTGTGCGGCTGTAAAGTTAAAGATACGATCACAAATAAAGAATGGGAAGTGAAAGGAAAATGTATTATCAATGCAACCGGACCATTTACCGACCACATTCGGAAAATGGATGATCCAAATGTGAAAACAATTTGTTGTCCAAGTTCAGGTGTTCATATTGTATTGCCCGGTGAGTAAATGATCTGCTGCAGGCACCGTACAAGCACTTTTCTTATATGTTTCGCTTGTATTGAGACACTTGAAAAGCTATATAGACTAGGTGCAGGCATTTTTCTAATGTTTGTTATTCCAATTTTTTTTCAGGTTATTATAGTCCACAACAAATGGGTCTACTCGATCCATCCACATCCGATGGTCGTGTGATCTTCTTCTTGCCATGGCAAAATCAAACGATTGCCGGAACCACGGATCTGCCATGCGATGTAACACACAATCCAAAGCCAACGGAAGATGAAATTGAATTCATTTTAACCGAAATCAAAAACTATTTAAATGCCGACGTTGAGGTACGTCGTGGTGATGTCTTATCAGCATGGAGTGGTATTCGTCCATTGGTATCAGATCCAAACAAAGAAGATACACAATCATTGGCTAGAAATCATATCGTTCACGTGAGTCCATCGAATTTAGTTACAATTGCTGGTGGTAAATGGACAACATACCGTGCCATGGCCGAACATACAATGGACGCAGCAATTAAAGCATGCAATTTAAAACCGGAAAAAGTCGATTGTCAAACCGATGGTATGCTTTTGGAAGGTGCACACGGTTGGACACCAACCATGTACATTCGTTTGGTACAAGATTTCGGCTTGGAATGTGAAGTTGCACAACATTTGGCACAATCGTATGGTGATCGTGCATTTCCGGTTGCAAAAATGGCATCGTTGACCGGCAAACGGTGGCCAATTATTGGCAAAAAAGTTCATCCCGAATTTCCATACATTGATGCTGAAATTCGGTATGGTGTACGTGAATATGCATGCACAGCAATTGATATGATTGCACGACGATTGCGTTTATCATTTTTAAATGTACAAGCCGCACAAGAAGCTTTACCCACCATTGTTGACATTATGGCCGAAGAATTGAATTGGTCCAAAGATGAAAAAGAACGACAAATTAAATCGGCCACCGAATTTTTGGCCAGCGAAATGGGACAAATTGTAAACCGTGCATCACGTGATAAGATACCAATCAATCTATCGAAAGACGAAATTCAATTGTACATTAAACGATTCCAAATTATCGACAAAGAGAACAAAGGTTATGTTTCAATCAACGACATTCGACGTGCACTCAAGGTAATGTGTTTTGTTTCATCAATTTTATTTTTGGCTCAAAATTGAGTTCGGAACCAGCTAGCTGCTAGCTTTGCAGAAAATTGAATTTTTTGTTTGTAAAACAGCCGACAAGTGAAACGAGGATCAAATCTCCCAATAATCCTTTTAGATCTATTTTTTTTACATACAGACATTTATATCAAATTCGATTAATCCATTCACAATTCTCACCATTTCCGGTTTTGTGCAATGACTTTTTAAATAATCATTTTCGTCGTTGATGACATTTTTTTAAGCTTAATTTTTCTAGAAAGAATATTTGCTGTTGTTTGGCACAATGCCCAACAGTGTTGATTTTATGTTCAAACCATCCGACTAAAGAGATTACATCTTTCGAATCACATTTATAGAATATTGAAGGAATTTCGGTTAACGATGAAAGTCTACATGAGCTTCTCAGAGAAGTTGACGTCTCGTACAATGGTCGATTGGAATTGTGGGACTATTTCCAGGTAAACGAAACAACAGCATTGACCATCAATGAGAAAAGGCAACGTTGCATTTCCTTTTCGAAATGAGCAAATTGCTTATCAAAAAACAAAAACAAAACCGAATCGAACAAAAACAGTATGGGCTTAAATTCGTTCTCCGACATTTTCATGTCTGTCATGCCATTGGAAGTTTTATAAGCTAGAAAAATGTTTAGATTAGAAGTGAAATACGGCTTTTCATTATCGACTGACGGAACATGGTTAATTTTTACATCGTTCAAATGGTCATTCTTCGCGCAAACAGTAGAGCACGTGAATTCTTTTTTTATTTTTTTATTTTGGGGTATTATTAGTTTTAAGAATGGTTTCTCATCATCCAAAATCATGTCTATTGGACAATTATTTCCCTCCTTTGCCGCTTGATCCTGGTATTCTTGTCGACTTTTATTCGGCCGATTAGATTGTTTTTAATGCCTATTTTGTTTGGCAAAATAATTTAAATGAACATCAAAAAACAATGCACACTTCTTCATTCGTTATACATTTAGAATTTCGGTGATGCTGATATATCTGGTGAAGAGTTGCATGAAATTCTTCGTGAAATCGATACAAATATGAATGGTCAGGTCGAACTCGACGAATACTTACAGGTTGGTACATCTTAACTGACTAAATTACTGACGAAGCACGGAACCGATGACACCCAATTTGTTTTTTTTATTAAACCAAAAAACACTCACACGCACACACTCACAAAGAGTTAAGGCTTTTTTTTTTATCAAAATTAAAACACAAATACAGATAATTTGTGCCTTATTCAACATAGTTTAATAGCTGAACTAACGTGCAATTCTAAAATGGCAACAAACGTTTGTAGTAATTTGACTTTTAGTTTGCAATCATTTGACTTGAGATGCACCTTATAATTGCACCCATTTCCTTTTTTTATTATGGTAAATTTGTTTTATTTCAAATTGTGTAAACAGCACATTTCTTATTTTTTTCTCTCGAAAATACTTACAATTTTGGTTCACAAATACACAACCAAATACAATTGGTTTCGTTGACACATTTAACATTTTGAAATATCTGAAATTGTTGGAAAGCATTCCAATTAACTTTAAGTCACTTAAAATCTATGTTTTAATTGGCTCATTTTAAGAGGCATGAATCTCTCACGACTTCCATCCTTTGATTAAAATTATAGTATTAGATTGATGATTTTTTTTTTAATTTTCATCAATTTGAGTTTTTGCATGGCATTTAAAGGGGAAAGGTATCGGTAGAGTTAGAAATATTTAAAATTGTATTAATGAAATAACTTCACTAAACCAGAAATGTGTTTGGCACCGGAGAGTGGCAGTCGCTTACCCGCACTTATTCCACAGCATTTTTCAAGTGCTGCGCCTGAATTTAAGAAAGACAAGAGATGTATCCGCATATCTGTGGTGTCTATAACAGGTCAAAACTTAACGGAAACATGTTTAATCACTAAAACTGAAATGGAAATTTTATTATCGATGTAAATATGATTCGAAAAGGATATTAAAACATCTCAAATGTAATGTTCAGAATCCATTTGATATTAATATTCAAGTACAGACGGTCAAAACAGTTCAATCAAAATTGATGTCGAAAATGAAAATCAATCGGATGCCAATTACATTAACTACCATATTAACAATAACCAATTAAATTTGGATTATTCATACCATTTTTACCAAACTCTTTCGAACTATCGAAGTTTCAAATAAAAATTCATAATTTTTTCTAACAAAAAAGAAAGCATTTTGCGTTGCTCAATTTACACTTGCATGTACTAACAACAATGCAAAGAACGAATTAAACAAAATATTAGATTTTATATATGAGAATGGCTTGTGTAGTATGTATTTGTTCGAAAGGAATGTATTTTATGATAAAAGTTTGTTGATTTGTTTCCTTAAAAAACATTTTCAAACAAGCATTTCAAATTATTGAATCTAATGTATTATTTTTCTCATTTTTATTTTTAAAAACGAATTTAAAAAATGATCTAGATGATGTCGGCTATCAAATCGGGTCATGTGGCTTATTCACGATTCGCGCGAATGGCTGAATTGGAAGAAGAAAAGCACGAAGTTGAAAAGCTCAAGAAGAAGATCAGTGTAGATCGTTCAGGAGGTGGATTGTAAGAAGTGACAACACAACACATGCATACATACATTTACACACATCCAACCTGGCAACACAAGTTCATACATACACACACCTTTTTAATTAATTAAGGTTCTTTTCACGTGATTTCTTTCTGCTACATTGTTCTCTTCTCCCTCCCACAAAACGAATCTTTATCTTCTCCTAACGACACAAACATATTGAACAAATAACAACAACAACAAAAATCTTTTTGACAAACTACTTTCATAAGAATTAATGTAATGCAGAATGATAACCACATTGATTTAGAAATATATTTGAATAAAATGAAATCGCGCATAAAAATCATATTTATCAGAAATCAAAAATCCTCTGTAATTTAAAAGAAAAAAACAGAAGAAGTATTTGTCCATTGTGGCGGAAGCCAAAACTGATTTGGTTTCAGTTATGATTATATGATATACATATACTTAAAGCCTTCAATGGCAAAATATACAATAAATAAGACATTGGTACTTATCAGTGGATTTATTATTGGTTTTTAATTTCCCAGTTGTGTCACATTATTGTTTCAATTTTGCCTTTGATGTACATTGACATTTATTTGTTTATAAGATCGTCTTTGAATCAGGTAATAAATCATATGAAAATACAAACTTTTTGTGTTATCATTTTTTTCATTCGTTCCAGCCACCTTAGCACTCAATCGAAAACGCGGCATTGAACACAATTACAATTTTATTTGTAGTTTTCATAAAAAACACCTCTTGGTGGAAGGAATGACCGAAATGAGTATACTATTATAATACGTCAAATGCATGTAAAAGTTGAAAAGAGTTCGAAGTATGTTTAGTTTGTTCATTGATGAGATCTGATTCGATATCGATAAATTATATGTGAATATCATGGCAGTTCGTCAAGGAGCTATACGTGAATAAGTGAGGACCATTTAAAAGTTAGGACTTCTGAATGCATCCAATCGTCGAGCTCCACATTCGTTTGAGCAAGCATTCGGTGTGAAAGTGTACCTGCCTGATTTTGTGAAAATAAATACGTGAATCGCTTAAATTGAAATTAGTAGCTATGTATCTCCTTCGTTGGGGAGTTAAAAAGTTGCATTGAAACTCATAGAGATACTATTTTTTTTTGGAGGATGTGTATTTCATTTTCGGTATAAAACCGCTCGTTTTAGTTAAACCCTCGCTGAAAATTCTCAATTCAGAACTTGATACGTGTTGCCGTCAATCGTCATAAAATGTTTTTTATTCGTGTAGAAAAGTTCGTTTGTTCACAGTGTGTGCTGTGTGTACTTTTTTCCCTATGCCCATTTCTCTTGTTTGGCATCTCTTTCTCTCTTTCTAGCGTTCACGCTTTCTCTGTTCAGTCCATGGCATCAGTATATCCACGCGTGCCACACACACACACACACTCTTTGTCTCTTCCCTTTTCCGTATCATGCGGGTTTCTCAAATTCAAGGCACACACATTGTAGTCGCGCTCAGAGCAAGAGCGAGAAAAAGGGAGAAAAGATCGAGAGAGAGAGAGCGAAAGACGTGTGGCGTACGTTTAATCGATTTGAATTCGTTTACGCTATAAGCCTGTATCGTTATCGTTGTATGTGGGTGTATGTAGTTGTGGATACGTATATTCAACTGTTTAACAAAGCACAAAACGTACGTGAATTTTGTAAGAACGAAGAATGTTTCGTTCACAACCTCTGCTGGCACAGAGTGAATAGGCCACCCTCATTGCAATTGTTATAAAAAGATATAATTTACATATTTCATTCGAAATTATTTCGTTTCCAAATTCTCAATCGTCGTTCTTATCTTAAGGATCTCTGGAATGGTTTCAGGTTAATTAAACAATGACAATGTTTCTGATTTTTTTTTTAATTTTTCTCGTGTATGTGTGTGGATACCGAACATTTATCATTTCTTATTGAATCTTCGTTTATTCCGGACATTTGAGGAAAACGACATTATAATGATATGTTTGATTTTAATTAAGGTCGGATTATTTATACGCCTTCACTGTGTTCCAAATGTATTGGTCGTTCTTTTCTCAATTTACACACCTCACGCATTCTTCTTTCTTTTGATATCCAGCGTAGCGATGGGGGCGATGCACACATTTCCAGGCGTTTTTAATTTTTCAAATCGAAATTTTATTTTATGCTTCGCATTCGATAATGGGTTGGAGCGTGATAATATTCCATTTATTTCGTTAATGATCATATTTTCGCTTCATTTAGTTCAGAACATTCGAATCGAATAATTTCTTGTGAATGAAATGGAGCGCAGTGAAAAGGTTGGAATGTCATTGAACAAATTTGTTTTTTTTTTTCTTGTTTGTTTGGTTGGATTTTCATTTGCATCATTTTGCTTGACTCAAAAAAGGGCTGTGATTCAAAAGAAGGAACGTAGAGTACACATTTGATTCAGCCAATGCAAAAAATTGTTAATAATCGGTTAAACCCCAACTCGAACCATTCCGGTTGTGTATTCGGGTTGAAAAAGAAGGTGGCAATGAGGTAGATCCGATTTTGTACACGCATGCAAATAAAGTTCGCCTATATGCGATGTGAGTGTGACGCTAAAACTCACTTTGAATATATTATAGCACATGGAGAACGAGGTCCAATACCATTTTATGCTACTACTTTTGGTGTTTGTGTTGTTGGCGGTGGCGGCTATGGTGTTTTCATTTCGAAATTTACACACCCGACGACCCACTATTTTCATGGGGCCAATGCAAAGAAACGCGAGAAATGCATTATTGTAAATGCGTGTGATATGCGTGCGTGCACACACCACAATCATCGTTCACTCATTTTCACACAGCACTAAATTATTGTGCGTACAATAATAATATTCATTATGTTCATGCTCGCATTATCGCAACGTAATTCGAAGATAGAACCTCCCCAAATATAAAAGACGCTTCGCTAATGATGTGCAAATATATTTAACATGAATTTGATGTCGATAAAAACTAGTGGACGGTTTTAATTTGCGATAACATCGAGGCAGAGATTGGTTCGAACTATTTAAAATATTCCACGTAAAATTTAGTCGGTAATTCTCCTTCCAATCAATTCGGATGTTAAGCACATTTTTGATGTTGAAAGTTTTAAGCAAAACGGTGCCATGAAACGGGTTATCAAATGTTCGCTGCGTTCATTTGCGAGAGGGTACAAATTCAACTACACCGAATTATCTGTTATAAATGGGTCGGGCATTTGAATTGTTTATACGTGCATGAAGTTTCGATTGCCAAAGCCTAGCCTCTCGTCGAATAGGCGAATTGCGATTTGAAACATTGCTTGGAATGATGTTGTTACTGCAGCATCATGTAGACCTTTCTCTCTGTGTCACACTACAAACATGTGTGTCCACCTCGTTTTTTGTTGTTGTTTCTCTCGCATTTTAGGGTTTTCATTTTAATAACAAAAGAACAAACAATATAGCACGACGCAGAATAGAGGAAGAGTTACCATGTTGTTTAACGTATTATAGGATTTCACGAGGGTTTCATGAACATTTTCTAGGATTTAAGCAGGACGAAAAAGGCAGGAGAAATCCAACATACAAAAACGGAACAAAGAAAAGGTAAAAATGCGACTTTTATGAGTATTTTTTCTCATATTTTGACGGTATTTGTATGAGGCACATTGTACAGAGATGATTAAGATAGTATGAAGGGATATAGATTTTCAGAATGACGATGGCTTTATTTTGAGGTTTTAATCCCTAAGACCAAAACAGCTCGTTTCGTCGAAGATAAACAAAATTCGAAAATAAACAAAAATACCCGAAGCAAACCAAACAATTTTTTTCATAGAAAAAACTGAAAAATTGTACAAACACACTTTTTTTGTCAAGTAGAAACGGAGTATTTTGGATTGTTAATGTATAACATTTTTCGAGAGTTGGTGTTAATTTGTTGAAATTATGATTTGATTATAGTGAGTGACACAAAAAGGTATGTTCTTATGAAAACCTATAATTTTGAACGAAGGCAGCAGGCGTTCTTTGCAATGCAATTTATTTCAACCCAACAAACAATTGGCTTCTTCTAATCAGAGAAATTGGGAGTTTGACAAAAATCTGTTCGAAACTGTTGGTGGCTTTCTATCTCTCGCTCTCTCTCTTTCAATTTATACTTTCGTTCGTTGGTCGAAATCATTGAAGGCGACTGAATTTAATAAGTTGAGAAGTAGAAAAAGAGAAAGACAGGAAAAGAGAAATAGAGAAAGAAAGTGTGTATAGAAAACGAGGGCCCAGTGAAACATTTTTACAACAAATGGGTGGTTTATTTTTGTATACGTCTACATGTTGAAATACCATTTGCGTTGTGAAATTTTCGAGGGTCTTTGTGCTCATTGTGTGTTCACCACGGGCAACGGCATATATACACACAGCTCGTTGTGTGTGTTTGTTGTTGTTTTCGCTGCTATTGCTGTTGGTTTGGGTTTCGTTTTGGCCGCGTCTAGTATGCTTGTAAAGTTTGCCGCTCTGTTCTCATATCAATAGATGTGTGCCTTAGCAGCTCTATCATTTCAATGGATAGACACTAAACACATACACACCGATAGTAAATTGTTTTTAGTGTATCATAATAAATAGAAATACGCCAGCAGGCAAGCACATCAATGTATCACGCATTTCATACTGTTTGGCGAACATGAAACGAACGAGCAGAAACAATATTCGTAACATTTTTCACTACAGCGTACATACAAGGAAAGATGATTTCAATCGAGAGTCGATTTTTTGAAGGTACAAGAGACCAACCCAAACGCTATTCCACTGTAACAGCCTATGCACACATTTGCAGCATGAACAAGGCAGCCGAACGATAAACGTTGTGCCTGCAATGCAATTGAGCAAAGAATTTTGATTGTATTTGTGTGTTCACCTCCTCAAATATAAAACAGTGACGTACGCAAGAATTTAATTTCATTGAATGAAACCAGAGAATATTTTATTCAAAAAAATATATATCAACATTTCTTGCAATTTTTCAAAAAGACGCATTTTTTCAAAGGTGATTGTCATCATTATGAGAAAAATAATGGATCGGGTGGGATTCTTTCTACGCCACTGTACCATTCAAAATTCGAATCGATAGACAGATTTAACATATACATATAAATCGCCTGGCAAACGAACCGTGTGTGACAACAGTGCAAAGCGACGACCTCTTCTATGCTTTATTCGGCAAACGAAGGTAATCATCAATATCATATGTGTTAGTGTGTATATGTATATATTACCCGTGAACATATTTCCATATAATTTCGTTTCGAACATTTGTATGCGTTCAATTGGGTTGTGTGTTAGTGTATTCGGTTTGTGTAACGTTGTTGTCGTCGGAAATGTTCGGTTAACACACACCACTGCGCATACGGTGTTCGCCCAACATCGGGCTGGTTTACAAAAATTTCCAACTTTAGCCGACCTACCGATCGAAAATCAACATCGTGTTCACTATTCGAGGCAGCGCGTAGATGGAAACAACCATATGCCGATTTGTTCTCTCTGTGTGTTCATATAGTTTAGAGTGTGGTGTGTTTTAAAAAGCAAAAGAAGAAAAATTATTGTTGTATTATTACGATTATTTTCATTTTCGAGTTTCACTGTAACCGTAGTGTGGCACATACCTTATATTCATTGTGCGCGTGTAACGACGACGAAACGATTGTAAACACAAATTGGATAGAACGTGATAGCAATAGCAATTGAATCGGTCGTGGTCCGTACTGTCAGTTGGCGGCGCTGTTCATCATCACATTCTCATGGTAAAGCATTTTACACAATACTTTCTGTATATATAGTATATTTTGTATACGGTATTTGGTTGACAAAGAGCAAGCGTTTCTTCTCTCTCTCTCTCTTTTACTTTACGTAGCTACAAACCATTTGAATACATTTTGTAACTTAGTTCAAGCAATCTTAACGAAAATAACAAAAAAACACAACAAATCGGTAACGCGTCGAGAGACAGAGAGAGACAGAGAGAGGAGAGAACGCGCGCGAGATTTACCGAAATATGCAACTACAAAATCAATCAAAAAATATATAGGCAAACACAAAGAGACGACATTATTTGAACTCTTTGCCATTAAGAAGATGTACTCAATGAACTTTCGATATGATTGAATGGTGTGAGAGAAATTGTTATGGCTCATTTAAACTATTCAATATTTCAACTTCATATGGATCAATTAATTTTGACAGATTTATTTTTGTGGCAAATTTTTTTCTGAAATGTTGACATTTTTCGTCAAAATTTTCTCCGTCATTTTTTCATTCATATTTTTTTAGTTCCATATTTTCTTAAATGAAATTATTTTGAAATAAAAACGTACTCGTTATCTGTTCTGCGTGATTGATCAATATGATTTTCTGTTTTAAAAAAAAAATCTCAGAAGAAGTTTCTTTTTTATATTAATTTAAAACTTAAATCGAAAAATTTTAAAGATTCGGTTGATTTTTTATCAATTTCAATTCAAAATGAACATTTTAAATTAAAAAGACAAAAGACTGAACTGTCAAAATTGTTTTAATTCATTATTGTTGACATGTTTCGTCTGATGAATATCCGATTGAATATAATGGCATTGATTTGAAATGTCAAAAAAAAAAAATGAATCTAATTTAACATATCATCGCTAATAATATTTTCATCTTTTTTATGTCCTTGCAGAGCATGAAATCATAATTTTATGTATATTTTATGGAGCAGCTAAAAAGATAAACGAGAATATGTAAAGAAAAAGTCGAAATAACAATAACATTCGAAACAGTTACAACAACAATAATAATATTAAGAAGTAATCTGCAAAGTAAAATAACTAAACATAGTGAGTACACATCGGAATGAATTAGTATACACATCGAATTGTAAAACGAGACATTGTTTTATGTGTATTTTGCTCTGGCTCTCACGCGCCGCATTGATACCGTCGTCTATATTCTATATGCATATGTGTGTGCATCGTAATAACATACAAGCAGCAACAGCAGCAACAGCAGCACCAGCAGAAGCACCAACAATAATATTTACGAAGCGAATGTAAAATCGACCAAAAACGACGACGACGGAGACAAGAGACATTTATTTTAACGAGAGTCAACACTTGGTGTACTGAATAAACGATACGCACGCATATGCTTAACGTGAAGCGTAACGCGTTCTTCATACGGCAACAGAGAGATAGAGAGAGAGAGAGAGAGAGAGAGAGAGAGAGAGGAATTGTATGCGGAAAACTTGGAGAGAATTGTAGCGGCAAATCGTCGTCGGAAGCATATGTATATGAGTGAGAGAGTGTGTAATTGTTCGGTGTTGTAAGTGAGTAAGCGCGCGTTTGTTTTGTTTCGATGGCATTGCTGTAAATGTGTGTTCCATCCGATTACAAAATATTGATGTGCTTTGCCTAGTCGAGGGCAAAAAACAAACCGGAGAGAAATATCAGCGAGAGCTTGTAACAATAGAAACGAGAGAAGAATAAAATCATTTGACGTATACATACACAGAGCGCATACATTCCGACATTTGTAAGAAAAATTACACCGAAAAATCGAGAGCAAGAACGACAGAGAGAGAGAGAGGGAGAACGGATTGATTTGGAGAAAGTAAGAAAAGGCAATTGAAGTGACAAAAAAGTGAATGAACGAAAGAGAGAAGCGCCAAATAATTAACAAAACTGAAACATTTATTAAAAAAAAACAAAATAAAATCCATCGTGAGTCGAACAATCGAAAATCGCACAAACTAAATCTAAAGGATTCTGAGGTGCTGATTGTGTCGTGATAGTTTTTGTATGACACAGTCTTGAGAAAATCAACTGAATGAGAATCAAACGAAATAAACTGGACAAAAAAATGACAAATTGTGATAGTTTCAAGCAGGAGATCACAGCCGAATTGGAGAACGTGCAGGTAATACTTTACAATAAAAATTTTCCTTTGAAGAAAGTGAAAATGCGTGAAAATTGGCGAGACAATTGACAAGAGTGAATTGCGAGTGAGATGTGAATTTGTAAATTGTGTGAAATGTCATTGTCGAGCAAGAGAATCATGAATGAATGTGTGATGAACCTTCTACCTTGCTGTTGTTGTTCAGATGTAGTTTCTTTGGTATTGATAAGGATTATAAACAAACCCAAAAAGCCGAATCAAAACAAAGCTGTTACAGTCAGCCGTGAGTATGTGTATTTATGTGTGATGGTGTGCTCTGTCTTTCGACACCATACCATTCGGTGTGTGTTATCATAACAAAAACTAAAACGAAAAAGAACAAAAAAAAATATATATATTAATATGTATATTTGGGGGCAGCAGACAAGCAATCGGATCAAAGCATTGCAAGTGGAACGAATGAGAATCAAAAAAGGCTCCAACATAAAATTAAAGACACACTCTATTTGTGGGAGTTTCGGCAAAGGCGAGCACACAAAGTGTATATTAAAATGGTGTGTACTCCACTGCTGTTTTTCGCTGCTGCTTCAGAGGCATACACAACCAGCAGGCAGAGAGCAAGAGGAGAGAGAGACAGAGTGTGTCCCCGAGCCCAATGCACAGAGACACGAAACTTCGTACGCGATATGGGCGGAGGCTCTTAACAAACAATCAAACAACCATTCTCAGTTCTCACTTTATTTCGATGAACTTGCTGTTGGTTTTTCGTTTTTGCCACACAACTCATGCTTTTGGGACCTATGAAAATATGCGATTTTCATATGTTCTGGACTTGTCTTTCATTTTCAATCTTCATTTGACTCATTTCGCTTACGGTTCGGCAAAAATATTTGACGTTTTGAACTAAATCTCTTTCGAGAAGAACCGAAGCGTTTAGAAGAGAGAATTTTCAGTCTTGCGGTTTTTTTCTTCTTTTATTATTATTAATACAATTCCAATGTTAACTGGTTATAATGATGGAATTTGTGGCCATAGGCTTTAAATATGTGCTCTTTTTTTTCTACGCGTCTTCAAATTGCAATGCAAGCGAATGGACACACATACACAGATAAAGAGAGAGAGAAGCAACGACGACACACACGCATACACAAAATTGATACGGAGATTTATTTCGATAGAGTTTTTACCGTCTCAACTGTAATGAAGCGCATGTGTGTATGTATGTGTGTATGTATGTATGTGTGTGTGTGTGTGTGTATGTGTGTGAAAATGTATGCTTCTGAGGTTGCACTGTGTGAAGTTCTTTCCATCAACAACAATCGAAACTTGAATTGAAATCTTTATAAGAAAAAAAACAGTCTCTGTCTCTTTGAGTAGCTGAAAAAAAAGCATCGTTTTTTTTTTCACTCATATTTGTTCACACATATGCCCATCACAATGCATATACCGAAAGCAAACGAAACATACAATAAACGATGACTATGCTTACGGCTTTCAGCACCGTACGTATCGAAATTGATGAATTTAGCGCGCGCTTTCTACAATGGAGTCGCATATGAACTCAGTCTCAGTAAAATTGAACACAACAACGACATGATGATCACATATATGAAATATACACACTCCGTATCGTCTCTCATTAGTGTGTGCGAACGTACGTTCTCTCCTCTATCTTTTTGGTGCGGAGTACCGTATCGTATTTACACTACAATGCGATCGCATGTTACAATGCGATGTGTGTATATCTCTCGTCTAACATTCGAAACAAATACATAAAACATTCGTATCCAACATGTGCTTGTGTATTTTGCTCATATTCTTTGCATCCCTTCGATCCTCATTTTTATGCATATGGTATTTGGTATTTCGGTTTTCGGCTACACACCGTGAGTGCAAGAGATACAGAGGCGCACATATAGTGAACCAAAACACACATGCTTATGCATGCGTTACCTTTTATGCGGTCATACAAAGTAAAACACGGCTAGCTATTTAGTCAGTGAGACATTCGATTTTCTCGCATAAATCTAGTCAATCGATATCATTCTAATTGTCAATTAATTTTTACTGATGAAGCTGATTGTTAGATTTTAACCATGGGCATACAGTTAATTCGATTTGTGTGTACGGCGCGCGTGGGCATTGATTATACTCTTTTCGTCAACTACATTTTTTACACATGTATTCTACACAACCTATTTAATAATACACATAAACAATAAGCACACAGCATCAAATGCATTTCAATCCGTTTTTTTTTGTTCGATTCGATTCGTCTGTGTGTATGCTACGACTCCGCAAGTCATAAACAAATTTAATTAGTTTTGCCATTTGCGATTTCGATAAATAAACTTTTGTAAATTATGACGTGCGCACGATTGACAGAAAGGGAGAGAAAGAGAGAGAGAGAGCGCGCGCGACGGGGAGGAAAAAGAGGAGCAAAAGAAATGCATTAAATCAGCTTGAAATTTGCAAACATGTCATTGAATGGATGGAAAATCTTGGGCCGATCTCTAATTGCATAAATTCATTCTTAATATTGTTGTTGCGATGCATTTTATTTCATATTAATATGATTATGCATTTTCCATTAAATGGTCACATAATAAGCGAGTGAGATGGAGACTGCGTCAGAAAATCTGAACAATTCCACAACCACACAAACAAAAAATGTACGGCACCTTTTTATGTTATCGTTTTTTGTTCGTACAGTTGCTGCTGTGTAAGTCGGTCAAAATGCCGAAGATTTTGATTGCGGCGCATTGATTGGTGTATACAATGCACAGCACGTATCATGAAGTCACAACACCGCCACCAGCAATAATAACAACAACAACATTGACAACCGTTTTCAATGCATGTGTACTTGATCACTTGCATACAGTATATATATTTAATTGAATTGAAACCGCAGATCGTTTGGAATTGGAAAGAAAGGTGAACGAAAGCAGAAAAAAAAATCTGCGAAGCAACAAGAAACATTTACATACATATAAATCAAGCGAGGCCCATAATTGAATATTATGCATTGTGCAAACGATGCATTTTGTTACAACGTAAATGTATCGCTGATAAAAACTAAATCGCATAAAAATGAGTATTATTCAGCTCACTCTATCTCATTTTATGCGTATTCTTATATTGTTTTGTTTACACTCGTGTTCGTTCATTGTCGATTGCAATTCATTGGAAATACTCTCGCGATTCAATGCTCATATCATACGTACATATCACAGTGCATCATCAAACTGCAACGGCAAAACAGCACAAAAGAAGAAAAGGAAAGAAAGAGAGAGAGAGAGAGAGAGAGAGAGAGAGATAGAAACACTCCCGACTACTCGATAAAATAATATGAAAATGAATAGCAGAGTAAAACGAGCGAGGTTAACAGAAATGAACAGAAATGAACGAACAACAACAAAAAAATAACATATTTCTTAAACTTGATGTGGCCGTTGTTCGATGTGTGTCGTGCAAACAGCAAACGACAATTTATAACAGATCAAAAAGATATATGGTGTTGGTTCCTCCGAGAAAGAGTGGAAACGGCAAGAGAGAGAAAGAGAAATAACAACATCGAAATAATATTCAATGCGCTCGATTGTACAAGGAGTTCGATCGACTCAAATTATACATGAAATGAACAAAAGAGAAGAAGAAGAAGATAAAAAAACACACGTAATTTATTCTGAAATGTGTACTGGCCACTGGCACAATGCACACCGAAAAAAAAGTGGCCCCGGCTTTGTACACATGCTCCTTTTTCCCGAACGACACACAAATGCAAACGGTGCGGCGCACATATGAAATTATTAAACGCGTCATTTATTTCGTTTACTAATAGCAAATAAACTAGATTGGCATGGCAATTAAATTTCTACTCTCAATTCATTCGAATTACTTTGATGTGATTTTCGTTGACCTTTTTCAATGGTTTGACTCAATTGAAATGAATAATTACAATTAGTTGATCAAAATGCAATGTCTAAATATCGCTTCATATATGAATGGGGTAGAATAAAAACTACTTCTCGAAAAATGTTTAAACACGAAACCTAAAAAAAAATTTCAATAAAAAGTGAATCAATTTTACTTTTCCGCACACACCTAGTGTGTAAGGTAAAGTATTGGAATCGGTCGAAAAATTAACACCCATCAAAAATGTGTTTTCTGGGTGTTTTTGGGGCCAGAGAACACGAATCTAGCGTTTTTTCGATGTCCGAATGTATGTGCGTACCCTGTACCCTGTACCCTGTACGCTGTACCCTGTACGCAAAAATTTGTTAACACGATAACTTTCAAACAAGAAAAGTAATTCAAAATCTGACTTCACAGGATGATTGGGGGTGCCGAGGAATAGAAACCATTAGATTTTGAGCGACTTTGGTTGAAAGAGTGACGTGTCATGTCTGGTGTGATGCCCATGGACATCCATGGGAAAAAATCAATTTTTCTTCCAAAAGTGATATTTAATGTATTCTTAAACACTCAAAAATGTGTATTGGGGTTTTTTGGGTACGAGAAAACCGAATATGACGTTAATTATGCGATACAAATATATTTCGACACACTTTTCATACAAAAATTTCAAAAAATTTGGATTTTTCTATGGAAGCCATGCCTGTATGATATCGTAATGAGCTGAAACTTTACACAGGTTATTTTTTTCACACAAAAATAACATACCGAAGGTTTGAAGAGATTTCAATGGATAATAGGGGTATTTTTTTCTCAAAAACGAAAATTTTGTATGGAAGGTACCACTTAATTTTATTGAAATTTCTTCAAACTTTCAGAATGTAAGTTTTTTGTGAAAAAAATAACATCTGCAAACTTTCACATGATTACGATATCATACCCATATGAAACCTCAACGCTATGCGCGTCAAATCGACGTTATTCGACGCTATTCCATGTGTATATAGAATTGTACATTATGTTTTACAGTGCTGTGCAAGCATGCGGCCTTATACACAGTAACACACGAAATCCGTTTACGTGCGCGCGTTGCCTGTTATGTTTTGTGTATTGAATTGCGACTCAATCACAGTAGACGGCGCAGGCACTGTAAAACATAATGTACAATTTCATATATACACATAGAATAGCGTCGAATAACGTCGATTTGACGCGCATAGCGTTAAGGTTTCATATGGGTACAGGCATTGAAAAGTCGTTCAAAAATTATTTGTATCGCAAAACTTATATCAGATTCAGTTTTCTCATGAATTCATAATTACGGTAAAAGATACGTAATAAATGCATGTTGTGGATCACAGTGCGGAAAAGTTCATCTTACGTATGTAAGACATTTTATTTTTTTGTCCAATTGAAGTGAACCAAAAAAAATTTGTTCAATAAAAGTGAGCCTAACAAAAAAATTCATTTTAGTGTATTTTACACTGAAAAAACCGAGTGAAATTTTTTTTTTGGTTCACTTTTATTGAACAAAATTTTTTTGATTCACTTCAATTGGACAAAAAAAAATTGATTCACTTTTTATTGAAATTTTTTTTAGGTTTGGTTTTAAAATACCAATTTTTCGAGAAGTAGTTTTTATTCTACCCCATTCATATGTACCATTCACATGATGAATAATGCGTTAAATGGGTAAATTTTCGGTCGGAACCGAATTTCTGAGTATTTTTCATTCAATTCGTTTCAAACGGATTGTTCGATATCGTTTTAAATGTTTGAGGTTTTTTACTTTACGCACTCAGAATGCATCTGGCTGTGATGCATATTCATTTCACGTCTTACGTAAAATGCAAATGAATCAATTTGTTAATTGGCTGTAATTGGAAGCACGTGCTCCGTTTTCGCACATACATGTATTTTTAACTGGTATCATTTTGGTAACAATAACCACCTTCCCATAAAATACGTGATAAAAACGAAACTTTACCCCCTCCAAAATAAGAGACGATTTAATCGAATTGGTTGGTCAATTAAAATTTAACCACCCCAAAAAATCAAACCAAAACACCATACACAAATATACACGCACACACTCACTCACTGTTGCCCGCACGCTGATATTCAACAATTTATGCACATAATTCATTTTGATTTACAATATATACGGTATATAGAGATAGATATGGTACGTGCACAAACAATGCATCCACACACCATGTAACTATTTCGTAACTTTTCATTCGATTTTACACTTTCCCTCTCATAAAATATGTGTGAAATCACGCCACATTCTGATCTGTTCGGCAGAACAAAAAAAAGTTGGCGGAGAATACAAAAGATGGGTGTTTTTTTTGAATTGTTTGTTGCTGGTGTCGAATAGTGTCGAATGGTTAAGCACAAGGCTGTCATTTAAACCGATCCCACAAATTTAACGAATGTCATAAGAGTTACTTTGCCATAGATCCAAAACAAAATCAGATCATTTTTGCCATCCGAATGTGTTTCGTTTTGCTCTTTTCTCTTTCAGAATTATAATGTAACTGGTATTTTGTCTTTAACACGCAGCTCAAGAGAAACACAAAACCAAATGGATCAATGAAAAATTAACCAACAATTGACATCTACATTTTTGACCACTCCATTCAATTTCTTTTTCTCTTTATGTTGAAAATCATATCATCGCTGTGATAAAAAGGGCTCTATTATTTTTGTTTGTCAGTCTGAATGAAAGAGTTGATGATTGAATGATTTTGCACACGGAAATTAATTATTGACATTTGAAAAATGGCAATGGGATTCAATGTTTGCTTTTGTCGTGATCAAGAATTGATTAGTGGTGGAGGGGGGCGGGTACGAACCGTACATAATTAAATCATTGTTAATTAATCAAACGTACGTTTTATTGCGAAGAAAAATTCCCCATAGCTCATTTCTAATACAAAGGATCATTGACAACATAATAAATTTACTCGTTCAAACTTCATTGAAATATTGCAAATGTCAATTTTTTATTTCGTGTCACGAAAATTTGCTGAATGATTCTCTTCTAATATGTCTTGGTTAAATTAATCTTAAAACTTTGTTGATTAAAAAAATGTCTATATCTGTCTGTTTCTCTGTTGTTTTTCTTCTCTGTGATTTTTTTTCATCTAGATTCGCTTACAAAATTGTCTAAGTTACCTGAACTGTGACACAAAACGCGAATACAACCATAATTAACTTAAATAAATATCATATCTGGCTGAAGAAGAAGAATTTGCGAAAAAAAAAAAAAAAAAATCTGCATTTCTAAATCGACATTTTATAAACAAAAGAAAAATAGAATAAAATTTAAAAAAAAATTATCGAAGTTAAAAAAGATACAACGAATTATATATCGACTTAAAGATTTGGAGTCTGAGAAAAACAAAACAAAAAAAAAACACCCGAACACCGGGTTATATTATAAATTGCAAAGAGTTCGCGAAATTTCAATAAACTGGAAGGAACACAGCAACACGTGCCCTCTGGGGCAGAGGTGCGAGTAGTCAGTGCGTCAGTAATTGCGCAGTTGCAAGCACAAGGGCTACAGGTCCGTTAAACATAAATAATCCTAATTCAAAATATATTTTTTAAATTCAATTTTTGGCATTTTTTTCACGGCTTACTTACACTTTCACAATATACACATCTCAACACATATTTTATTTTATACACCCAGACACACAAACGAAATTAATTAATATTATTATTATTATTTTTCATTTTTGTTAACATGCACCAAATTGTTTGTTTTATTATTTGGCTAACTATAATATTTTCCCGTTGTTGACCAAATTTATATTATAATTTGTTGATTAACCAAGTAAATTGGGACTCCCATTCAATTTGTACGCTCTTTAGTTTGGACACAATTCTTATGAACTTAAAAAAAAAATAAAAAAAAAATACCACATAGCACGTTTTCTTTAATAGCTGCGCTTTTGTGATCGAATCAATTCTACTAATCCATGGCAAACTAAATAATTATTCAAAGCCTTGTGTCGATGTCGATCAGATATTCCACCTGTCTTTCTGATTCGCTTTATTATTTATTTACTTTTGTAAACTGTATACAATCCTATTCTAATTTAATTTTCTTTGTTTTTAGTCATAAAAAAAATTCTATCGAAAATTACTTAATCTATTCCATCTCTATTTTAGAATCGATTATATTTTTTTTTTGGCTTAAAAACATACACTCTAATTTATATAATTTGTAATTTCGTTGCTGGATACTGGTGATAATACGTATTAATTTTCTTTTCGGTTGCAATTGCCCTTCAATTTTATTTGTATAGTTTTTTAGTTTCACTAAATATTTTTGTTATTGTTGTTATTGTTATTGTTGATTGATAAATGCTCTTTATCGAATTACTTATAAGTCAATTTACACACGCCACACTTAAAGCGAACTTTAACCAAATCGAATTCAATTGAAAATAATCAAAAATTATTTAATTTCCATATTAAAGGGCAATGAGCTGAATGCTGCGATTGTGGCTGCTTCACAGCCTAGCAACGGAGTGAGTAAATTTTCCTACAAAAATTGTGGTCAACGATATCGACCGAATGAAATGCTAACCAATTTCTTTCTTTCAAAACCAAAATAGGCACAACAAAATGCCCAACAGGCGCAACAGAATCAACAGCAAACTGCGCAAGTTCAACATCAACAAGCCCATTTGCAGCAACAAAATGCGGCCACCGGTCAACAGCATCCGCAAGTGATAACATTACAACAATTGCAAAATTTTTTGCCAACACAACAAATTCAAACGATTACATCGGCTGATGGGCATCAAGTTCAGGTTTCAGCTGCACAAAATGCAACACCCACAACGCCCATCAAATCCGAACGTTTGTTTGTAACGCCACAAATGCAACCGCAAGTGGTTAATTTACAAAATTTACAGGGCATACCACAGCAATTTATTCAGGTACGAACAGCAATTATTTCCCGAAAGAGATTATTTTGTATCAAGTCAACTAATTCACCGAATAATTTGTGATTATTTTCGCATTTAGGGCGGTCAAATTTTACAAAATGCTGGCAATGGAATGTTTCAAGTGGTACAGCCAATGCAAACGGTTACAGTTGATGGACAAGAAGCGCTTTTTATACCAAATATGGGCGCAACGGCAAATCAATTGAACGGCGCTCAATCCATTCAAATTGGAAATCAACAAGCATTTATAACGCCAAACGGACAAATCTTTCGACCTGGCGGTATGCCAACAAATATCTTACAGAATATGGGACAAACGGTTTCACTACCTACCGGTAAGTTTTGAATGACAAACATTGATCATACATATACTAAAAGAAAAAAAAAAAACAACTACCCACCAACCATTCACCTCATTGAACATCGCAATTTATATTGAGGATAACACAAAGTCACCACATGTGTCACTGGGATTTGCTTACATTTTATTTACGTAAAAAAATAAACGAAAACGATTTGAATTCGGAATGGGCTAAGGGCAACATTTTATTTTTAACACATGCATTCCATGTTCGTGAATGTATGAAACGAATTTATTTAAATTGAAATTGTACAGTTCAAAATCACTACTAACCATTAAACATTTGGCTTGGTTTTTTTTCTCTTCTCTTTCCCCCTTATTCTATCCTCGGGTACACTCGCGACACATTTCACATCCAATTAATTTGTAATCTTTCACATTGATCGCGCGCATATTCATAAATGAATGTCGAACATTTTCAAATTGCGGGGTTTGTTTATATATAACTTGAATATATCGGGTCGCATGTACAGCCTTCGGTCAAGCAACGTTAACAATACCCGGAGGAAATACCATATCAATACCATTGGGAAATTCATTGGGAAATCTAACGACGCACAATGCAACGAACGCAACGGCCGGTCAAAATGGCCAAAATCAACAGCAACCATCACAACAAAATCAACAACAAAATCAAACAACGGCCAATGCATCGGCTCAAAATCAACAGACACAACAATCGGTAAATCATTTTTGATGACTGAATTTTATCGAATTCATGAAAAGACATCGAATATCTTTTCCGCCGTGCGCCCACATTACATACACATAAAATGCCAATCATTGGCTGTGGAAAAGATTTTCGATGCTTTTATTACACAATACATGCACATACACACTCTGTCTCTATCATACACACACATACACATTTAACAAATCAAAAAATTCAGCCAAAACTCACAAAATGTAACCAATCTCTACAGCAACAAGCGCAATCACATCAAAATGGCCAACAAAATCAGGCACAACAAAATAACCAACAACAAACACAAGCCAATCAACAACAACAACAACAACAACAACAACAGCAGCATACAATCACCATACCCGGTACAAATATTCAAATACCAACATCGGCAAATGGCCTAATAAATGCAACGAATTTGCAGAATATTAAGCTTGAAGGAGCAGGTAATAAAATCCAACGTTTCCTGATTCGAATGTGTTACCTTTTTGTTCTGACGAAAATGCACAATACACTTCATAACATTTTGATTAAGTCACTTTTTGGGAAGTTTATTGTTTTTTTTTTCATCTTCGTGTGAATAGGTTTTTTGTAAAACTCACTCATCGGGTGATTTGATCGTTTATTCCATGTTTGCCTCAAATCATTTAATCATATTATTATTATTATAATTTTTCTGCTATTAATCGCTGTGTACATAAAAACGGATGGGTCATTTCTAATCATTTTTTTATTCGTTTTATGCCATTCAATGTCATTTATTCATTCAAATCTAAGCGATCAACATTTTATATAATCGTGTTTCTTTATCTCTTTGCAAAATCGAACAGGGCAAAATGTTCAGGTGCGACAGGCTGGCACATTACCACAGGTTGTTCAATTTCCAGCGATGCAACAAACGGTACCCGTTCAAGTACCAATCTCGACAGGAAATGGTCAAACCATTTATCAAACCGTTCATGTTCCCTTACAAGCTTTCGCTGGACAAATGCAAGGCCTTGTTCAGCCAGCTCAAATGCAATTCTTCCCACAAATCGCACAGGTAAATGTGTTCATTATTTATTACATTGTAAATGGGCATTATGCCAGAAAGAAACATCTACCAATGAATAAATTTTAATATTTCAGGTTGCGAACATCATTACACCAAATGGTCAAATTCAACAAGTGCAACTTTCTCCCATGAATCAATTGCAAGGTAAATATCGAACAAAATTTCAAATTTTTACGGCAAATATAATCTGAAAACAAATCTCTTTTCTTTTTCATTGACAGTGCAAGGTATTCCTGGATTGCAAACAGCTCAGGGTGCAGCAGCCGCTCAGCAACAAAACGTTGTTATGGTACAGCCATCACAAAATTTGTCATCGGGTCCAGTGGCAGCCGCATCAAACGGTAGTAAATAATTTCGATAATTCAAATGTGTGAATGCGAATAATAATGAAAAAAAAAATTTTATGTCAATTAGTGGGCACCTCAAATGCACTCGTCCAATCGGTTCCAAACAACGGCATTCAAACAATGGCCAATGCACAAGATTCACAACCGATCACCATTACAAATGCTCAAGGTCAACAAATCACGGTGATACCAACACAGGCACTCCAACAAATACGACCCGCCAACGCAAATATCATTCAAATGCCAAACATGTCCGGTTTGCAAGCCATTCCAGTGCAAAACATACCCGGTTTGGGGAATGTTCAAGTAAGTTTTAAGATGTTTTTTTTTATTGAATGTTTCCAAATCCCGAAAAACATTTTTGCTATCTCTATTTCTAAGCATGATTTTTTCAAACCATTTTGACTGATGGATATCTTTTCATCGAAACAGGTCATTCCAGCCAGCGCATTCAATGGTGGTAATGTTCTTACGCCACTTCAAACGGCAAATTTGCAACAAAATCAGCAGCAGACACAACAAGCTGCTCAGCAACAAGGGCAAGCACATCAAAATGCTCAACAACAGCAATCAACTCAACAAAATCAACAGGTCAGTACAGCAGATCTATTTTTAATAGAAGTGGAGCAAAGTCGAAAGTAATTTTGAATTGTCATTGTTTTTTTTTCTGAATTCACAGCAAGCCCAGCAACCAGTACAACAGCATCAACAAACGTCTCAGCCGCAGACAATGCAAACAATAACACTAACCCCACAAACGGTGCAGCATATCAAACAAGAGCCACAAGATAAATGGATCATAAGTAATGTGTCATCGAATACATTGACATCGCCCGCTCCACAGCCAACAGTGGCCGCCGCTTCACCGGTCACAAATCAAACAGTAACAACGGTTACAACCATTCCGCAAACACAAACCACCACTACAACAATGAATGTAAATGACGATGGCGTGGTTAAGCCACGTTTGAAACGTGTTGCTTGTACATGTCCCAATTGTACTGAGGGTGAACGGCATGCCGATCGAAAGCGCCAGCACATCTGTCACATTCCCGGATGCAATAAGGTCTACGGCAAAACGTCGCATCTTCGCGCACATTTACGGTGGCATACCGGTGAGTTGACATGGTTTAACGCACTTTTTATCACTTCATTCTAATTTTTGTCATCTTACATTTTCTCAAGGCGAACGACCATTTGCATGTTCATGGGTATTTTGTGGCAAACGTTTTACACGATCGGATGAATTGCAACGGCATCGAAGAACACACACCGGTGAAAAGCGTTTCCAGTGTCCCGAATGTAGCAAAAAATTTATGCGCAGCGATCATTTGAACAAACACATTCGTACACACACCAAACAAAAGAATATCGTAAGTTAATCATTGATGATGCAACAAACAATAAATGTAACATTGTTTTTTTTTTCTACTAGAAGTTTGGTTTGGTTTTTTATTGTTAATGTCAAAACTACCTGTTTTCATTTGTATTTTGAAAAATGGCTTTGGATTAGACTCACAATCTTTGTATATATTGTAATTTGTATTGACAAACTTAAAAAAAAACAGCCAGAGTGCCACCACACCACTGAAACATGCACATAACACGTGTATTTTTAATTAATTTATTGAATTTGACTGTCACAAAGCCATAAGAAGAGTAGATCGTACTATCTATGTTTACGGAGATTTAGTCCAAATTAACCGGCATTCGATCGAATAGTAAGTAGTTCTTCTAGAGCGACAGGTTTTTTCGATACATGCTATTTTTTTTCTATTAACATATTCGCATCCAAAAGCATAAAGAAATAGTAACAGCTACTCATTGTATGCTTGTGTGACAGTCAAATTCTTTAAAATGTGCTTCATATTTGTGATGAGTTCTTTAGACAGTTTGCCGGTGCATATTCCCTTCTCTTTATTGTTCCAATATATACAAAAAAAAAGCGATAGAAAGTCATATTCAGTCGTGTGATGGCGCGGCGATGTTGATAGTAACCTAGACACATTTTGAGTTCATTTGAATCGAAACACACACAAAAAAAATTTGACGTGATTTTCTATGCAATAGGAAATGCGACAGGCCGAAACAAAAAGTGAGCCAAAAACCGAGCCATTTGATGAAAGTGATAAAGTGGGCGGTGGCGGAAGTGGCGTCAATGGTGGCGGTCAACAACAGCAATCCACACAATCCACACAAAACCAGTTACAATCGCAGGTTGCAACGTCGCAAGCAGCATCGAATGCAAGCTTCGTCGATACAACTGGTAACAGCGAAGGTAACGAAATATTGGTTTTAGTACCTGCAAATGGATTGACAACCGCAAACATAACCACCGAATATAGAGAAAATGGTCGAAATTTAGAGCGAAAAACGGCGAACGATCTACAAAATTATAATCGTGATACAAATCGAAATAGTATTGTGACTGAACAAATTGTTTGGATACCAAAAATCGAAGCCCAATCACAAGACGGTCAACATCAAGCGACAACGTCGGTTAGCAACATGTGTCAGCCACCACCTCTGTATAGCCGCATTAAGCAGCTTAATTATTCACAGGTTGAGACAAAATAAAACACATATGTTTCTTCTTCTTTGCCGTATTATTTAATACTTCTACTACACACAGAATCCAATCCAATTACATCTGAAAACAACAACATTAGGACATATATTTATTTAGTAGATGTTTTAAGAAAAGCAATTTCATTTTTATACATACGTCTTAAAAAAAAGATGCATGTCAATTCTTTCGACAACATTGACAAGGATGAGAAACTCAAAAAGATTGGTCGAATATTTCATTCTGTATTTTCTGTTCGATTCAATATGATTTTTGATTTACTGCTATTTCGTTTTTTCAATTAATTTTCAATGCGCGTTTCGATTGCGTCAAATATCAAGCAAATCACCTTCAATCTCGTCGATCATCAAGTCACCGCGATTAATAAGTGGAAATTGGCGTAGCAGCATAAGCAGCAATTGCACACGCGCATATCCATTACGTAGCCCAAACATTGATGAGAGAGCCGACATTGCATCAAGAAACAGCACAGCATATATATATTTTTTTGTATAGAAAACATTTTTCAGTCAAACAGTCAATGGATGTATATAATTTGTTAATATCATTTCTTTTGTTATGTTTGCGTGTGTGTCTTTCTTTATTTGACGAATTTTGTTGGCGGATGATATTGTTGACAACAAAACGAAGCGCTGTTCAATTTATTTAATTTTTTATTTTTGTTTAAAAACCAAATATTGTTTGTTTTTTTTTTTTGGAAAAATTGTTCGCAGATTTTCTAAATGTTTATTTTTTTCTTCTTTCTCTTTTTTCGTGTTTGTATGTCCATTCACAGGAAGCAGCAACGGATGACAGCAATGACAGTGGTGATGATGAAAAAATGGTTTTAACTATTGCAGCTGAAGATCATGATGGCAACGATAATTCCAACTAGCATACGGATTTGTCCCAATGGGGAATCGGAACGCGATTGTCATTTGGACAATTTTAAAATAGAGTGAAAATCATTCACACCGGATATCTCCACTATTTTTCATATATTTTTTAACAATTTCATTTTTATAATATAGATTGTGTAATTTGCAACACACAATTATCAGTCCCATTTAAACAACAAACAAACAATTGTAATGTAAGAAATAATGAAAAAAGAAATTGTACATAATTCTCGTTCATAAGATTGTAGTTAATTTAAATGAAATAATTATTTAAGGCATAACATAGAATTAATTTAAGATTTTTTTCACAATTGTTAGTGAATCAGCTACAAAATAGTCAAGTGAAACTTATTTGTTTAGTTTGTTTTTATTTTTTGTTTATTTGGATTCTGCATTTTATGAGAATGGTTTTGGTTGAAAATGGTCCATTTTGAGATAATAACACATTTTGTTTGTTCCATTTAAATATGAGAATATGTATATGTGTGTACTTTAAAACACATTTCGACATTTCGTTCGATGTGATTTCCGAATACAACTGATTCTATTTAATAATTCCGAATTGAAGATGATTTGGATGTATTTAGCCACATAGCAATACATATCGCCCATCAAATTTGTACAAAAGAGAAGACAAAAAATACACACACACATACACACATATATATATATATATACAATTAATCATTACGCATCCAATTTTAATGTAGCATGTAGTAATCATCCGTTTTTAAACAAATTTCATCAATATTCATCGAACATTTTGAGTATTTAAAATGAAAACGTTTTACCAAAAAAAAAAAAAAAAACAAATCAAAAGAAATCACAAGAATGATTTTAGAACAGTTCACTTGCGTTAATTGCCTAAATGAAAGTGTTTAATTTATCAATAATTGAATTTTTAGGTAAGTTCTAATTAATGTAAATCAAAATTTTTCGGTTTTAGATTAAATTCTATTTGTAACGATTTTATTAGGAAAATTACACACGACAAGAATGAAATAATATACAGTTTTTTGATGTGAACGCTGACATATTGTCAGAAATTCGAATGAAAGGTGAATAATTCAGATAATTTCGCATTAACGGCGAAAGCAATTTAGTATCACGAGGAAAATTATTATGTTCTCTCTTCTTCTTCTTCTTTTTAAGTTAGTTTTCGAATAGAGCCCAATTCAAAATAAATATGTTTCGTTTAATAAATTTTTTATTTCTTTATTTATTTCAATTACATCAATTAGTTTTTTTAATCAAAAATATTGTTTTTAGTTTATGTAATGATTTCCTTCAAATATAGTGGCGATGATAACTGATTTTCGGAACAGAAAAAAAAAAAAAATCAAAATCAATCAATTTTACGTGAGTCGCACAACTCCAATGTCGCTGAAATCAACAAGTATATTCCGAACATTTTTAACGAAAAGAACCCAAGAACAAGACCTTTTATATAAAGTGAATAAAATTTCTCTGATAAAATTCGTGCAGAAATTAAATAAGTGTGTCATTTTCTGCTCCATATGTGTGTAAATATAGAGAATTTTTGCATTTTTAAATACAACGCTATATTATACTTAAACCTTAGACCAATTTTGTCTCTTCGAGCTTTTTGTTTTCTGTTGGTTTTTAAATTTGAAACGATTCTCATCCCTTTTTTTCATGCATATTAGAGATTTTATTAGGTCAAATTTAAAATGGAAATTCATTTGAAAATTGTGAATCTGAATAATATTTTAATAAGACAACAATAAAAAAATCAAATGTAACAAAATACATTTTGAATAAATTCTCCATTTTTAAATGTTGTAAATGTATGTTTTTTTTTTTTAATTTTTTCATATGTCCTAAAAGAATTTTTCTGTTTCGTCAGTCCGCTGTGATTTGGCTGAAAAGAAATTATATCCGGATTTTGGATTGAGAGTAGCACTTTTCAGTTAAGGAGATCCTAAAATTGTTCCCTGACACTATTGAAAGCCGATTAGATCAGCATTGGTCATTATTGTAAATCATAAAAGTATAGTTAAAATAAAATTCTTCGATTTCATATTTGTTATATATATATTTGTTTTATATGCAAAAAATTTTTTTATTCATTAAATGTTTACAATTTCTGATAAATTCAGCTTAAATGACATACAATTCAGTATTTATGCATAGCCATTGTTCATTCTCCTTCAAAGTATGTTTAGGAATATCGCTCGAAATATCGATGGTATCCAAATTTTCAATTTTGATTGCAATTTGATAAATTTTGGCCAAATTTAACATATATTTGTAGTCATCAAAATCCACATCAAAGTCCTGTACCAAATACGTAAGCTCACACAAATGTTTGCTTGATAATTTCAACGTAAATAAAATGTGCCCAAGAAGATCCTTGATTGCAAATATATTTGCATCCATAAAACGCATATTAAAACAAAGACTTCTCAAAGAGGTTTGAGTTTTCAGCAATACTTCGAGCGTTGTGTATGGGATATCGCCGTCGATTGCTATATATTTTAGTGTCTTCAAGGTGTACATATTTATAATTGTATTACGATAGTATGAAACGAATGAAAATGTCTCAATCGGTGTATTATATTCGGCAAACATATTAATTGACTCCTCAATTGTCAATTCATATACGTCAAATAAAACATGGCTTAAATTTAAGTGTTTCAATTTTTTCAAACTGGCCAACGGTCTGATTAACTCTCGATTCTCTTGATTCGTCAAGATATCGAATTTATTGGGCGGCAAAAACGAGTCTAATAAATTCAAGCACTCCAGATTCGGTGCATATCGACCGATAGTTTTGAATGTTTCTCTAGGCAACGGGATACATCCAGTCATTTCGAATCGTTTCAGCTGTGGATTGGACGACAAAAATCCAATTAACATGTCATTTGTTATGTCTTGGAATGAATGAAAGAAAACGTCTGTCAACTTGGCGAATGAACACAAAAAGTATAGTGGTTTTGGATTGTACATTGTAATTCGTAATGATTCTAAATTCTCTCGACTGAATTGAACAATCAAATTGAATAGATAGATATCGCGTCTTGAATCTTGATTAGACTCGAATTCAATGCGTCTGATTTTATGTCCAAATGTGCTGAAGAGAATTTTTGCGAGTTCGAGTGGGAAATTACAGTTTATATTGACTACACCAAACATTGAAGATGAGCACTGCAATGCGCATTCTTTGAATTGAGCGCATACTTTCGACGCTCTTAAAATGTCTTCTAAGCTAGAAAATCGATGAAGGATTTCTAAAAGACAATCATTGTTAAGCGCGTTGATGATGTTTCTTGATGAATGTGGTGCTGGTATGTCCATTTTTCTGGATGGCTGGCTGGCGATTAGTTCCATTCTTCAGTCTTTAATTAATAACTAATGGAATATCAATTAAATTTTAAACATTATCCAACTCCATTTGGGGGTTACTGACTCCTTGCCGATACTGCTACTTCTCGAATAAGCGAATTTGACATTCGCGCAGAGTCCGAATCCCCGAAGAGCATTTCGGTCACAAAGGCTATGTTAGCTAATAGCACGGCCGGTTTTTCTGAAATCGAAAACGGTCGATGTTGCTCGATTATGTTGATCAATTTCACAGAATACATAGCCCAAACACTCCAAACAAGTCGTTTTTTCTGTGACCAAAATGCTGTTTATATTATATAATCATTCAAAATTATAAACGTGGAAATAATTTGAATGAAGAATTTCAATAGATGCACTCACCTTTTCAACTATTTAAACTTGATGTGTCTTTTTAACTCAAACTGTTCACTTTGTTTTCGAAACACTAAATTAAACTAAACCAAGAATTTTTGTAAAAAATTTACTTCTGTTCTCTTAATGTGATAATGGGCGAGGCCAAAATGAATTTCTGTAATAGTTTTGTATGTTCAATATCTTCATAATTTACGTTGCGCTTAATGACTGCTTTACCTCTGACTGCTGTACTAATGACACAGTCATTAATGAATCAACTTTTACTACCTATAGCAACCTTTGAAACAATTGTCTTGATTTTTGTTCTCACTTTTTTTTTTCAGCATGTAGAGTCAATCGGCTCATTTGAAACCAAAATGACTGAGTGAGCTAATGAGTCAGTTTTATTTCGACTCTTGGCAACATAGTGCATCTAATTTTGGTCAAATTGTGCCTCCAATTACCCGACTAATTATCAAATATGCAGAAGTCATTGAAAATTGTGCTTTGGAAATAACATCGTTAAACTTAACAAATGTTTCTCATTTTTTTCTTTATTTTTATGAAATCAACAAAAAAATACAGATATGAAGCCACAAGATAAATCGAATATACTTTTCATGATTTGATAATATTAAACACAAGTCAGTGTTGATAAATTGTTTTTAGAATTTCTTTTTCATCAGAGTGCCCAAACTCGAACATAGTCAACGATGAGTGAAGCATCTCGAGACAAATTTTGGTCCAAATTCCAAGTTGGCAACCAAGCATTACGAGCATTCCAAAAATCAGCAGCTGCTGTTGGTGATTCATTAGTCCATGGCTTGTTTATTGCGTTGGACGCATCGTCTGGGAAATGTTGACTGCCACCAACTGCCAAATTCATTATTAAATAAAACTCTTGGTCGAATGGTGCCATATTTGTTGTTGATAAACGCCATGGATTCATCACGCCCGGTGCGATCGAATCAAACAATCCACGAGACCAAAAACCCGTACCAGCTTTGATAGCACCCGTTTCAACGTCATCGACACTAAACACAATTTTATCTAAATTAGATTGAGATAGAGAGAGAAGAAAACATTTTGCAAGTGAACATTGATTTTCATTGAGTATTTTTTTAATGAGAAAGGGGTCTCTGAATTTAAGAAAATTAAAAATATTTTCTCAACAAAATTTATGTTAATTTTTTGTTTGTTGACAATTTACCTGCCGTCCACTCCATTTGGTATCGATGAAATTCGTTGTTGAATCCATTGCCTGGCTTCGCATTACGCACAAACAATGCACTTTGATACAAATCCAAACTGGTGAATGGACCGAAATGAAGACTTGATGTAATCTGTTCGATGCCAATGTGTTTTTCGGCGTTTGTAAAATTGCGATTGCCTCGTGACAAAACTAAATCAATTTCACCAGATGATGGCCATGAACCGTATGCATTATCTTTTGGCAAAAACCAAATTGCTTTTGGAATATTGGCGAGAGAAAATTTATTATGATTCGGTGTGTACAATTTTCATAGGGCATATTTGTCCACAAGTTACCTGGGAAGAGCCAATCGCCTGCTGGCATTTTTGCACTAATTTCAACCTTTCCATATTTGAATGAGAATGAATCTTGCGTTCGAATTTTGGCACTTCGCACTGGATTTATTATCAATGGAACCGAACCAGTACGTTCACACCCGTAAAACGATGGATTTGTGCATCTAATGAAAAAAAAGTCGTACGCTAAATATACTAAAAAGCAAATAAATGCAAATCAATTTTCATACTGGTCAGCATCTGAGCCGCCGTGCAGATTTACAACGCCCGAACTTAAAAATGTTTCACCGTAAACATCGGATGTAAGCGTTGGCCGAATATGTAAATAGCCTTCTTCGCAGAATGAATTTGATCGATTGTTGGTGTACCATTGAAATTCCCATTTCTAAATCAAATTTCATGAATTTTCAAATTTTACAATAAAAAAACGCAATTTGTCATATAATAACTTACACCATCGCCGGATAAAGTGTTTTCATGTTGCCATTTTCGCGTATCAAAAATATCAAAAGTGTCTTCAAATATTAGGTCGCCCGAACAGTACTGGCCACTGGCTGTGTCGATCGAATTTTTATAAGATCGTGATTTTTGGTCAGCAAACGAAAATATAATTTACCTTTGTGCATGGCATACGTTCCACTGGCCGTTGTAATGGATGGTTCACATTTTGACGATCCGACGCCAACACCAAACGTACCAAGCGGTCCAATCGCTTGCACGAAACACACAATATATGCACAAACTATGCTCAACACAACGATTGCATTCATTTTAATTGATTCTTTTCTTCAAGAGTTTTCTTCTCCAAAAAAAACGGTTCACCGTAAGTAACACTGCACATTCAATTAGGAACTGCATTCATTGCAGCGACAACATTTCAATTTATATGCCAAAAATCGACTGAAAAAGATGCGCAATTCAATGTTGTACACTATGAGAATCGCCGTTTTTTTCTCCTCCATTCAGTTTTAGGAAAAACGGCGAAAATTCAATAAAACTATGACAAATTGAATTGATTCAAATCAAAAAATAGAATTTATGAGGCTCATCAACGCGAGCGTATGGTCAACGTCAAATGATTTCATTTGTATCATTTCATTTAGCAGAACGAAAAAAAAAAAACAACAACAACAACAACAATAACAAAGAGCACAAAAACGGTGGTTGAACAAGAATTATGAGTTGATGTGTAAATAAAGAAATCCAAGTGATTGCTTTATGGTGTGAACATTTTGAGATGCATGTTTTTCTCGTTGTGCTCAAGTTTAACGTCAATATTATCTCACCACACACCATTGACCATGAATTGAGTGAAAAAAAAAAAAGAAAAAAACAGACAAAAACATGCACTGAGCGCGCGTTCGCAGCAAAAATATTGCATTTGCTTATTTTCATGTATCAAGGAAATTTATATACACCGTTTGTTCGTTGCATTAACCATTCGGCATGACAACAGTCGTAAATTCTGGTGTTTAACAATGAAAAACTCAATTTAAATCATCCACGATGAGACATATTCCATCAAATTCCACACATAGCCTTCATATTTTCATTCATCTCGATTTTAATCAATAACAAAAACGTATTTCTATCAGCTTGTAATCAGTTTTTTTATTCAGTCGCTTCTTCTTCGGTTTTTACGAAAAACATTTCAATTTCTTTGAAGCTTTTGCCCAACGTTTCAGGCAAGAAGACATAAGTAAATAAAACACCAATAAAACTATTCAAAGCGAACAAATAGAATATTTGTTGCACGCCCAAGTAGTCCATGATGTATGGAAACACTTTTACTACACTGAACATTAAAATATATGCGATGGACATGATCAATCCGCCAAGTTTTCCTTTTACCTGAAAAAAAAAAAAAAACAAAACAATTTTTGGCATAAATAACAAAAAAATTTTTTTAGTGGACGAAAAATTGAAAATTTACTCGAATCAAAATTGAGGGAGGTCAGAATTGATTGGAATTGAACAGAAGGTGCTGTTCTCAGATTTTTTTAAGAAGGCATAATCGGATGGTATGTCAACACCAATGTGCATAATTTACCTCTATGGGAAGTAATTCGCCGATCAAAGTCCATGGAATAACCATAACGCCTAAAGAGCTGAAACACACGTAGCCAAGCACACAGATCAACAATATAAAATCACTTTTATTTGATGTATTTTGGTAGTGAATGTAAATGGCCGCACAAAATGTACAGAATGTCATGCCCAAACCCGAAAACAATAGAAATTTTCGTCGGCCAATGTGTTTGGAGAAGCTAAAAAGAATTGCACACAAAAATTGTTTAAATTTAAGAACAAAATTTGGGAAAATATTCGCATTAATTTATACTCACAATGCACACAAAATAGCCATTACAAAACGCACCACACCCAACATAAGCATGGCACCATATTCATTTATGTCACCGAATTTGCCGCCAATTTTTACAAACAGATCAATTGCATAGAATATTATTACATAGGGTCCGGAGATTTGTTGGAAGAAAAACAGTGCGCTCAGCAGAAAAAATGGCTTATACACTTTTGGCTTTTGTAAATGTGTAAGCCACGATATTTTACTGCCAGAATCTGTTGATAACCTATTTGATTGAGATTGCGTAACATTCTTTTGTATTAATTCCATTTCGTATTGACATCTCTGTTGGTGGGACAATCAATATTAACAATTTGTTTTTTGTTTTTTTCGTTTAAATTTATTAATTTTCTTTCACCTTATTCGATTTATAAATCCATTTTAGTGATGATTCAACGTCACCGTTTCGATCCTGTTGGAATGCAGCCAACCAATATGGACTCTCAGGAATGCGTAACATTAAAATGAACGTAAACATGGTGATTGCGCAAAAAATCAGAGCAATTGTTTGCCAATTGAAAAATAAGCCGAATAAACCAATCAACAAAATTCCCAACGACACAAATACACTGTTTAGACCAAGTAGCATTGGACGTAGCTTCGGATGTGCAATTTCACTCACATAAATCAACGATACTGTTGTTAAACCTAAAAAATCCAAACGTTAGCTTAATTGACCTTTTTTCGAGTTCGATTTTTTTTAATATTTCAAAAAAACCTTACACTTTTAACTTTTCAAATGATAAAATCGACTTCAAAGCAAATACGAACCGGCGCTTATACCGCTAATTATTCTAGCTGCATAAATAAATGTTACATTGTTGGCAAAATACATCAAAATCCAGCCGATGAAGATGGGAATACTTGTTGAAAGTGCAATATATCGTCTGCCAAACCGATCCATCAACGGGCCCACAATTAGAGAGCCCAAAGGAAGGCATATTGCCACTAAACTAGCTGCAATCATAATTGATGGAAATTAAATGACATTGACAATCAGTTTTGCCGAAAGAGATTTTAGCGTACCGATCCAAGTCGCTTCTGATCTATTTATATGGATATTGCTGTCTGTTTGATTCAGTTGTGCAACTAGGATGGCCGAGTAAGACATATTTACGCCCGCTTGAATTGTAATTGAATATGCTGCACATGATGCTAGTATCTAAAAAAAAGAACAACAAAACCAATCAGATAATTGTAAATTCAAAATATGAGTCAGTGAGATGCTTATTATTCGAACGCAAAATTTAGTTGTAAATATTTTGTTGGAAATGAATGAACTGGAAATTCAGCTGGAAAATTTCGATTTTGTGACATTTATTGAGTGTTAAACCACTTGAATCTCTGGACTTTAACTATTTTACGAGGTTAAAATTTGGAATACATTTGCATTTACTGCAAAATTTCAATTAATGTGCATTTCACTGTTTTTTTTTTTTTTTTTTTAACACATTTCGAAATTCATTGAATTTGAGCGTTGTTAAAAGTTTACCTGCGGTAAAGCGGTACCAAATTTGATACTACTTTTATATGGTTCACTTTTTTGAGATTCTGCTTGATATGATGATCGTTGATCTGAACCTAATTCCTTCTCATTTGGATTCGAACAGAATATCAATTGTCGATTTTCCAGAATTTCCGGAATAATATCACTGGCATCCTCTTCCATTTTGGCGAATCAATTTTATTCTCTTGCGTCAAATCGTGTGTATTCAATAAATCTTATTATCTCTGTTGAAATCACGCAAACACAGTATCAGTGTCAAAAGTATTTGACTCAAAACACCGACCGCACTCGATTGGCAGTGAAATTTATTTTTAAAATACACCAACGATCATTGACGCCGAGAGTTATAACTTATTTAAAATTTCATTTTATGTATTGCTTACGCAAAATTTTTAGAATAAAATGGAAAAAAAGCGACCAATACTATATATCTAAATATATACACAGATAACTCTATTAGTTGAAATTGATTGCAATTGACACAGACGAGTGATGGCATGGAATCATTCAAATCGAAATAAAAGCGTTGGTTTCGTTTTGTGTTCTGCAAGTCACTGACGTTCTGCAAGTACTGCGATCGTCACAGCATTCGAATGACGACAAAGAAGAAAAAAGTGATACGCTTATCAATATTGTTATCTCCACTTGTACTTTGTACAATCGTGTATGGCAAAATGAAAATTCTAACTTAATCGTTTCTAAACCCAATTTTTTTCATGATACATTTCGATGTGGATGATTTCATAAAATATTGCACTTCCATTGCCTCAAAACAATCAATTTTCAAATAGTTTCAATTTTTCGACATTTTTCAGGTAATTTTAGAGCAGCGTTTAGCTGCAAAATCGAACCACTTTATCTATTAACTCGTCATTCATCTAAATTCGCTCTTCCGTATTCGCTTTCAAGCGTTGCGAACTCATTGTTAAATCTTTATACTCAACTCGTGTCGAATGATTATTCGTGAGTTGTACATCATAAAATTTTTGTTGCTCTTTTTTTTCCGTTGACTTATAATTCAACTTGTTTAGTTGCTTCCATACATAAGTGTATATAATTTATTATATTTGGCGAAGAAAATGTCATTTTTATTCATTCTATTCTTCTCTTTTTCTAATAAGTTTGTTATCTTTATGGATTTACGTTATCCTACATTGTATCGTACTACCTCGTTTCCGGCATTGTACTGAAATATTTGTAACCTGGTGGATGCCATCTGAAATGTTTCACATTGCTGGTGAGCTCGGCCTTCATTTGTATAAGAGTAGAAAGTACAAAGTTCTTTCTACATTTCTGCCTTGTATCAAATAGCAGCTGAACTCAGCCAGATGAGCTATTCAAGTGACTTGAAAATATATAAACACAGAATCCTGCATGTTTTCCCGAACAGTTTCATCGTTGACATCAGTTTTAGAATAATTTTTCCATACTATTTCTATATGATCATAAAACCACAAATCTTTTCAATACGACTTCTGGTTTTATTTTCTATTTTAATGCAATTATGATTCGCAACTTGGGGTTACCCACGAACTCGATACTAGAAAAACTAGAACATATTAGAAAGATTTCAAATGTACATGTTATATGGCGTTTTACTAGAAATATTAGAAAATTAGCACATATTAGAATCCATGGTTTCCCCCTCGATTCGCAATCACCACTCTTCTCCCATTTGTAAGCGAAAAAAGTTGAAAAAGAAATCTTTGGAATTACAGCCGAATCAATAATGGTTATGTCCACATATTTCAAACTCTATTCAAATTAAAATTTGAATGTCATTGACTCTATTAATTGTATTGGGAATATGAATATATTTTTCTCATTTTCATACAGACATGTCAGAGATATGTTATCAAAGACTGAATATCACAGCATTTCATTTCAAAATCAGGTTTCTGTAGTTGTATCAGTACTATCATTGAAATGTTGTGGATACTTTTAATTAACAAAATAGGTTGCACTTCAAATCAGAAACAAGTACAATATGATTTAATGAGCAGCGATTGCGGGCGTACGTGTGTCTATATGTTGACAGTGCTAGTTTCATTATATTTGCAATATTGTTAATACATAGTCATTCAGTAACAGATCGTGCCTTTAGGTTACTTAGGTTAAGTGTCACCTTTAGGTCACTTCCATATAGTCTTGCGTTATGATAAAACCGGCTCTTATTAAACAACTTATCAAAGTTTTTTCGCTTGACAGCTATAAATAAACCGAATATTAAATGAGAAACACCATTTAATCGTTTGTATATTTTCTTGACTTAATATCTAAAAGTTCGCATAATTCTGATCGATTAAATGTTATAAGTTATAAAAATAAAGTAACCGTGAAGAGAATTGTTTGAATGCAAAAAAATGTTTTATTATATAGCTTCACAATTTAGCTTTATAATTTCAATTAAAAGTAAGAAAAGAAGTCCAATGTCTTGCAAAATGTCATCGAGTAGAGATTTCTTTAAACCGATTAAAAAAAATAAACGTGGAAACATCGTAGTCCTTACAAGATGTAACGAACGGCTGGTGCAGCAAGTGGGAGTACTTTTACACCCGCTGGTAGTTCGTCGTGGAATAAATCAGTGAATTGGTTGATGCCTAGTGCATATGTTGAAAAGCCACGTTCGAAGAGTTTGTTGTGTGCCTCAATGATGTCCTTTTCAATGAAGTACACTGTTTTACGGAACCGATCTTCAAAGCTGTCATAAACTTTGCCGTATTTCAACTGTAATCAATAATCAGTTTTCTTTTTGTTACTCAAGAAAGTATGATTGTAGTATGATATAAAATCAGTATACCTTGTAACTATCCCATTCATCTTGAGATCCTTCCAAAATGGAGCGCAAAGAGAAAAGTTCATCGCGTAAATAATCAGCGAAAATATCCAATTCCAATTTTTCGGTACCAAGTCCGTATGTGAGGAGTTCATCATATTTGGCGATTTTTGCTTTTGTCGCAAAGAAAATACCACGACGCATATGATCTTCAATTCCAACGTAGTTTTTACCGAATTTTTCCTTGTACGATTCCCATTTGGATAAATCAGATGCTGGAACAGCAGTTGGAATATATGAACGGTAGAAAGCGTGTTCAGCTGTTGGAATGTATGATAAAGCATGCGTGGATGGAATATATGATCGGTAAACAGTTGGTGCAACCGCTGTAATGGCCGGTTTGTAAACGGTTTTTGCAATTGGTAATATTGTTGGTGTAACCAATGGATTAAACAGTTGAATGCCTGGCGCAGCGCTACCAATGGCAAACAGGGCCACGAATACAGTGATGAATTTGCTCATCTAAATGGGCATAAAATCATGTTTAATTTAAAAAAATAAATATTTAATAATTTTCTCGAAAATTAGACTTACGTTTTCTTTAGACTTCAATGGTACTTGGTCAATCGCCAAATGATTTATGATTTATGAACTGATCTGTACCATTTATATATGATTTACAGTCATCCAGGAAAGGTGGTGATAACATTTAATGGAAAAAAGTAACCACATTTTAACTATTATTATAGACAGCTTGAAGGTACACTTTCTGATTTTGCCATATCAACGATGTTTTATCACAATAACTAATTGGATTTTATGCAGAACACCAGCTGAGAATAGAAATCGATCATAACAAGTTCATTATCACCTAATTAGCTTAACGTACACTTTTCTACATTTTTTTTATTTTGTTATTTTTCTGAGTATACATGGAAAATTTTTCGCAGATAAATTAACAACTATCAAACTTTCAACAAATATTCAATTTGAAAGCAAGGTAAATACATGATGTAGCCAAATCAACGTGCAATAGTAATTGTGATATTGTGATAAAACTTGAATGAGGTCAACCAAAAACCGATAAGGTTGATGAATTAATTTTTCGTCTCTATTTTATTCCAACATAAATACGTTTCTAAATCTCTTTCTTTTTCGTTGTTCTGATGTTTATTGCCACCGATGTTATACGGTGCATCATTGTTAGTGCATACAGTGACCGCTTTGCAGCGTTCGTTTTATATTTAGAACTGTGTGATTTGGTGAACGTGAGCGTGGAAATATATCTAATAAGAATCGTGAGCATTCACAACCTATACATTTGACTCTAGGCCCGAAGGTCTAGGGACTTCTCCAATATCTATTGTTTGGCAACATCAGGTCAGGATTTGTTTTATCGATATTTTTGAAAAACATTCATTTGCTTTTGACATACTAGAATAATTTTAAATTTTTGACAAAAATATTACTGTTCTTGTGTTGTTGATTCCAAACATGAGGTTTCATCTACTATCAAACGTGCATATACTAAACTCACGAATATTGAGCTTATTATAAACAAGTTGTTAATCAGTCTCAAAGTATCATTGGCAATGAAGCACCGAAAGAGTCCGACCACCGATCCGAATCGAGGTAGTCGGATTTAATAGTCTTGGCGTCGGTCGGCTTCGGAGTCGAAAAATCGACTCCGTTGCGAACTCTGTTCATTACACTCGAAAAAAGTAACCAATTATTAAGCTAAAACGCCAACATCTTCACACTGCGATAATTATCGACTGTTGTTTAAACTCATCAAATGAAACGTTTTACATTTCTGGGACTAACACAACTTAACATCATCAACGATAAATAATCATAAATTTAAGAAAAAGGTGTTGAAGAAGCCTATAAAATATGTCTAGACATTAATAAAGAAATTGCACAGAGAAGATAAAAATGATAACGATACTAGACGACCACGACGACGATAAAGAATAAGAAGAAGTATCTCAATTAATTTACCATTCTGATGCATTTTCAGCGATTTATAACATGCACATACAAATGAACGCATTAATAAGTTCCGATGAGGACAGTCTGTTTCAATGTGGCTTTCTTGGAGTTATTTTGAGTTCTATATCAATAGATATTCTAATACTCATATTCTTATGATGTAAAAGATCACGAAAAGATAAATTTACTACGGTGGGAAGAACGATGCTATACACGAATACGACTTGTTACCGGTTTGTGTTTTTTTTATAATAACACACTCAATAACACATTTTCATATAAGATAGATTATACGTAAAATCGGTTGATGAATATATATGAACCGGTTTATCAAAGGGAACTAAATTCACAACTCTATCCTATTATAAAGAATATTATTATTGCTGTATGCAAGTGACAGTGTAAATATTCTGTCGTTTAGCGCATGTCGTTCTTTTAATGAAGCTATGTGTTGTGAAAATACTTCTTCAGAAATACTGTAAAACAACATCAATATTCGGTAAAACAACAATCAATCCGATTTATAAAAAAAAAACAATTGTGCGCATTTTAAGTTGAAAACTATTTGTTTTATTATTTTTATAGTCAAATTTGGTTTCAAAGCTCCAAAATACTCATCATTTGCCGATTAACAGAAATCTTCACATAAACACTGGATAAAAAGGTATATTTTATAATGCATTTCAACTAGAGTTATATGCAAAAGTGTATATGAATGTGAAGATAGTAAAGCAAAATACTGTAACCTGTAAACAACATTTAATCACGAATTGTAGTTTAAAATGAAGTGAATTCATCGTCATCGTTATCAGAATTCAAGTTGTAAATCAACTTTTTGAAAGATGTCAAAATTGTAGACAACCCGTTTAATGAAGCAAATACTCTAAAATTAATAACTTATTGAATAAGAAAAAGAAAAATCCTTTTTTTTTATTGAAATAGTTGCTTATTCTGTTTCATTCAAATTCAAGAAATGTTTTACTGGAATGTTGCAGAAAAATGCGTAGAAATAAAAAAAACGGATTGAAAATCTTCATTTTTTGCTTTAGCATTGCTTGAATTCAGTAATGATCGAAGTAAAAATTTGTACAGTTGAACTTATAGATGATATTTCTTTCATTTCAGCTAATCAACAGAATCATTGATATAAAAATATTGGCGTAATATAGCATCACTTGATTTTGATTCAGGACCTATGACTTTGAATTAAAATACTATATTTTAGTTTAAAAATTAATAGTCAATTATTGTTAGAAAAAATACCCGCAAAATTAATTTCTTGCTCACAATAGATATACATATTTATAAGGATAATTGAGATAATTAACTTGAATTCAGTGTTAAAAGCCAAATTCAATTTAGCACGGTGTTAAAATGGCAGTGTTTTCCACTCAAAAAGATAAGAACATTGGTATATTTGGTCTGGATAAAGCGGGAATGAAATGTTATGAAGCCTTGTACAATATTGCAAACATAATTTGTTTTGATGAAAATCCAAGTATTAGAGAATCATTTGCAGAAAAGTATGGCATTGATAAACTTCTTGATATAACCGATTCGAAATGGAAAACACTCGATAAAATTGTGTTGTCTCCAGATAATCTAAAGATAATACCCTCAACTCATGACATTTTTGAATTGTCTAATTCCGCCGGTATTCCAATCATTTCCGATATCGATTTATTTTATGATGAAATTATCACCGACATTAATAAAACCGTAAATTTTGTAGCTGTGACGGGTACAAATGGCAAAAGTTCGACCACATCTTTGATCGCTCAAATTTTAAAACAAAATAAGCGTAATTGTTTGATTGGTGGTATGGGTGCGCATCATGTGTCAACTTTGGATTTAACTGCTGATGATTATATTTTGGAGATATCTTCATCACAATTGGAGTTATTAAAAAGTTTCAAACCGAAAATTGCCATACTTCTGAATATATCCAATGATCATTTAGATAAATACGAAACAATAGAAAACTATACGGCCGTCCAATACAAGATTTTCGATAGAATGGATAAAGATTGTTATGCTATCATTAATATTGATAATGAAATTACGAAAATGCTATATGATCGACTGATGGATGAAGACAAGACCAATTTGATTCCAATACATGCTGCAAAACTTCTTAAAAACGGTGTATCCATCCACGAAAATAATATTCACGATAATCTTGAACGAGAGGGCGTTGAATCAAATAAGTTTTTGATTCCGAAAAACCAACATTTGCAAGGAGTTCATAATCACGAAAATATTTTAGCTGCTTACGCTGCATGTTGTGTTCTTGGTCATTTGGAACCTGAAAATATAATGGCCGCCATTAAAGAATTCGAAGGTCTACCACACACATTACAATTTATCGACACAATCGAACATTCTGAGACGGAAATACAGTTCTATAATGATAGCAAAGCAACGAATGTTGCGGCCGCCTGTAGTTCTTTGGCTACATTTGATAATATATATTGGCTGGCCGGTGGAATAGCAAAACAACCAACGATAGGTGAAAATGAATTTGAAGCATTTCATTCGAAAATTCGTAAAGCATATCTTTTTGGTAAAGACAAACAGATTTTGGGTGGAGCACTCAAGGGTAAGGTAAATCTTTCTATTTATGATAACTTGAATGAAGCATTTAATGCGGCTGTTGTCGATGCAAAAAATGATTCAACCAAATTAAAAACAATTCTATTGGCTCCAGCGTGCGCTGCTCAAGATCAATTCAAAAATTCGGAGGATAGAGGGGACTTTTTTATTAAGTTATGTACAGATTGTAAGCTTAATTTTGAATTTTACATTTAGTAAATGAACATTTACAACAAAGAAAAGAAAATGTGTTTTATTGCAATCCAATCAAAATTGTTTCAAAATGATTGGCTTTCATTGTCAATGAAAGAGTAATAATCACAACCCAATAAAACGTCTGAAATTTAAGAATTTCTCCCTTTTTCTTCGTGTTATATTCGTCGAATAGGAAATGAAATCATTCGTTTTTTTAAGAATGGACCATAATTTATGGTAAATCAAGTTGCAAAGGCATTATTTTCTTGACTAACCAGAACATAAATTCCCCTAATAAAAGGAAAAGAAGCGATATGATTACTGTCTAAAATGATAAAAAAATAAAATTCACGTAAATTGGTGCTACATTCTATGTGAAAAGCGTATACTTTCCACTCAGTCCGTTGCAACGGAAAACAAGTTTGCATAGAATGCAGCGCCAAATATATGTGAATTTTATTTTTTATCGTTTTAGGTAATAAATCTATGGTTTTCTTATGGCTTCTTTAAAAAAACAACAACAATAAAATCATTATCAAGTGTATTTAATAATACTAGGGTCGCCCGTGGTTGAAATTCAACCAATTCATTTAAAATTGTTTATTTTTATATATGCTTTGGACTTGGCTTTGGATGCGTTTGCTAAAGTATGTGGATAATTAATCGGGCAAAAGTATTTTCTGAAAAGTCACGTTATAATTAAACAGAGTGTTGCTCAGCGCTGCTGCCATCCAGAGCATATTAAAATATCTTGCTTAGAATGCGTCGTGCGTCGCATGCGAAGGTACGTAGCAGTTTATACATCACAGCGAACAACAATACATGCATTGTTCTCTATTCAATCGTTTGAATGTTTTGAGTCACATAATCGTGAAGAGAACAATGGATTCATTCTTGTTCGTTGTGATGTATAAACTGCTACGTACCTTCGCATGCGACGGACGACGCATTCTCAGCAAGATATTTTAATATGCTGTGGATGGCAGCAGCGCTGAGCAATACTCTGTTCAAAAAAATGTAATCGAAAAAAGTTGACGTGGAGAAGGCTCATTGGGGGTTTTTGCAAAAGTTTTTTTTAACTTCCATTGATATTTGCATCTATGTTGGTTTGTTCTCAAAAACTGTTCAATGTTTCATACAGAATTAATTTAAAAAATGAAATAAAATTGTTTTTTTTTTTTTAATTTTTCTTTTACTTTTTCTACAAAACAATGGTCATTAATATTATGTTTTGATTAACAAATCTTCTTTCGTGGTGTTTATTTCCGAACTTTTCGATTCTCTGGGATCATTCCACGATTGTATTTCGGCTGATCCCCATATCATATAGATAACAATTCTAACCATCGAAATGCAAAATGTAACCCAAAACACGTATCTCCATTCTTCAAGCGATGACTGTAATTAAGAACTTGTGTAAATATCCAAATCCAAGTTTGGAAAATATTTTTCTCACTCACGTTTGGTGTCATCACACCAACAAAAACGGGGCCCGCTATTCCGGTCAGTGCGCCAATTCCATTGGTAAGAGCCATCAATGAGCCAGCAAAATTTGGAGCCAAGTCTAAAGAATTAAGTCTGAAACCAGTATAATAGCAGCCAAAGAAGCCAATCGCCAAAACAAACCAAAAGACGACAAGGAGTCTATTACAGCCCGCGTAAGAAGCGGCAACGATGAAAATTGCAGGAATTACCCCGGCTTTGAGGAAAGTTTTTAAAGTGCTAGTTATGAAAATTAGAATGAATATTGGAAAAAGATACGTACAAGCAAAGGTGAACATTTTGCGCGCCTGAGTGATTGAAATGTAGTTTCGATTAATCAAGAAATCGCATAGGAACGCTGACACTATGGACATTATCCATCTTATGAAGTATGGCAATGACGAATAAAAACCGACATCATACACTGAAAATCCCAAGACATCTTTCATATATTTCGGCAAATCATTGGACATTATAAAGGCGGCAAAATCCTGGCCAATCTATTTGTCGATTAAACGAAAAAGTTTCGATTTTTCATAAATCAATTCATTCATTTTGTATTTACCTGTGCACAGATGTACGCCAAAACTGGGACACTACAGAGTATTTCCTTCCACGGAGTTGTCAAAACGTCATGACGTTTTAATTGTCCTATTTCTTTATGGAGATAATCACGCTCTTCTTTGGATATGTAAGGATGTGAAGCTGGGTCATTGTAGCAAATTAAAGTCTGGAATTGTTGATTCAGTTTTTGTGTAGGTTAAACGATTGTTCATTGATCTATTTGGAAATAGACTTACAAATATGATGAACCACACAATTGAAATGATTGCCCAGAAGTAGAATATGTATTGCCATGGCCAAATCGATAAAAGTAGGCCCGTTACATAAAAGGACATGATACTTCCTACCTAAAGGTATAATTATAACTTTCAAACCATACATGAGCACAGAAAAAAGATAAACCCTAGGGTTTAAAGAGGAGCTCCTCTACATTTTCTGGGCTAGCACAGCCCCACCCCATCCCTAAGTCGACCGAAAATTCTTCCGATTTGCTAGGAGTTTTGATAGACAGTGGGCAAATGGCATTTACCATAGGGGCTGAATAATTTCTTTTTTTTGCGTTTTGAAAGCCGGAGAAAATTTCGAACAAGTGTGTGACAACATATGCTTGCCGAATGTACCCATGTATGTTTCAGACTCATTAAATATAATTGAAAAGTATTTTGACGTACTTGACCACCACCCAGCACAATGGAGCCAAGTTTAGAACGCTCCTTTTGCGGAATCCAAGCTGCAAGAATCACACTAAGACCCGGATACGTTGTGCCTGATGACAATCCCATTAAAATTCGTAATACTATGAATACTTCATATCCACCTGAAAATAGTTTACTCAGTTTAATTCGGGTAATGTATAGCACTACTACATTCACTTTCTCTACCCACCATATTGAAGGGCCATTGGTGTTGCAATTGTACAAATGGCCAATATTAAGACTGCTAGGGACATTGGCCACTTTCCACCAAATTTCTCAGCCAAAAGGCCGCTGGGAATATGCGAAATGACATATCCTATGTAAAATGATGAAAGAATCCAGCCTTGTTGTTCCTGCGACCAATTGTATCTAGTTCCATCCTAATGAATAAAACAAACTCATATAAAGATCTCATCAAAATATTTGCATTTTTGGAAAACTAACCATTGACGTATAATTACTGTTCCGCACTGATGAAGCATTATCAATTGGGCAAATGATGGAATCATTTTTTCTACCAAATGATTTAAGTGGGACCACCATTTCGGTGATAGCTACAGATAAGCATTCTCGCATTGTGATGGCAACAACAATTGCCAAAAATCCCATTATACCTGTGATGAAGCGCTTTGGCATCGACACTTGAGAACAAATCATTTGAAATTAAATCAATATAGAGCTATGATAATTATAGATTGGAGTAAAACTTTGATATAGACCGAACTTGATTGCTACAGGTCAATGAATTAAGTAAAACTTTGTTTGGCTGGATTGACCAGTAAAAATATTATTTGATATTATTTTGTAATGTCTGCAAAAGCCATCCCATTACCGATAATCATTTAAATAAAATAAATAACATCAAATGAATCCATATGTATAGTTTATACTTATTTAAGTAGTCAAGAAATTTATTGCATTTATTCAATTTGAGACATAAAATCTGTTTTAATATAGGTGAATTTATCAATACACGTGCACGGTGCACACAAATTAGATGGAAGACAAGATAAAAAAAAACACAAGCAAACACTCACACATGATACTTGAGATTGGTGTCGAATCAGTTATCTTCAATGCTCGATTTTTTAAAAATCTAGTTTTGAAAGAAAAGAAACTTATCAGCCCCCTTATATTTTGACTTAGAAATCGGAAACATGATCCCCGGCATATTGTGATTATGAAAATTTGAGAATCTTCTTTTTACCTCAGATAGGTTGACTTTTTTGTAAATAAGAATCTTGAAGCATTTTTTGAAGTGATTCTTGAAACTCTGTTATCACAAGAAAAATGATTTCACCAAAAACTTTTTATGCATCAACACAAAATATAGAAAAGCTATATTGCAAAAACGAATTCTTCAAGCATGCCTAACAAAGTGTAATGTGCCATATATTACGAAAAGATCCAAATGCCCTTGCACTCAACTAAAGATTCAAATGACTACTTCCGACTATTCATCAAAAATTCCTGATCAAATGGACTATTCAAATCTCCAATAAAAATCAAAACTTTGACGTACACAAATAGCTCGGAGTAGTTTTCACATTTATTTTGAGACTGAATAGTTCATTTGACCTAAGATTGTTATTTCTATAGTTTTGCACGTAATAAAAAATTATTATGATAAGTTAATAATAATAAGCATTCCCACCTATATCGTTATTAGGATCGGAACCTTATAACGTTATTATGATTTTATTAACTTATCATGATAAAATCATAATAACGTTATTAGGATTACATCCTAATACTTATTATGTTTTATCATAATATTTATTAGGATTCATCTTAATAAATACCGTGGACACTTGTCTGAAGTAGCGCCATCTGTTGAAAATTGTTTTTGGCTGAATAACAATATGCTATCAAGTGAACACGGTATTTATTAAGATCAATCCTAATAAATATTATGATAAAACATAATAAGTATTAGGATGTAATCCTAATAACATTATTATGATTTTATCATGATAAGTTAATAAAATCATAATAACGTTATTAGGATCCGATCCTAATATCGATATAGAACATAATAATTATCATCCTAATAAAAATTTATTACGATATCGCAAAACGCAAAACTATAGTTATTTCTAAATAAGTAAATGAAATCTTTTAAAATAGAACTCCTACTTTCTAAAAGTTCAGCTTTTTCAACTTGAGCTAATGATTTTTTGATAACGACTGCTGTGTATTATTTGATTGAAACTCAAGAAGAGGTATTCGATCAATATTTTAAATATATATACATTATAATACATATAATAAACTTCTTTGGAAGTTGACGCTGTAACGAAATTATGTAAAATGTTTTGATATCAAGTTTTGGTTTTTTTTAAATGTATGCTGGATGTTTGATTTGGTGCCAAATTACTACTAAAATATGTCAAAAACCGTTCCAAAATGCAGTGGTCTCGATTGTCATTTCATTGGCGTATATGTAGAAGTGACGCCATATGCGTATTGCATGGTATTTTGTCACTTGAGAGGATATCGTTTCATACAGTGTTTTATCAATAGAATGAGAAGTGTATTTTCATTATCTTTGCTATATACAGTATTGGTAATAATCTAGGGGGTGACACGGGCTTTAGTATTGCTATTATTACTAGTTTCTTTTTAGTAAATCGTATATAATGTGTACATTTGACAGGGCCTAATAAGTCCTAATTTTTCTTAGTTTTTTTTAGTTTTCTAGCTTGTATCTACCCCCTAGGTAATAATGCATGACATTAATTCGATGATGCAAAAAAAAACTTACATTATTAGCTTGGCCTGCTAAGTGAAGAGCTCAATGTGATAGTTGTTGAATGCATTTTGATATTTCAACGTTCTAATACGAAAATATCTTAATAATCGCAGAATACACTCAATAAACTGAACGATTTTTGTCGTCAAAATTTTTTAATGGACAAATTGCTCCACAAATCGCATAAAATCCTGCAATGTCTTAACTCTTGATAAGGGATTTCCGGAATTCCATTTTTTAACAATTTATGGGAATCTAAAGATAACTTTGATTGTAGGTTTCCTCAGTTTTGCCGTGAACTTGTTAAGTAGTGTATTTTCCCTCTCAGTAGCAAAAGTTGGTGTATTTATATTATTTTAAACTATGCAATCTGAACATTGAATAGAACGATGAACTTTGGTATTTCAAATGGCAAAAAATTATCACCGTACGCATTTTCATTGAGCTTTAAGTGGAGATTCAAGTCAAAGCGTTAAGGAGTATTAAGTACCTACCCCAAATATAAAATCTATGTACTTACATATTGCGCGTTGTTGTTATTCAAACTACGAACTAAAAAATCATAAATAAAAAAAAGCGAAATCTCAATTTTTTTAAAATTTCAAATTATTTCTGGTGTATGTACATTGTACAAGGTCTTTGGTACAAAAAGAAGGAATGAAATAAAATGTTGTTTCATTATAGCAGATTTTATTAATTTAACATTGGATCCGGTTTTTCGTCGTGTAATTGTGCAGCAATTTCGGTGAAATTGATTTTTTTCGGTAACGGTTGTGGAAATGGAACGACGCCATACGGTCTCAAGTGATAAATTAAATAGTCAAGAACGTACATTTGTTGTGGTCGAATGTGATGAAACGAGATGGCATTATCGGAACAGCAATCTAATCCTTCAACCGATTGATACCATTTGTGCTTCCAATACCACTGTGACATATCAATTTTACCAGGTATCAGATGTGCTTCGGGTGTATTATGAAAGAATCGTCCTCGTTTCATTTCATCGCGTGTATCACCGGCCAAAATGCGCAACGATTCCATGCATTTTCCCATCTCCAAATCTTCAATACCCGTATCGGTGTCGAGTCGACAACCCGAGTTCGATTTTCCCGATGATAATGCCATTGAAAAGCGATGTAATGCATTTTTACTTAAAACATAGCCGGCACCGCCTGAAAAATAACCTTGCCGAAGTGTGTCCGCTTGATTTACTTTATATCCAAAATAAATTGGATCATTTGTTGAATATGCATACAAAAAATATCGCAAATTCTCCAAAATCACGTATGTATCGTCGTCAGCCTTCAAAAACCAATCGGCATCGTTGCGATAATGTTGGTAAACATATTGAAATGCACGTTTCGTTTTGCCCCATGTCATCGATGGAGTATCGCTGCTTACATTCAATGCAACCGAATCGATTGAATTATCATGACGTGTGCTCATAAATACGAGCTTATTGCATCGTTTGCCCCACGTTCGTTTCACATGTATTGCTCGTGTTTGATGGTTTTTCGGTGTCGTTAGAATCCAGCACAAAATACGAACATCATTGTATAATTGTATGGACACTGTTCGATTCTCAATGGCATGCACATCGGAGTCACTGGAATGTTGTTTGGCTGCAATAGCCGCACCGCCACCACTGCCACCGACGGTGGTGCTAGCATTTTCATTAAGTATATGCATTAGTTCTTCGTCGGCAATCAATCGTTCCAAATGCAGATGATGCGATCGATTGTTGACCATCGACTGGTACTGTGTATACATCACAGCAAATGATACCCCGATCGTAACACCAATTACAAATAGAAAAAACATTGGACCATTTTTTAACGGAAACACCCCTGTACCGGAACGGTACGATTTACTTTCGACGAGCAACGTGTATTTTGTCATCTTTCTATATTATTTTTTTAAAAAAATGCGTTTTATCTTTAAATTATCCTAGAGGGTTCTTTAGTTTGTTTCAGCAATATCACAATTTGTTGTAGTTCGCGTTGTTTTAATTCTTTACAAATATATTCCTTTTGTTATTCTCACAATCGATGCCTTTTCGAAACGGAAGACACAGCCGATATGAATTTAAATGATTTTTTTTTTAGTTCGAAGACATCATTGATGACACATTTGTTTATTGGTACTTTTTATATTAACGCACAAAAAATATTTTAATTTCAGTCAGTTTGGATAAGCGTTGGTTTTTTGTCACACTTAATCCCGTTGGGAATTTTATTTATTTTAATTTGCTTTGTTTGATTACGAACTCGAAGGAGGAAGATGTTTACTTTATCCGGTTTCAATTGTGATACTAATTCACTTTGTATGTGCGTGTGTGTTTTTATTTTTGCAAACTAAAAAGTTACTATTCTAAATATTACTATTTGGAGTTTATTGCTATGGACATTTCATTGCTGTTGCTGAGTCGACAACGACGATGATTCGTTATTTGATAGCGTCACGAATGTGTGTTCACATTACAGTTACATTCTATTGACAAATTTGATGTTTGCATTTCGAGCGAATTACTGTTGCTTGCAATTTTTTTTTTCTGTATTTGCACGAGGCGCAAGCGAGTGTTAGCGAGCAAATCGGGCCACTTTGCGTTTGTAACTTTATCGATATATTTAACAAACGCAAAACCAAAATGTAAAAAAAGCAACCAAAATCAACAAGTTCAAGTAAATGTTTCGTTTTATTTTCCTTTTAATTGAGTGTCAACATTCTTGAAATTGGCCATATTGCTTTTGTTTTCATTTATCAGTATTTCAATAACAGTCATAATTCACACAAAAGTCCACAAACACATTATTTGAATACGACGCCTGAATTGTAACGATAGACGTGAAATTTTGTGCACTTTCATTTTAGCTGTATGCTCTGTTCATATTACACATTTGAATTTATGAATTGCGAAAATGTGATAAAGTCAATGAATGTAGAATTGAAAGACATCGTCATCGTAAAGAGGTCAACCGTAAATGCTCCTTTTTTCAATTTATTTGACGGCAATTTCTTTGTTTCTTTCGTTCAAATTTACAAAATGCATTGCACTGTGGCAACGCTCATTTCATTTCATTCATTGATTAGTATGGTTTTGTTTTTATCACATTTCTATTTGCCATTTGTCTAATCGAATTTTGGGTTTGTGCGTGTGTTGAATTCACTAAATACGTTTTAGCCCCGGTTCTATGTTTGTTCCCTATCTCCGTTCGGGATGTATTCAAATTCACTTTATAACAAACAAAACTCGGTTGAAAAAAATGAAAAACAAAATTCTCATTGAATAATATCAACGAAATGATGACTAAAAATAATCACGATTCCTCCGGCTGCTGCTGTTGCCGTTAATGTTGTGATGAATTTGTGTGATGTGAATTCAGTTTGTCAGGAAACAAATGTATATATATGTGTGTGTGTGTGTGTGTGTGTGTGTGTGTGTGTGTGGATGTGACAAAAGACCGTTTTATGTTTGCAACTGCACTCGAAAATTTACAATTTAACACAGAATCTCAACTGAACAGCCAATTTAGTGTCAAAATCTTCTATGTAATCAGAATCGAATGCGCATGTCCGTGTTACCAAAGCAGCAATAGCACATCAAAAAATGAGTGGCGATATATATATGTGGTACGCTTATATTTAAAAAAATATATATATACACACACGAGTCGCATACACACCATATGTTAAACAGTATATTGTGCACGATACGAGGAAAGTATTTTGCCCCGTTTGCATACAAGCGACAACGGGATAAACGACACTCGATTGCCTCGGTCTCTCTCTCTCTCTCTCTCTCTCTCTCTCTCTCTCTCTATGTTTCTTCCGAGTATGTTACGCTCTTTATTTCTCTCCCCTCGTTTTTGGTGTATCAATTGAATTTATGATCGTACTCGTAATCAAATGCTATTTACGTATAAATATAGCACAAAACATATTGCTGCTGGTAGTAATGAAATCGCATCTTTGTCTCATTGACAATGAGAACAAGGAATCCAAAGAAAATGAATTTGACGAGACGAATGAATGTATGAGCGTGTGCGACAATGTTTTGAATGTTTCTTTTGCGCGTTTCCGCACCATTCGATACAGAATGTTCAACTGACAAAACCAATTACAATTCAACACTCTCCGATCATCCGATTCTCCTTTTTTCTTCGTTTTAATTGTGTGACGCAAATACTTTGTATGATATGAAATAAAACCATTTGAAATTAAGATAGAGAATCAACTCTCCGCCTTAAATCTCAAATCTTTCACATTTACTTACTCACAGATAACACATTCGAATGTTTATTATACATTCCGATTCAGTTGATTCTCTCAGTTTATTACAATGTTTATGTTTCAAACAATATCATACACGATGTTTTTTTTTCTTTCTATCGAGGACGATTTTTGCGCAATTAAACTGCAAATTAAATTATACTCTAAATTAACATCTCAATTTCATCGTCATTCCAACTCAATGATTTTTTTTATTTAAACGTTTTATAATGCATTTTAAACATATTATAAACCGAAGTTAATGATGGTTTTTTAAAGTCGGATTTTATTCATCATTTTTAATAAATAATTCAATGATTCTCTTCAAAAACCATAGGGTAACAATACAATAAAAACATTTTCTACGTTTGTTCAATTAATTAATTCTATAATTTGTTTGGAATATCATTCTCCAATGGAGGCACCAATTTCAAAATCCATTCTTGGATTTCAAGTAATTCTTTCGCTTTCAGTTCGTGCAATGTATTCTTCAACGTTTTAAATTCACCGGATGCATCCAATGCGATTAGTTTATCGTAAGTCTCTTTTCCCCAAGATAGTGGCACCAACGAATCGCGATCGCCGTGATACATTAATAATTTTGGTAATGGTTTTTGCTCGTTTTGTCGGCTACGCAACGTTTCGAACACAATTGAATCATCATTCAAAAATGATGAAGCCGTAAATATTCCGGCTAAATCTTGATTCACATGAAAACCGGCATGCAATGCCAAGGCACCTCCCATCGAGAATCCACCTATGCAAAAAAAAGTCGAGTTAATGAGAGTGGATTGGAGATATCAAAGATTTAAAAAAGCACCTTATTGATAAAGAAGTTTTGTCGTTTTTCAAAAAACAAATTTTAAGTTAGGATTGGAGACACAAAATTATTAAGAAAATAAACAAAAACAAGTGCGATTTGAAAAATTCTGTTTCGGAAAAAGAGAATTTTGATAAAATCCAAATTCTCATAATTGTTATTTGTAAATATTTCAAAGATTAAGTGGGCGTTTGTGACAGTATACATATCATTATGGTCTTACTGAGACCAATTGGTGCCCTAGAACTGATCGTTCATGAGGTTTTTATTCGGTGCTCTCAAAAAACTATCTATTGTCGTCATTTTTTCGGCACATTTTTTAAATGGGGCCATAGACTGTCACTAACATTAAATTAGATCGTTTCACTATTACTTAATTCCGACTCATTGGAGGACTTTCCTCGAGTCCAACGAATGGTGCATTTACTACAAAGGCATTTTTTGCTTATTTTAAATAATGTAAAAGGTCATAAAGTCTCTATATACCGATGACAATACGATTGGCGGGTATTCCAGAATCCTTTTCAATGTTGATCAAATCTTTAACATATTCGTAGGCATTCTCCATCGATGGTTGGCATTCTTTGGCCTTTTTCGAGATTGCAAGACGATCGAACCACACATGACTGGGCTGAAATAAAAACCAAAATGTTAAATAAATTTGGAACCAAATTAATTGAATTTTAAAGATTCTGAGACGCTTAAAAATCAGTCAATGTGTATAACTATTTCCAAACTAATTTTTTTGAAAGAAAATGATTTGCAAGTCAAAAAAGTTAATTGCGCCGAAGTCGCTTTCGCATAAATGAATATGATTTGCATGCATTTAAATTACTTCGCCATCTAACGGTGTGTATGGTTGTACTGGTGCGGTTGGTATGATGACTTTCAGATGTGGAAATTGCATATCTTTGCCAATAAGAAAACGAATCCATTCCATTAAATTGCTACCGGTATCACCTAAAAATCGATAGATTCTATATTATTTAAGAGCATTTTTTTTTCGTTCACACTAGAAGGTGGTGACCAACCTGAACCGTGAAAGAAAATCACTGTTCCCGAATGTGTTTTACCTAAGGGGAGAATCACAAAAGAAAAGAATAAAATTTAAAATAATCGATAAGTAATCGAAAAATAATCGTAAAACAATCAATAATAATTAATAAGTAATTTTTAAGTGATTTGCCCCTTAGTTTACCAGTTGGCTGAATGGTGTTTACCAGCAATTTCATATTCGAAAACGAACTGAACAATTTTCGCATTAATGTTAAATTATTAAATGCGCTCACTTGATTTCAACGAAATAATCGTGAAATTTAGAACTCGATTTTTTTTATCTATTCTATTTTAATTGTTATGTTTTTCAATCGCAATCATTACTGATCGTGATTGTTCGTATACCAAAATCGTGCTGTATTATTATTATTGGTTATGTGACAGTTGTCGTCGCCTGAACTTGGATAAGATGCCCAAAGATGGCATCACATGTATTTTTGACATATAATATACACATGCACATACATTCAGTTGAAACTGTTTATCATGTTGAATGGTTGACGCATTTTAAATCGTTAACACATTAGTATGTGACTCTAACATTTTGTAAAAGAAACACACAAAGTAAATTCTTGTACGGCGGATTTAATGAGTTTTATTGATGCGATATACGCATATTTGTTATTGGAAATAACAAAAACTTATTGCATTTGATAAGAAATCCGCGCATTGAAAATGCTGTTATCGTCACCGTTAAATTATGTGATTATTTATCAGTTGTTATGCATGGCTTTATGACCAATTATCACAGAAAATACAAATGAATACGTATATTGAAACGTGCTACAAGCAATCAACTCGTGTCAACATTTGTTCACACTCAAATATTTACACATAAATAAGATTTTGTTTTTTCTCTCTCTCGCAACAAATGATTTGATTTACTTCATTTTATTGTGGCATTTTATGAATGGAAAATTCAGTCATTTTTAGCTTAACTTTATCAACAAAAAAAAAAACAAAAACAAATTACGAGTAGGATTCTTTTTTATTTGTCTAATAATTTAGACTTTATTACTTGTTTCACCAACATTTTCCAAGTTGTAGTCATACTTTTCAGTATTAATTACTTCACGATGAAATACGTATTTGTAAATCATGGATGCAAATAATGCGCCAGATAACGGTGCAGCCCAATATATCTATTTTAAAATTATAATAAAGCACATTCATTCACGAATCAAATAAAAACCGCGTAAAACATTTTACCCAATGTGATTCAAAGTCGCCATTCCAGTAAGCTGGACCCAATGACCTAGCCGGATTAAATGAGCCTAAAAATGAGTTATTATGAGTTAATTAAATGAGCCTATGAATTATCATTTCCGTGAATTTACCACCCGTGAATTTACCCTGGATCAAAAAAAAAGAGGAACAGTGTTTAATAATAAAAAAAGAAAGGTGCAAATAAGAAAATGCGTCGTTTGAAGTCGATACTTACGGTCGCAGAAGCCAATCCGGCCACAGCCAAACCAAAACGTAACGGCACGCTGTCTTGCACTTTTTCATTTCGTGGATCCCATACCCCGCAACAAAACCAAATAAGAGTAGCGGTGGCAATGAATTCAATGAAAAATGCTTGATGTGGCTCTACGCTTGGTTTTGTAATGCAAAAGTCGCTTGAAATTTTGGAAGCTGGTGTAAAAGTAACCAACAATCCATAACCAATAAAAGCTCCCACACACTGTGCAACAACATATGCACACGCCATCTAAAATGTTTCGATTCAATGTGTATCGATTGGTGAAAAGATCGATTTAGGGAAGAATCACAAAAGAAATTTACCTTTACACTAATTAACTTGTACACTACTGCTGCTAGAGTCACGGCCGGGTTGATATGAGATCTGCATGGATGGTTGAATATTGAACAAATAAACTATGTAAAAAAAACTCTGTGTTCCATTTTTATAGACTCTGCGTACAAGTCGGATTTTTATTCTTACCCACTAACGCAACCGAATATTTGGACACAAATTAAAACCGCGAAGCCAAATGTCAAGACAACTTGGAGAAAATTCTCTCCATCCCATTGTATGCAACCTGCGCACCCAAAAAATACAAGCAGCGCGGTTCCCAAAAGTTCACTCAAAAACACCGCTACATTGTCCGGCTTAAAAATGTCCTTCAATATGTTGGCCATTTTCTTTGATCAATCGAACTTATTCGAAAGAAGATCAGAAGAATATTGATAAATACACAGCTGAAAGAAAAATTGTATAACCGTCAGCTACAACTCGGAATAATCGAATGAATTTGCTTCTGAATAAAATCGTCTTCTTCTTGGCTCTGTGGCATTTTGTGTGATAATCGTTGCGGTAGCCACATATGAACGCGATAAGGTGTCAATTACGAATATTTCAGACTTAGACATGCGTGTTTTTTATTTCGTATATTTCGTTCATAATGTGTCTGTACTCCATACAAAATCTGTGTGACGCGATTACATTGCTCTTCTTATCACAGATTGTTTGCTTTGCATAATTTATATTATTCACAATTTCGGACCGTGAGCGAGAGAAAACGAACAGCGATTTTCGTTCGCGTACAAACAACAATGCTCGAGCCAAATCGCTCTTTTCTCGCTCGAGCCAAATCACTTTCGTGTGTTGCCTACTGTCGTCTTTTTATAGTGGCATTATATAAATAGAGACGCTGTCAAAATTCAGGCACTCTTATTTCATCATAGATTGTTGATAACAATTGAGCTGCAAAACAGCTGTAAAAATGATACACTTTTGATTTATTGAAATGTTGAAATGTTCATCTTTATTTCAACAGAGCTGCATACAATGCTTTTTTTGTGATAATAACTGTACTGCGTCGATACAGGTTTGAAAAAAAAATCATTACGATTTTAAGAAATATATTGAAGGCCAGGGTCGAATTCAACAAACGAATTTGGGATTGATAAAACGAAAATATGCGGCACAATATTTTACATTAAACGAGACGCACGTGTTAAATTGTCAATATTGGAAGAACACATTCTATTGAATTGTATTGAATACTTTATTGATAATTTAATCTTTTATCACATGATGTGATTTATGACATGCGTTATATGCGATAGCATATGTGCATTTAAGAATACCTGCGACAGCCACGCATTCAATCAGTTGTCCATTCGAGCAAGAGTTATCAATATCAATACATTAGAAATGATTAGACTTACATTGCTTCTGATTTTCGTGGCTATTCTCTCTGCGGCTCGTGAAATCGAACAGTAAATTCTAGTTTTTGTTTTCGCTTTGTTTTGATAATTGAATATTTTTACATTTTAACGATTACGACATATTTGTAAGGCGTATATATATGACATAGTACATCGTATTTAGTATCGTATAAAACCATAAATTTCCTTCGCCGTGGATTCACTGCTTCATTGCCGTTTTGAACTAGTTTTGTTCACATCAAAATTTATCTGTAGAATCTAAATAATGGTATGTGTGAATGTGTTTCATAGAACAAATACTTCGTGACAACAGAAATAAGTTTATTCGTTGAAAGATAAAACTTCAGATTTTCGTTGCGGAAGCGAATGAATAATTTTTAATTCAAATAAAAAATTGCTCGTGATTCACATATCTTATCGACTTTTCTTCAATTCAAAAGTTACGATGTTATTTCTATAAAGCCATGTTGATATATATTTTCTGTTTAGGTTAATCGTTATATAAATTCGATCCGAAGTCAATGTTTGATAAAGAGTCTTTTCAAACTATCTTTTTTTCCATAGGTAGTTTGAATATTTCGATATTTTCTTTTGACATTTTGGCTCTCCCCAATTTTGACACTGAAATAGTCTAAGGAACTTGATTTTTGTTTCAAAGTAAAAGTATGAAATTTATTCAATATATTAAATTTATTTGTTTTCAGAAGTATCGAAGATGAACCGTGTACGTATGACTTGGCGCGTCATCATATCATTGCATACAGTAAGGTGAAAGAGTTTTTCGAAACAGCCGCTGTGAATGTGAAAAATCGTGAATTACGACGGCGATTGGCAAAACTATTTGAAAAATTAGCGACACATCCAAATGAACCAATGAACGAAGACGACCACACTAGTCTGTTCGAACGAAATGCATTCGAAAAGGAGTTATCAACACCGTTGCAGTTACTTGGAATTGGCAGTTATGATGCGAGAAGAGTGGCTATCTCGCTGATTCGATGGATACCATTTAACATTTTCAAGGGTCCTGCAGCTAAAAATCGAGTTGATGATCCAAAAAATGGATTCGAAGAAAATGCTGGCCGAATTGTAAATGCGGACACACGTGACAATTTAGAAAATTTGCACATTTTATATGATAACATGATAAATTATGTCAACACAGACAGTGTGGATAATTTCAAGAATTCAATTAATTTAATGGAACATTTACTGATCGCCGTACCGAAGGGATACAGAGATTTTACAATGTCTGATTGGGAATTGGTTGGAATTCAAATTAAAGGACATACTAAACTGTGTAAATTTCGAATTAAAAGTATCGATGAAAGTTAACATTTATGTTGTGGGTGCCATTTTGAAGTCATCATTTAATGTAATGCAAAAGTATTAGAGGCTTTTTTTTGATTTTGAATGTTTTTAAAATTGATGATTTTTACAACTTCAAGTGCGTTGTATTCATAGAAGTACTCTGATTTTGCAATTGTAAAAATGAATTTTTGTGGAAATTTTCATGATATTCTTGTGTTATATGGAACGAAAATAGTAGACATTTTTGAAAACTAGATATTTCCAAGTTCTTTTATTCAACAAAATCATAAAAATAAAAAAAAATATTGCACTTCAAAATCACGAATTTTTAAGGGACTTGATGGTTTTGGAGAGATGGTATCTTGAAACTCTTACACGTAAAATGTATTTTGTTCTAAATTTTATGATTTGATTTGCCCTGAATGTGCGTATGTAATCAAAACACTAGAATAGAAATAACAGCGTATAACTAACAGAGCCACTGCAAAAAATAATCTAGAAATTGGTTCTAGAAAAAATGGTATTCAATATACATAGAATATGAAAAACACCATCTGAGTGTAAGCCATACACTAAAAAGTGGTGTATATTATACACTCAAATGGGGGGATCACTGTTATTTGTGCCCATGAGGACGTCTCCACGTAATATATGAATTTCCCAAATGTTAAAATTTCGAATTAAATTATAAAAAGCAGATTTTTTTTCTCTCACAATTTTCTTTATTCACAAAAAAATCACATCAAAACCGTTCATAAAAATAATAAAAATCTGTTTGCTCTGTTTGATGGTGCTCCAGTTGGTGGAGAATGGCTGGAATTTATTTAGATATTGCTGGGGCATTTCACTTCTTTCAATGTTTTATCAGTTTTTTGCGCTTCTTGTAAAGCACACGGAGTCGGGTATTGCTTTCCATTTGATCCACAAGCTACAACTTGGACGCAAAATTTTCCTGCGCATGCTGAGTATGTCACCGACAAGATGAACCCAATGATGACAAAGATAATTTTAAAATTCATTTTAATTTCCGATTAGTTTAAACTGAATACTTCAATATTACTGAATTGACTGAAGACAGTTCTCGAATTTGACGCCTTTTAAATTACAATCTTTTGACGCACAAGCAAGCATTTTTACGACAATCTGTGTAAACATTTTTTAAGATCACCTTATGCGTTCTACCTATCGTTACTATCATAAAATTTATTAGATTTATATTCGCTGTCGTTCATTTTTTTATTGTTCAAATCCACGAACGACAATACATTAAATCTATTGAATATATCGAGAAGAGAGTATGTTAGAAATGCAGTATTGTTTAATCGACGACGATCTCTGACACATTCTCTTGAACTATACACCCAAATTGTGAGTCAGAAAGGACTAATGATTGAAATACAGTTTAATAAAAAAAAACATTTCAACATCGCGAGAGGTTTGTGACTTTGGTTCAAATCAATAGGGTTGTCTGTCAAACTGTTTGAAGATTCACAAGCATGATTGGAAATGAAACAATGTTATACCAGTGACCAGGTCGCATATAAACGCAGACGCAACATATCCGTCGCTGTTCGCTTTGTGCTGCGCTCATTAAATACAATGTATGTGCGTGCGTCTCTCAATACACGGTCACATGCACACACGAACATGTATTCGCATGCTTCATTCATAGCGAACAGCGATGGATATGTTGCGTCTGCGTTTATACTTTGTATATTTATACTGCCTGCATTTTTTATGCTAGTATGAAATTATACGCGACCCGGTCCCTGTGTTACTCACCAAATAATCATGAATGTGTTTCAAGAACAAAATACTTCATGACACCAGAAATAAGTTTATTCGTTGAGAGATAAAACTTCAGATTTTCGTTGCGGAAGGGAATGAAGAATTTTTCAAATAAAAAATCTTTATCTTATCGACTTTCTTTCAATTCAAATTTTACGATATTATTTTCATAAATCCATGATGATTTTTATTTTCTGTTTAGGTTAATCGTTATATAAATTTGCAAAAATTTCGAGGGGTGAAATAAATAAATTCCCAGATCGTATTAAGTGATAACTTTCATTTTTCATAAATGAAATCATAAATTTTTTATGGCTGATGATCTTTGGCGAGAAAATATCTTTCGTTTTGTCGTGTAAGTTAACTTGACTCAAATTAGAATTGTTTACAATGTTTTTTTATTTGCATACCGTTTATATATTCATGATATTTCAACAACCTCACAGAATTTCTGGTACGAAATGAGATGAAAAATTAAAGTTATAAAAAAATGTTTTCTTTCCGTTTACTTGAATAGCCTGAGCTTTCCTTTGGTAGCTGTTTTCATTGAGTCGAGCTGTTTCTTCAGTTGTCCTTTAAAAACAAACTTTTTCTCCTGATACTCTTCACAATACGATTCTGTGTCCAGAGTATACTCCTTATGAGGTTGTCCACATAACGGGTCTTTGCCCCGGTCTGTCTCGGATTTCAAAGCTATGAAGACTTACTCTTGTACGAAAGTGACAACGCATTTGATTCAAAAACCAAAGTCACAGCAAAAAAAATTAAAACCAAACTCATAGGGAAAATATTCCTAACAATGTTCTATTTCACCAAGCAAATTTATTCATTTCAATAAATTGTAAAAATGTAATATTACTGGAATTCTTTTGATTAAAAATATATTTAATTTTTTACATTTTCCACGGCCTTAAAAGTCAAATCGCAAGAGCACGGCAAAGGTCGTGAAACTGACAAATCTGAAGAAAAGATAGTCGCTGTCAATCGTCCTGAATCCGGTGATAAAATGACAACAGCAAATTGTAGTGGCAGTAATAATGCACTTGGTGGTGATTTGTCATTTGCTCGAAATGCGCCAACTCCTCAAAAAGTACTCATTTTTTATGCAAATTGAAAAATATTCTATTTTTATATTTTGGTGAAAAAACTTTTGATTCGTTTTTCATTCCAGATTAGTCAACGAGCTCGTTTTGGTGAAAATAATCGTGATGAAAAGAAAATGGTTTCAGGCAATTCTGCCACTCAGGACGATCACGATCTTCCAGAACTAGGTGTTGACCAACCATACCAGCGACTGAAAGTATACAGCAGTGGTGGCAGTAATTCAAGCCCACAAATCATTATGGTTTCCAAGACTTCGGCACAAAATCCAGTTGATCAGGTACATAAAAATGAGATAGTACTTTATGTAACTTTAACAAGAACAAAAGTATAACTTATTCATTTATTTTAATCCATTTCAGACTTTTGACATCAACCCTTCTTTCTCAACACACATTTCAGTTAGTACATTCGTTAAATATATATATTTTTTTGCAAAGATTAACAAAATGAATCTGCTTTATTTCAGGAACAAAATGACAGCTTCATCCAAACCGATGAAGCGAATCAAAGCAGCAGCGAGTTTTCCTTCGAGGTAAAATAGAAAAATGACTCTGAATACACCATACACTCTTACATTCGGAATATACTAATAAGAGTAAATTTATTTCAGATGAATTTTGATGAAAATTTTTCGTTCCATGTAGATGAATAATCTGATTGATCTTCACCGTTCTTATTCGGTTTGGATTTCGACCTTTGAATAAAAAATACCATATCAATGCATCAACATCATCAGTTATTCTTATTCGCGTCTTTTGAAGAGACTTGAATTAAGACATTTCCAGTTGATTAAGATATGAATTTCATTTTGATTTATTTGACACACTTTTCAGTTTAATTTTTTTATCGACGACCACTTTCATTTATATCGATCATTTCAATTTCTTAACCATAATCGTTCATTTGCAAAAAACATAAAATGAAAAAAAAAAACATTTGAAATCGAAAAAAGCGGCCAAATTAATAAATTCATCAAATCTTTTTGAAACAATTTGTATTATTCAATCGATAAGATTCGCAATACACACACGTATATATCAAATCCAGCAACGAGTAAAATGTAAAAAAGAATAATCGTTTTTTTCAAGTATAAATAATCAAGAAAAAACTAGAAATAATAACTGAATCGACCCAAAAGCATCACAAGTTTTGGCATTAAAATCAATTTGAAGTTTGGAAAACTATTTCGAACCGGCGAAATGTGATTCCAAAGAATAATATCAATGTGTTTTTGTGTCAACATTTGATTTATATATGATTGGTTTGTAGATCGCTTTCCATCGTTATAATCACTTGAGGCTTCTGTGAATGAGAAATTGAGAAAAACATATATTCACGCATGAGATGCGAATTGTGAGTTAATCAAACATTTCACTGAAATCGACACCCTTGACGACAACAATTAATTCTACGAATTCTTGGTTAAACATGCAATTTAAACATCGTGTGCATCGTGTTGTCGAAAAAAAAAAAAACAACAGAACAACATTTGAGTTAGAACAATTAACAAAATTATTGCTATTCAAATATGAACAAATTTGTGACATATAAATTGCTTAAAGACTAGCCAAAACTAAATCTCTCTATGTTTAATCTCAGTTTTATAAAAAAAATAATAAAAAGCACATTTTGAAGGCATTTTATGTGGGCAGTGGGTTCTTTTTGGGATTTAGTCGATAGTTCTATTTTCTATAATGAAAATGTGCATTTTATTGACAACATGAATCACACTCTGCGTGTTGTATGAATTTGCGCCTTTTTTGAACGCACACTCATTCGCACGCATGTTTTGATCCTGCCAATTCACACCGGAAAATTACAAAAAAAAAAAAAATAAAGAAAATGTGCATGCCCAATGCCCAATACTATAATACCAATAATGATTTTCTAGCAAAATAAAAACTGTTTCGCTTGAAATCAATTATGAGTGCACAAACTGACTACAAAAATGAGAGTAAATGGTAATTTCTCAGCATATTTACATCGATTTTCTTCCAATATTGCATTCAATTTACCAAAATGTTTATTGTCACTAAGAAAAAACTTCCGAAACTGAGAAAATCCATTTTTATCTCAATCTATAGAACTTAAAAATATGTTAACTGCACAAATGTGTGATTTATTAATAAGTGATTTTGCGCAAAAAAAGAGGAATTAAGTGCAGTGTATATGTGAGTGTGCTTTTTTCATGAGTTACACATCAAACAACGTGGTTAGTGTTTAAACAGGCAATCACATCAAACTGGAATCGTTTTGAGCGGAACACAGTCACATTCATTTACTTTGCGATCGATGTCCGTAACTTGTGATGGTTTAACAGCCTGAACAACCTCACGTCGGAATACATGTTTATAGATAATGGCAGTGATTATTCCAGCGGGTAGGGGTCCCAGCCAATAGATCTAAAGTAGATCATTTAGTAATTACCGTAATTTCAGTGCAATTATCATCACTTACCCAGTGCATTGTAAAATCATTTTGCCATATCGCTGGTGCAAGTGAACGGGCTGGATTCATCGAGGCTGAAGTAAATGGTCCCAAAACCGTACCAATTGCAGTGATCGCAAAACCGAATTTCACCGGAATCGAATCTTGTTGATGGGCATTTCTTGGATCCCAAACGCCCCCACAGATCAAAATTAGAATGGTTGTCGATAAATATTCCATGGTAACTGCTTGGAATGGCGACAATCCTGGATGAGGTGCAGTCACGCATACGCCGTGTCCACCACCACCTGACATTTCAAACACATCCGTCGGCGTCATGACCATTAATAAACCTAATAAAGTGGAAATGGCATTGGTAAAATAAGCCAAGAATGAGGGAAATAAATGAAAAAAAAAATGATATACCGTATCCAATGTAAGCCCCGATCAACTGTGCAAAGAAATAAACAACAGCCATCTAAAAACGAAGTATTTCAATTGAATTGTTCTCAATTTTTGTATAAAAATAAAATATTTTGTAGTTTTCTCACCTGAATATCAATCATGTCGTAAACTAAGGCTGCTAGAGTCACAGCCGGGTTGAGATGCGCACTGCGCCGGATTCGATGCATTTAAATAGAGAGAATAAAACATATTTTATTAAAATAAGTTGTATGAAATAGAATTGAATAAGTGAAAAATAAAACAAACCCACTGACACAGCCGAAACTCTGAATAATTAGCATGACAACCATACCAAATGTAAAAGATGACTGCAGCGAACTAGGCGCTTGTCCATTCCATGACAAACACCCCATACAACCTGCGAATAGCGGATCATGCCACATATTAAAAATCAGACCAAAAAAATGTTTCACTGTATTTTTTACCAAGAAATATCAGCATAGCTGTGCCCAACAATTCGGCCAAAAACATTGAAACCTTGTCAATCGTTTTGGTGCCCATTTTTCTGTCCGGTCTCTTTTGCGATCACCGATTGATTAATATACTATCACTGTAATTGAATCAAAAACAATACGTAGTTACATTTATCAATGAAATTGAAACAATTTATGATTGTTTTGATCGTTTGACTATCACCGCAAAAACGAATAATTGAAATCTATCGAATTTAACTCCGATTTTATCCGATAGTCAAAGATAACAACGGTTGACATATAAGTACCGAAAAAAATTGCGTGTAAACATTCAAAAGAGCTTTAAAAACAAAAGTGACATGCAATTGATTGTAGTTGCTGAGCACTACTTGTCACCCAGTAAAAATGCCATCAAATGCCGAAATTTTATTATTATCGCACAAACACACCAAAATGGACGATAACCAAATAAGCCATATCTATTGAATATATCGAGAAGAGAGTATGTTATTCAGCGCCTGATTAATGTCTGAATAAAAACATACTCTCCTATCGATATTTTCAATAGATATGTAGATCTGAATGACGTATAAATGTAGCGATTTAATCGACTGACTCGAGTGAGAAAAAAAGAGCGGAAAAGAAGAAGTGTGTGTGTGAAGAATGGGGCCACGTCCACTTACATCAAACACACCTCGGCAACTGTGTTCAAAATTTGTACTGAGAAGATTTTGCTGATGTCGCACGAACGATTTGGCTGCAGCTAAAACATGTTTATGTTAAAAAAACCACGAACCAATAAAATATATAAACGAAATAAACGACGACTCATCATTTCGGTTGGGGAATTTTTGTTTTTGTGGTTTCTACAAGATCACTTTTCGCAAATTGATAAACTAAAGTAGAAAATGTAAAAAAGCCACGCTTAAATTGAATTGAATATATTTGTGTTCTTTCAAAAAATTACAACGATTATTTCTGGAGCAACGGATTTATTTTCTCAAATCTTCGCAATGCTCAAATTTCGAAGAAATGTAAATGCTCAATATCAATGTGTAAAATAAAAAAAAACTGAAAGATTATGTTTGAATGGAACGGTGAACAAGGCTCGTTTTTGTATGTGACTGGCAAAAGATAGAAATTGATTGTTTTTATACGAAGATCGCTGTGTGATAAATGCTTTCTATACGCACAGATAAACGTACATTGAATAAATGACGCAGCAATAAACAGCAATAGAAACTTTTAATTTAGGCGACAAGAAGGATATCGCATAAGAATACATTCCACAGCACCCAAATTGCACGGTTCATCCGACAGTATTTCCACCGTGCGTCATTTACGAAACAGAAGATGAATTTGTATTTCTTCGTATTTCACTCCGTATTTTATTTCGTATTTTCTTAACTGACGCACCGTCCGAAAGCCTCGGGCGAATGGTGCAATTTGGGTGCTTTTGTTGTTATTTAGGCTCGAATTTTCAACCAATTTGAATTTGAGTCATATATTTTTTCGGATGTAAGAAGATCCACAAATGATTTATGTGTGATAAGCCATGCCATACGACTGTTACAGAATTTGGGTATGTGCGTAAAGAGTCGGTTTTACGTCTTTTTTTATTCAATTGACGCGTTAATTTTGGATATATTTTCTTCTATTTGAACATACGTCTGTCCGATTTCATTTCCATTGCGTGCATGTATATATGCGGCATTCTGCACGTGACGTCTAAATCAACGAGCATCAATGTTTGCACCATAAACAAACATTTGTAATTAAAGCCCAAAATATAGCGAAACAATTGAAATGTCGTTGATGGAGTTTTTTGTGAATCCAAATGACAAACTAGAACGACCTATTTAAATTCAATACATTTGTGTGGTGCGTTTCTTTTGTCTGCACAAATGCTGATTGGATTACACCTCTCGAACTTTATTTAAGCGCAGCATCGAACGCACTCGTTTTTTTAAATCTGAAATCGAAAATATTCTTTTTGGAAAAAATGCCGAATTTTCGAGCAAATGTTATATTTTCGAAAAAAGTTTCGACATTCCAAAATTAATTGTCCACGGGGCATTAAGCTTACGATACAGTTCTGACAGTTAATTTAAAATCAGAGGTCCAATGAATATAATGATAATAAAATGTGTCAGGTGATGTTGATCGGTTACAAATTTCTAAAACGCTGGATCTTTGTTCGCCTATCATGTTTGAATCCAACTGCTAATAAATTATTCGTAATCATCAAGACGTTGCAGATCAACTCAATTATAAATATTAAAAAGCCACAAAATTGTATCACAGATTTCAACATCTTCGAGATATAGAGCCAGCCAATTGAGTGGTGGAGAAATGCAGAAAACGGTTTCAAAATGGTTTTTGAGATTGGAATGGCAAATGTGAAACTGTGTTAGTTGTCAGCAATTTAATCTATGGTCACAAAAGTGAAGTGAATCTTCTTGTTCGGATTAATATTTTTGACATGCAAAATGTGATAACATTGTTCTCATTTGCTCTGATTAATTGGTTTGAATCATAATTAAATTTGAGTGTGCAATTTTAAATTCAATGATTTGAGTCTTGTTTGATACCGATCAATACAAGCGGTGACAATAACTCGTTTAAAAGACATTTCGACACTTTCAATAATCATTTTGTTCGAATTTGAAAACATGAAAATATCGAATTATGAAAAAAAAATTTACCATCTTATCATTATCATATGAGTGATAAAAATAAAAATGATTGCAATAAAATCTCTGCCAATAATAAAATGAAGCGCACTGATCAGCTGGTTCAAAGTTCCTTTTATTTTATAAGGGAGTTCCCTTTCAAAAGTGCATATTTCGTTTGGCGTTTACTCCAGCGACACTCTGAAATGAATTCGTATTTTGATAACAAATATTGATTGTTGCATTAAAAAGATCAACGTTTCAATCGCAGTTTGTAAATATGACGCGCCTTTTCGCTGATAATCCATTCAATTCTATATTTAGACGAATGCGGAAAAGATTAAAAATTTCTATTCAATATTTTATAAAAACGGCTCATCCAATAGTCAGTGAGAATATTCTCGTAGAATGAAAAACATATCTCTCATTGACAGTCAAATTCGCTGATATTTACCAAAAATTGACCAGAAAATCGCCACAGGTCCAAAGTTGACATTGTCAACTTGATAACATTCAATTTCTTACAAGTTCAGATGATCGGTGTTTTTATATCATTTGTCTGTTTATTTGATTTCTTATTTTAATTTTATGGAATGACTGCGAAGAAAATCTTGATCTAAAGGAAGTCGCTCAAACATACTGATATGAGTGAATATGATAAATATTAACACAAATATTTGAGATATTTTGAATAAGAAACTCCACTTAATTGACTGCAGATAATTTCACGTCGATATCTATCAGTCTCAGTGAGTTGCAAAATATCAGAGGTGACTACGAACAATCATATTCGTATTCGTTCGCATTCGTAACGAACACGAATTGGAAAAAATATTTATAGTAATGAACAGTTTTTATACGAACGCGTTTGTAATCATCTCTGCTAAATATTTGATATTCATTTATAATTAGTGTAATGTGAGCGTTTGACGTAAAAAACATAAAAAAGTAAATTAAATCGAAATAAATTCGCTCGAAAAAGATGCTAATTTATAAAAAAAAATCAATTTAAGATAAAAAGGGGCCAAGATCAGCGTAAAAATTGGAGAGACCGTATAAAAAAAATTGATTTTGCAACTATTGATGATATTTACATTTCAAATTTTGAATATTTTAATTTCTTTTATAACTTGTTTGGCTGGTTTAGATACAAAAATGTTACTAAATATATTTGAATAAGGTTCTTGTTGGTTCAAACATTTTATATCGCAATTTTTAAAACTTACACTATTCTTACCTTTAAAGCAGACCCCCCTCGCTCTCTCTAAAAATCCTCTTTCACTTGTCTACAATTGTTAAGCGAAATTTCGTGAAACCAACAAAAAAAAAACCCGAATGTATAAAAACGGCTGGTATTTGAAATTGGTTTCCACTATTTTGACGATCGAATATTGAATGAGCGTCTGCTACGAAGTGTAAATGAATTTGTTGATGCTCATCAGTAAAGCGTTACTGAAGACTAATTTTTCATTGGAATCGTGTGGCAAAAACAGGGAAAACATAATAATATTGCCAATTAATTGGATCTTGTTTTTTATTCACGTTTGTACTGTGTTCAAGCATTGTTTTGCTATGTGTTTATTCACATTCTGTTTACATATAGTTGTGCCGATATAATTTTTTTTTTCATCTGCTCAACACAATATTGAGCTAGATTAAAAGTGTTGCTTCAATCGCTTTTATGTAATTCACTGTGCGGCAAAAGAGGTGTAGTGAAAAAAATGCGCGACAGTTGAATTGACAACGAATGCCAATAAAAGAATTTCAAATTTTTGTAGCAAAAGAATCTCGAGTGTCGTCGGCGCAATCAATAGCATAGAACGTGTGTTTGTGCATTGAATTTGATGACTTAACAAAACTGTACGATGTTAGGTGTGGTCAAAACATTATGTCTTACAAGAGATTTATTGCTTTATCGATAATGGCCTGGGAAAAATTCAATTGAATACACACAAATGTGAATGTGAAATATGTATCCTCGAGAAAGTCACATGGTCATAGGAGAAAATAATTCATTTTGAACTCATTTTCAAGTACACCTATTGTTAAAATAGACAAAACAAAAACTGTACAATTTAGATGACGCCGTTGTATGCATCATTATCTCTTAGTTACTGATAACTCTCTCTTATCGCAGACAGTTTACACACAATCCGTTCGATGTCTTCTGGTTTTAGCTTAGCACACATTTCAAACGTTTGTTTGTTTGATTGTTTAGTGTGTGTGCGCGTTTGCTATCTACACACAAACGAGTTTCAATGTTAATCATTTCAATGCAGCTACCTGAAACAAAACGACGATTTTTTGAATTATTATTACTTACTTATGCTCCATAAACACACAATTATTTTCAAGTGAACATTAAATAATTATTAAACTTTATGACAATGACGCGGCAACGATTGATATAAAACAGTAATTGTTGCACCGGCTCTTCAAGTTGGAATTTATTTACCATTTTATTGCGATCGGTGTCATTTTATTCGATAAACCTATTGATTGGTTTATTTATTTACAATTGATTGGAGAAGAAAAAACTATTCAAACGTAAAATTCAGGAATGAATTCGACATGTGGTGAAATGTTCTGTTCTGTGAAAATGCAAAATTCAGTGGAATATGAAAAAAATAATCCAAAAATTGGTTCGAAATTTATGCTTAAATCATCGACCCTCCCAAAAAGTGGGGCAAATGGTGGGACAAACAACTTTCATCTTCAGTCTCATTTTATTTCCTACTATGAAGTATAAAAAAGTACTCCCAACCCAAAAAATCAATCCATGAAACAGATATGAAAAAATCTGTGGATGTTCTCCTGGTGATAACTGAACAATTCCTACAATTCCAATATAACATGGCGATCAGACCCCGAATATATCTATTGAAAATATCGAGAAGAGAGTATGTTATTTAGCTTATGGCTGAGTAATGTCTGAATAAAAACATACTGTCCTCTCGATATTTTCAATAGATATGAAGATATCACAATGAAAAAGAGAATATTCAGTGTTTTTTTTTATTTTTACTGAAAAATTCGGGGATCTTCTTTGGAAATATATAACATTTGTTATTTCAAATGAGGGACAACATGAAAAACTAAATTGAGCAATTGTACTTTATTCGAAAATCATTATGATATGCATAAACATGTATCTTCCACATCGTTCCCAACGTTATTTTGTGGAAATGGCCCGTATGCGATGATTTTCATAAATATAATTTGACAGCAATTCAATCGTTTCGACTCGTTTATCACAATCGAAGTTTTCACAAAAGAAAAATTGTAAATATGACAATTTAACAGGTTTTCTCATTGTTTCAGTGGGTTTGTTTTTTAATAAAATATGTTTTATTCTCTCTATTTAAATTATTTGGCAGCTCTTACACGTTTCTGTACAAATTCGTTTTCATTTGTTAACAATTCGATTTTACAAAAAATAAAATAAAATTGAAACTGAAAATGATATTTTGTGCGGTGTACACAAAAATCCCCGACAAAACGTTATGCTCCTTTGTACTTACTTATAGGCAAAAAAACCACTAACATTTTAAACAAACCAACACCTTCATTCATTACTATAATCACATTTTACGCTATTATAATTCTATGTTTCGCTTAAATGAATGAAAATTAAATTAATTTGTTTTTTTTTTTTTTTTTTTTTCAAGTTGATAGCTTAATTGCTATGCACAGACGGCTCGGAGTAGATATAGTATAAATAGTTTGAAAAATATCATCCAATCGTAATTTGCTTAAAGAATTTGTAGCATTGCAGTTTAAAATCGATCAATTCATTTCCAGTCCTATACTTTGGGAATATCGTCTGATGGTCGTAGCGGTTGGACAGCTTCCAAATCAATGTCAGGCTTTTCCATGAATAAAAATTTATAACCTAATGAGGTGATGAAAGCTGACAACGTTGGTGATACCCAGTAGATCTAATAGAAGATATAATGTGTTAAAATCTCTTCAAAGATAAAAGTTGACAATTCAATATAAAACTTACCCAATGCATGGGATATTTGTGGTTCCAGAAGGCGGGGGCAAAGCTACGGACCGGATTCATTGAACAATTTGTAAACGGACCGAAAATGTATGATAAAATGGTGATTGAGAGGCCGAATTTTATTGCGAGTGAATCTTGTTTTGAACTGTTTCGCGGGTCCCAGCACGCACAACAAACACTGATCAATACCATTGTGGCGATATATTCACAGGTGAATGCTTCGAATTCGCCAAGATCTTCGTGCGGAACTGTCTGACAGAATCCATGTGTGCCAGTACTTAGACCGAGTGCCTTTGCAGGTATTAGTGATACAAGAAAACGGTATCCAACTGTTGCGCCAATCAATTGAGCGAAGAAATAAATGATTCCCATCTGCAAACGAAACAAGCATTAAATGATAAATTGAACGAGAGACACATTTTTTTTACCGAATATTTCTTCTGAATTCAAATTAAACTTACCGGAATGGAAATAGAACGGAAGACAATAGCAGCAACTGTAACAGCTGTGAAATAGCAATATTAAATTATTGATCTATTGATTTTTTTTTTCATTCGAAAAATTCAAGGAGAATTATTCACTTTGACAGCAGTTTTAATTTACCTGGATTGAAATGAGCACCGGATAAGTGTCCAAAGCATTGAATCATAATCATAACAACGAGACCAAAACTGATTGCACCCGCAAATGCTGGTGGTTTATCATCCCATGTAATACAACCCATGCAACCGCCAAACATCAAGAATGCTGTTCCAAGCGCTTCGGCAATGAATTTTGTAAAACCCTCCATCACTGTTACATTTAATTCTGATGATGACAAGTGCAAAGATGACAAACGATGATGATGACGACGACGACGACGAAATTCCATGATAATTAAATTAAAAAAAAGAAACGAATGAAAAACAGATTGTTAAAAAATGAAACAAAAAAAAACAGATTGCAAAAGGTAGAGCGCTTCTAATCGAACGAAATGTTGAAACAAATTGCTTTGACTGAGTTATATTTGAATTGATGTTAACGTTGTTGCAGCTGTGTAGTCGCTAAGCGATAAATGCGTTGTATTCGTATACACTTTTTTAATTCAAATGAGTAAATTTTCGAATTTTCGCACAAAATTCCATCGCCATTCAAAGCTGGCTTGAATGGCATTTAGTATTTGATAAATAATTTTCACACGACACAATGTACACAACAGAAACGAGTCCTAGCAACCATTCCAAACGATTCCCTCGTGAGAATATTTTGAATAGTTGCTAGCCGACGAATTAGTAAAGAAACCACGATTATTGTAAAAAAAAGTTCAAACTGATGAAATTTTCACTATTTAAAAAAAAAATCCACTTTGTGAACTAGTTAACTATGATTAATTGTTATACGAATATGGTTTCAGTCAATCATTTTATTTACAGAAGGGAAACGACAATAATTTTTTAATAAACACAGAAAATGACGAATCGAAGAAAAATCTGTATTTTGGCTTTACTGTGACATTTTCATCGCGCCATTTACTCATTTAATCTTCATTATTTACACGATTATATTTATGTCATCTATTTATTATTATAATAATTATCATCTGAAGACATAATCACTTTATCCGTGACAATTAAAGTGGGTTCGCTTCAGCGCTCTACCGTTCTATTATTATTATGATAACTAAAAGTGTATTTTTTTTCTAATTTAAATGAAATGAATTCACCTTTTGCGTTAATTATAAAACATTTATAGTTTTTTTTTGATTTACTCTGAACATTTGAAAATATTACGCGAAAATAATCACAAGTGCTGTCGATATAAACGTGCTATGTGCTATAACAAACCGATGTAAATATTCAAATTTATCGGCTTGGTTCCAATTTTTGTGTAAAACTGAATCACTTTATCCATTCGAAACGTGAACTTTGTCGAATCGCGTGTATTTCACTTTGCGGCAGATCTATTCGACTGAAGCGATTTTTTCGACAGCCATCTCATTTTGTCGGATTTATATTTAATTCATCGCATCGAAAGACGCGTGTATTAATTCCTTTCTCTTTCTTTCTTTATCTGTAACCGCGTTCAATCTTTTTATATTGACATTCTTTTCTCTTTTTTTTGTAAGTTATGGTCTCGAACGCGATTTATTTTAATTTTACGTCGAGGATTTGTGTGTTTGTCTCAAATCGCTCGCGTATCAAAGTTACATTGACAGTGTAAATCGTTTGACAGCAAAAATTCAATCTTTATGTATATTGGAATGGGTAAACACATGGTGGTGCGCATACGCATTACATCTCCTCTGTCAAAATCATATGGATGCGGATTCCACATGTGTTATTCGAGTGTTGTTCAGCTATAGTATGCGATTTCGCTTGTACAAACACACACACACACACACAAAGTTGTTCTTGTTTTTGAGGCAAATTTGTTTGATTTAAGCGAACAATCCATTTTTGGCACTCATAAAAACTATACGATTTCATTGTTATTTCAAAAGTGTTCGATAAAAAATGAATGAAATGTTGATTTCTTCCAACAAAAAAAAATGGAGATTATTTATTATCAAATTAAATCGTCGAAACTCGTTTGCGAATTTTAACGACCGGTGCGTTTCATTTCAAATGTGAATGTACGCTGAATGTTAAAATAAGCGCCTCTCTAATGATATGCAACAAAAACGCGTTTTACATATAAACATTTGTGCAAATTGTTTTTTGCGTCCGTAAACACTGATTTTGAAACGGAATAGTGCGTGGGCAATAAGATACTTACGAAAATGCGATGGAATAATTGCTGATGGTTTTTTCGTTGAAGTTGACTCCGGCAACGGAGGCGGATTTGTTATATTATACGATTTTGACGCCATTATTTATAAAACCTTTATTTATTTAAAAAAAAAAACGTACGAAGGAGATACCATAAATGTTTGTTTTAAATTTTTGGAAAAAGTTTCCATTGAATTATTTTGTACAAAAAAAAATTGCCCGTCGTTTTAAGAGTTTCGAAAACTTTTTTTGAAGGAAAGTCATATTTATTATATCTTTTGCTAGTTTGGCAGTTTGACCGCTGGGAAAAACCATTTTACCCATTTGAATAAGTAAAAAAAGTGAGGAACCTTGTTCATTTCTGGAGGTTTACCCAAATATTTAAATAGACTTCTCGCATGGTTGTAAAGTGTCAATAGAAAATGATGCCTTGACAAATATATGCCCCATTCAATATTGAAGCCGACCAACTGAAATTTTGATATTGAAGTTTTTGTTTCATAGCACTGTGTATTTTGAATAATTTTCATTTAATTTCAAAATTCAGTATTTAATGTGCAAGCGTGTGGGAATTCATGAATGATATGTGTCATTGAAATAGATTTTTACATTGATAAGTCCCATTCGAAAATGCCGCCAAAATAAATTTACGGATGGACATGTGCAACGAATGGGCCTGCATTCGGTAATTTTCACGTTAGACTTTGTTTTGATATTGAAATACGAAACAGGAGTTGAATGAAACTTGAAGAAAACAAGATGTTAAAAGTCGAATGTTGTAACCGAATTGAAGTCGAACTTATTTATAATGAAGAGAAGAAAAGAGGAGAAAATGCGCATTTGAGTATCAAAAGTGATGAAGTTTGAAATAACAATTCGATTAATCCATGGCCTGGAAATGCCTATGTAATTTACATATAAACGAGTGAGACTCAAACATGTTCTTCTTTTTCCATCAAATATACCAGTGGCGCCACCAATTTTACATATAAGCGCATACAAAATTTTCAATATGGCTGCGCCCATGAGAGAGAAAATTTCGTCTCATTCATTTCCGCCCCATGGATTAATCAAGCAATGACAATCGCACTTTGTTACCAATGGTGAATGCATTCCATTCTTCAAGAGTTCATTGTATGATGAAGCAAAGTAATCAACGTTCAAAACTGATTGATACCGAAGCGACACGTTAAATTGTGTGAACAATCAAAAAGCAAATTAAAATATTGTTTGGAGTCGTTTTGTCTCAGAAATAAGTAACGCCAAAATATCATTTTACCAAAAATAGAATCGTTCTTGAATTTATATTCAACATTGGATAATTTACACGAGCGCAAAAGAGTTTAATTATTTTATTGTTGTTTTGAAACTTATTTGTTAAAAATATGTAGCACAAAAATAGTAAATATAGAAGACACTAGGGGCAAGCGCAAAAAAAAAAAACAATTCGCCATCAATTGAAACACCAGAAACAATCTACTCGTGTATAATAATTAAATTTATTGTGTCAATCAGAAGAAATCGCAGTCGTCAAATTAATGACGTGTCGCATCACAATTGGGAAACGCGTTTGCTACTCATCATTTGCAAAGTAGCTGACGCATCAATTATACTTAAAGGGCCGAATCACTTCAATTGAAGAAGCCATGTTGATGCTAAAAATGGCCATAGCAATTGGGCGACATTTGAGTATGTAAACACAAAATATTCATCATGATCTCATTGGAGAATACAATTAAATGGTCGCGACAAGTGGCCAAGAGGTTAGCCGCCAGAGGCCAAGTGTATTCCATTTTTAGATACAACGATGGCAAAAATAGCCATTAAATTGATTTGCGCTTGTAATTTCCCCACCACCGAATCGAATTCAAGCAATTTAGTATCGATTTCGGTGCACATCATCAATTGATAACATCATCAATTTATATCATTATTATTCATATCGCAATTCAATCAAAACGAACGAACAATATAGGCACGAACAACGCTCATTACTAAAACGTAATGTATTTGATTTTTATCATATGCTGCGAAACAATTACACATTTAAATTGGCTTGCATCGAATTGACCGTGATGCGGCTTATTCATGACAAGGATTAGAATCGCTTGAAAAAAAAATCGAATTTTAAATTCGAATTTACTTTTAAAATGAAATGTTTGATAAAGATGGTTGTGTGTCGATTTTGCTAAACAATCATTTGATCGTTGGGTTACCGCTTACCGTAGGGTCAAGCGTTCGTTCTCACCGAGTTTACGTGTGTGAAAGGTGTATATACTCAAAAGAGAGCGCCGTAAATAGAAGGTACGACAATAGACAGCAGAAGAAGATTTCTCCTTTCAAATATTCAAATGTGGTCTCATACCGAAAAATAGAAAACGCAATTGAATTTTTATTGAATGTCTTTGACCTTCGATTTATGTTTGCGGAATTTAAATCTCAATGATCAATGTTTTTAAAAGAACAGTGCGGAAGACAAATAATCGATTCACACAGCATTTCTCCGCCACGATCTGTATTGAACAATTAAAAGCATCCAAAGTGGCGCTCAGTATGTGCATGATTGTCAGTAATTAATTTGGCAGATTTGTGTTTGGCGTGTAAAATTCATCGCACGTAGTTTTGCTGTATACAACGTTTTCCTTTCCATATTTAACGGGTCAATGTCTTTCAAATGCATCTCTTGTTTCTTTGAAGCTGCGCTGAAGTATCGACGCAAGTAAAAGATATGTAAAAGGATTGACAATTCCAATCAATGCAACGAGAACTGGATGAAAAATAAAAAATGCCGATTTTTTTTTTAATCACTCGAAATCGTTATTCTCTTTGATCGAACGCCCTTTTATTCTTCAAATGACTTTTTCTGCTCTGTTCTGCTTTATTTCTATCTGTTTATGATTCGGGGCGTTTTATGCATTCTGATCACTTACACGTGCCACTTTCGTGCCATGAACTGAAATTACTTTCAAAGCGTGTCATTTTCACAATTCGGATCGAATCAATCAGCCGCAAAAATCGATAATTTCAATGTATTTATTCTTGATTTTCAATAACAACACATTATAACTCTCTCTGTTGACATGAATACATTTCGGGCAAACTTTTTTTTTTGACAAAATTCAATGAAAACAAACAAAAAATTGCGACAATTTAAAATTAAAATTACGGAATTTTTATTATTAATTTGCAAATTCGATTGACATTGGCGAATACTTATTTAATTATATGCCAATTGTGTAATTAAAAATGTGGCCAAAGTATAAATACCTTTTGAAATGTTATTTTATTTTGTGTTTTATTTTGATAGACAAAATGAACTTTTTTTAAAAAAATGTTCCACTGCACGTTTCGAAGTAATGCAAAAATACCGATTGAACACAGAACTGTGATGCGAATGGATTTTTATAGCTTCGGTCGACAGTTGCTTTGGATTCACGGCAAAAGCATCCGACGTTTTAGGCAAATCCCATAAAACTGAATTAAGATCGTGTGCGCTGCGAGTTAGAGAAAAGAGCGTACGGTTAGGCACAATAGCCAACAAAGAAACACCATTGCCACGAGCATTATTGTAATAAATCTCCCTGAATCGGTGCGACGCCGTGTGCATGTGACACATACATATTGCATTCATTCAAACGGTCGTAATGCGAAGCACTTCATGACTGGTTAATTCGAAAATTGATTATCAAACATGAGACCGAGTTTTATCTTACTATCAATGCTTTTAATGACATGGAAAACAATACATGACGTAATATGTTTTCAATTCAAATCATTGACCGTTTTCTGAATTGTGATCGCGGATATTTCAAGTTTGAGACATTTTTTCATATTCTCTATGTAATTTAATTGTTATAATTTAGAGACAAAAGACTAGACTTAAGATAATAGAACGATTTTTCCTCCCATAGGCAAACAAAATCTATTTCTAATGTATTTCGGGTGTAACAACATTTTTGGACATTATTATCAACACAAATTCATATAAAGCGGCTTCTGGTCTTATACTATCTACCGAAATTATTTATCTGATCTTTCGGTCACATGTTTAGCCATATCAATTAGATTTGTTAAGGAAGGACGTATTTTAGTTTTTGACACTTAACCATGAATTTTCATGATGATTCAGTACTTGATTTGCGAATGAGGGCGATTTTTTTTCTGTTTTCAAGTTCTACGCATTCCTGATAATCACTGATAACAGGATAAAAGGTTCTTTGGAAGATAGGAAAACAAAATTGACGAATTGTGTTTGTAAATAGTCATCCAAATAGGCTAGAGATAGATGTGCGCACGTCATTGAAAATGGAAAATTTCAACCAAATTAGATTTTATAGTAAAGTGGGAGTTGAACTAACGTTTATCTACTTATTAATGACATTTTATGCGAAATTTGTTCATCAAAACTTTTGATACACCCGTTATTAACAAAATTTCAATACCAAGTTTTCATGTGAAAAACAAATTTGTTCTTTATTCTACGAATTTTGTATCTCAAATAGAGAGATACGATCGCTTTGTAAAAAAAAAGTCCTGACGAAATTTCGATTAATCGAACAAATAACATTGAGGAAATTATTTGCAAGACCAAATTTAAATTAACGCAAAAAGTTTCAATCAATTCGATTAAAATATTCTGTTGAATTTGAATAAGAAAATCAAATAAATTCATACCTCTGACTCTCATTGTGACTGATGTTTTTTGGTAAAACCAACGATCAAATAACTTTTATGGAAATAAAATTGAATTCACACACACGCTAACAATCACTATGTGAATAAATTAAAATGCGCTGTGATTCGAAACAAACTACCGATAAGAGCAACCGTTTTAAATCAAATGTGATGAGGATCGCAAAAGCGTCAATAATGTCTGCTCGGTTTCGATATTTGGCATGACAAAAACGGTGGCTGTGGGAACTATGAGGCGAAGTCATGTGGTTGTTTAATATTAAAATAATAATAGCAATCAATAAAAATACGAGCTACGTTCGTTTCGACTTCAAATGAAAATCAATTGAATTAAAATGCTATAAATGCCATTTCATTGCGCATTTAGTTATTTTCGAACGTCAATTATAAATGCTTTAAAAATAGATATACATGGAAGCAATTTTAATTCTGAGAATTCCATGGCAACGACGATGATACGACATCGAAGCGTAAAATTGACCTAATATAGATCAAATGGGAATGATGACGGCGTTCGCAAAATCAAAGAAAACAATGTAAACAAGTGCTGTGATAAGTTAATTTAATTTAAATCTACCAAACAAAATGACACATGCATGATAACACTTTCGCGCGTGGAAACTTCAACCAAATTAAATAAAAACAAACTATAGACGAACGCGCACAACAGACGATCTTGAACGAATCTCTAAAGCGAATCTTCACACACGCTTAACAAGCATAACAGATTTATGATTTAAATTGTTCAACAATAGAAATTTTGGAACAGTTTTAATATGTTGAATGTGTGAAAAAATATGAATGGTTGGGCGAATATAATAGATAAAATTATTTGAGTGATGCCGAGAGTCGGATGCGTAAACAATGGATAACTTCCTCATTTATACATACGCAAAAGAGATGCATTTTGAAAACGGAGATGAGTTAAATAAAAGGGCATAAAACAAATTTTACATCAACCATTGAGAGTCAGAGGACGTTTTAAGGTCAATGACAACATATTTAATCAAAACGGAAATAAACATATATTCAAAATAATCTTTCATTGAATTTCAGCGGAATGGTTCGCCTGTTTCTCGGCACATTTGTGATCAACATAAAGAAGACCATTTTAAACCGGTTCATTGTTACATTGAAATCTCTTTGCTCTTCACATTCTTATATTTTTTGATTGGATTTTTACTTTATTTCAATGTATAATTGAAAATGTTCAATTTATAATTATAAAAATGGAATTAACAAAAAAAAAAAATGCTATTTTTAGTAGAATTCATCGATCTATTTACAAAGCGATTTGCATTTGGTGAGAATAATACACGTACATTGCATCCAAACTATAATTAATTTAAGTCTGTGTAATTGAACAGAGAGAATAAAAATAACAATTTGAAGTACAAGCGACGGAAATACAATCGATTTTTTTTTCATTTAAAATTCATTTTTTGTCTTGGAAATAGTTTTTCCATCGATATATTCATAGAATATTGAGGTACGATTTTGATTTTAGCAGCGAATAGTTCTTAAGCTTTTGCCATGACTACAAAAAATAGATTATTTTCTGTTATACTTGATTTGAATTTTTATTTACTTTAAATTTTCCATTGTAAACTTTCGATGTGCGATAAGCTTCCTTACATCAACATCAATTTTCAAAGTTAATTTCAAACATCAAAGAACCACGTGCCCCTCGATTTGGTATATGTACGTTTGATAGCGGATTTGACCGCCTGGTTCTTTCCAATATGGTTTGTGTAATGGTGTCTTCAATCCAATTTATGTGATGTGCCACCCGAGTATAGATGCTTGGTAATGGGAAATCACAATTCAATTCAAATGAAACAATGCACGTTGTGCACATATTGAGTATTCAGTAGTAGCGTCCTTGTATTCACACAGAGCACAATCAGCTATTTCCTGGATATTAATCAAGCTATTCAGCAGGGACCAACTGAATTCAACTTTCAATACTTAATCGAGAACTTTTTTTCGTCAATAATTATTTTCAATTTAAAATTTGGTTTTTCGTTAATGGTTATTATTTAATTTTTGAAATTCAATTATTGTTGATGAAAATATATGCTGAAAATTATACTTTTATGAACGTTTAATTATATGATAATCAATTTTAGGTCCAATTAGCTGATCTGACAATCTTTGTTTCTTTTTCAAGTAAGTGACTATATTGTTGTGACCTAGAGAAAATGGAAATGTATAATTTAAAACTCCATTGAAAGTAGTTCTTATTCAATCGGAAATGTGCAAAAGTACCATTATCTGTAGCATATTGGAGAGACGTTTTATTCAGATCATCCTTAGCATTCACACGTGCTTTATATTTGATGAGATATTCGATTGCTTCTTTATGGCCTGAAATACAAGGATAGTTGTTGCTTAAATTCTACTAAAAATATTTCACATTTAATATGCAGAATTACCCTTCTCGGCAGCATAGTGTAGTGGAGATTTATTCTCGTCATCTGTAGCATTCACATGTGCTTCATATTTGATCAGCAATTTCATAACATCCAAATGACCTAAAAACCACGGTAGAAAATATAGATTGATTTTCATCGAAAGTTCGAAATAAAGAAATGGTTAGTGTGGTGTTAGGTCAAAGTTGTTTGCGGTATTTACATTTGCTCCATATTTGATTAAATATCTGACGGCTTCTGTGTGACCATTTTCTGCAGCAAGATGAATTGACGTCTCTCCAACATTATCTTCAGCATTTTCTTTCGCGTTATTTTCCAATAAAACTATGATTTCTTTTGTAAAACCTAAACAGTGTAAAATATGATTGGATTAAACTTTTTCTTAAATATTAATTTCCATTTTTAAGATGTGCGCACTTTTTTAAATTCATTTGGGAAAAGCAACAAGATATGAGATTCGAACCTTTCTCAGCAGCGTAGAAAATTGGTGTTCTATCTTCCTCATCCCTAGCATTTACATTGACTCCGCATTCGATTAAAGATTTGATTGATCTTATGTCATCTAAAAAGTAAAAGAAATTTTAACTGTTATTAATCTCACTTGAAAATTAACATAGAATTTTCCCAAAATTAAATGTCAATGTTACGCTCTTAACACTTTACCGCTGATAAGCTTCAAATTGATCATTGCTTCTATAAGACTCGAAAGATGCGATTTTCACTTAAATTGGAAATTACCTTTTTGAACGGCGCGAAATAGTTTTTTTTCTAAACAATCTCCGGCACGCACAGAACTCACTGATGAATCCAAAGACATGTTTAACAAATTTTTTGCTTATTTTGTGTCTTTTAAATAAAAATGCGTCTGATTTTAATGAAGCATACGAGATTTATAATTTCTTTACTTTACACTCCTCCTCATTTATGTAGATTTATATCCTTATATACTCGAACATTTATGTATGTTCTTCTAGATGTTCTTGAAAAAATAGAATTTTTGCGTTACAAACAACGATAAGATTATATTATCATAATTTTGGTCCATTTCGACTAAACAAAATCCGTTTCTACGTTAAACTAAATAATAGAAGCAAATCAAAGTGTTTGGCACAAATAAATAAAAAACACATAATGGTGTTTCATACATCGTTGAAAGGGTATTTCTGAGTAGAATCGAATGAAAAAGTACAATATACAAAATCAACACATTTGGTAAATGTGTCACAGATGAAAAAAAAATTGTAAGATTTTCTGTGTGGTGTGTGTCGCATTACTTGCTTTCGTGTGTAGTTTTTTTTTATTTTAAACAAACAGCGATATTATGTTCATCCAAAACACTCGTCACACTAAAACAACGAAAGCGACAAAACATAGCGAACGTCGGAAGCAACAACAGCATTATAACGAAAGAAGTTCACTCGAGTTCAGAATATTTTATACCGTTGTGAGTTTATGTTGCGTTGACAAACAATCATCGCCAAAAATGGACGATTGATTCAATTCAATAGTGTTTCTTAGGCTTTGTTTTCTTTCTCATTTATTATTAACAGCAACATAACAAAAACAACGGTTACAACGAAATATGACAAGAATATTTGAACGCATTGTGTCCATTGTTTATTTAAAGACAATTTCAAATAAACATTGGAAAGTGGATTAAATAAAATCTGAATTTGAAAAGGAAAAATAAATAAACTAAATTTGTTCAACCACTCTATATCGCATCCCTCATTCAATAAATTCACTCAGCGATAATTGTCACAGCAACTTTGTCATTTGTATAACGGTCATCCATCATGAGCCAGAAAAACGGCATCAATTGGTTTATCGTTGAGAGCAAGGGACAGCGAAGAGAAATTGGGATAACATTGAATTGCCAAGCACACTGTATCTGTCAAAGTTTCAAATGCTTCAAAACACTTGTAAAATTTAATAAAAAAAAAACAATCAAATGGAGACGCCAAACAAATATTTCTCCTGCAAGCAGAACATTGAGGCGCACAATTAAGCTCAAAAAGTTTTCTATTTTTTTTTACGTTGTACCTAATCGTTTTCAATTCAACTATTCATCATATGAAGCACCGAAAGGTAAAACGGCAAAAATAGTCTATACTTGTTTCAAATACTCAAAGATTATGCAAATAGAATAACAAACTCTTTCGACAGATTATATTCTGCTCTATCCAATTCAACAATATGGTGATCAAACATCTATATTTTCGTTGTCAGACGGCTACAGAGATTGCTCTTATGCTTTTGAAGTAGTACCTGTTCATATGATATGTCGTGGTCCCCGCCAGAAAAAGAACAGCCGTCATCTATTGAGAAAATGGCAAATACTCTGTCATCTCTCAGATATAGGGAAAGTATCTCGGAAGTATCGAGTATGAAGAAAATTTGAAATAGATTTGTTTTTGAATAATATTACCTTGAAATCTGAATTATTTCAAATATTCGAAACGATCCGAGATGTATTCGAAATTGTTGCAAAAAGTCGACATTTCAGCGAATTCAAATAAAGGTGTGCTTGAGCGTGTCTTGCAAAAGGAATATGATGAAGCCAAAACCACAATTTCGTTGACGTACGAAAAGTAAGAAAAATGAGACTTTGTGTCAGTGAAAAACACATTTACTATCTTAATAAACATTTTGAAAAGACTTTCGATAATTCAAAGAGGTCAATCGCTCAATGAAATTAATGAGATTCGACTGTAGTACTGATTTCTTCTTACCAAAATGAATTAGTCATCTTAGTAAGTATTGATTACGAAATGTCCCATTGAAATTTGTATAAGCATTATCATAAAAGTGATAAGTTTATATTTTCATTTGACTTCCGTTGCATTTTTCATATCAAAATTTAGTTAAATTCAATAAATGTCCGTTAATTGTCACGCACGGTTTGATATGTGCAGAAAATGCAACACACAGACTCGCTTTAACTCTATTAAACTGACGATCATTATCTAATTGTTATGGATGGAGTGTGTAATTTGTGCATAACTGATAATTTTACAATCATTTTGCAGTACATTTTTCCGGTAATTATATGATTTGGTTTTGTGTTCGCATAAATGGAAGGGTGCATCATAAATATACCAAAAAAAACGATTGCAAAAATACGGCCACCGACGTCCAAATGAATTGACATCATGATGATAACTTTAATCATTTTGCTATTTCCACGTAAATAAACGTAACGAAATAGAAACAAAATGGTAGTGAATACATATGTTGGAATACAACTTAATAAATTGCTATACGTTTTAAAGCTTTGCGGTACCAGTTTAAGTTGTATTTGGATAACGAATAACACAGAAAAATACGTCCATTTTATAATTGGTATTTGTCAGTTTTGCACTCTACACACATTTTTTTTTTCTTCAGTGTGGTACTTATTTCGTTTTGATGCGAAAATCGTGAACACAATGAAGCGCTGATTAAATTAAATACAAAGAACGTTAGCGATGATGGGAACAAACACTAAAAGTAAACACAACCATTTTGAATCGTCGCAATAGAGCAAGTTTTTTTTCTACTCTCGCATATGTGCAAATATTAATAAGAAAAATAATGGATGCCAGTCTATAAATCCATATACTTTGAAAAATATATTGGCAACTTGTGTGAATGGCGATTTATTCAACGATATGATTGTGCATTTGAACGGAAATTTGACATTCGCCATATCATTCGCTAACCAGTTTACAGAAGTGAACTATTTTTTGTTTGCGTCCAATCATTGTAACGTTTCAAAGTCCATCTCATCCTCAATCGACCTTTTTTCTCATTAAGAATATTTGTGGCTGTTTTTTCTGAAACAAACGAAGGAAATAACAAAAAAAAAATCTAATAATTGAACGTTTCAACTTAATGAATGATAAATGAAGTAAAGCAACGAAGTAAAAGCGCTATTCACTTCACAACCAGCAAGAAGAAGATGATGAAGAAGAAGAAACACTTGTGAATATATCAATAAATTTTTGTTGTGACGATGACTCATGTGCTTTGTGGAAAGTTTTGATTATAATATCAACATTGCCAGAAAGCCAAAACCGAATGTATCTCATTCAAGCAGTGAATGGCATTTGCAAATTTTAATAGCAGAAAAAAAGAGTAGCAACAAACCGTGTACTGGCAGCCGTTGATAAAACAATTTCCATGAATGAAATGTGATTGTGCGATGTGAGCGATAAGGAAGTTCGACTTGTCTAATGCTTTTCACTTACACAGCCTTTAAATAATAAATGTAATGGTTTTATAATTTGTCGCATTAAAATCATTTCGTTTTCATATTTTTTTTCATCTGTTATTCAATTGAAAGTACGATTGCCTGCAGTTGATTTAAAAAGGGAACGATAAATTACACATCAATCGAATTACGTTCGTATCAACGCTTCGATAGAAAATGCATATTGATTTTTTTTCTTTCGAATTACGAAGATCGTTCAAGTTCATTTACTGTAGCTTATGTTGACTATGTTTTTTTTTTCGCTTGCATTTGAAATTCGATAGAATGACATGGTACTTTCGATGTTTACTCAACCCTGCTATGAGACAATTTGGCGGCAACGACGACAACAGTCACTGTCGAACATACAAACTTTTACAAAAGAGAAAGAAAGTGCCGTTTACAAACAGCGAAATGTAATGAATAGGAAAGTTTTTTTTTATGAAAGATATTTGTTTTCGCATATAAATCAACACATCAAGCTTGAGAGATTGCTGCACACTGCACACAAAACAAGCAAATAAATCATTCCATTGAAATTGTGAATTACGTATATTGGTTAATTTACGGGGTCTCTTTCGCATTTTAGACAAGCGTTCTCAGATTTGAGATCAAATGATTTGAAAATCAAATCACATTGCATTGATGATTTCAAAATGTTCAAATAAAAATATAAATTTCAAAATATTTTGTTTATTTTCTTTTAAATCATTCCCGTTTTAGGGCAAAAGCCGCAAAGTGATCAATCTTGTTTTAAAAATCAAATCAATGTGAAATAAAATGATTGGATTTGAATTAGCTGAAATATTGATGCGTGACAATTCAAATCAAATTATTTGAATGTTGTGATTTGAATATTTTTAAATCAAATTAATTTTTAGTACATTTAAGATTTATGTTTTTTATGAGAACCCAAAGATCCTAAAATCTAATAACAAAAAATAAACAGAATCACTTTGCCCACCTAAGATTTGTCTATTTCGAGAAATAGGTCCAGCAAAGGTCCAACATCAAAAATCATTTATTTTTATTTTTTTCACCTCATGTTTTGACCGAAATAGTCATTCTGTCGAAACATTTAACTTGTTCAATCTTATTATCTACTTTTTATCACTTTTTCTGTCAAAAAAAAAATCGGGATCAAATTGAATAACGATTAGATAAGAAAAATTTATCTAGGAAGACTGAAAATAGATCTAATTTACAGAGTAACACAGTATCTACTAATTGTATGCACCATTCTCAGAAATATTGGTAGCAATTTTTGAAAATGTTGCTTCGAATCAGTAGAGAGAGAGCGAGCAAAATACAATTCCGTAGAATCCCCAATCGAAGTTCGATCTCGCTAATAGACTTCACATTTTATATGTGTTTATGATTAGCGATTATCAAGTGATTTGCGACTTTCATTTTTTTCCAACAAATCTGCGAGCGCAAATCCTAGAACATCATTGTACAAATGCTCATAATTATAATAATTATATTATAGGTAATTTAGTAAGCAATAAATGTATTTTAATTGTTTTACGTTTGTATCGTTCATGCCATACATCGCCCACAAATACAGAATTTTATGTGAGCAAGAAAATAGCTTTTTTTACCATGGCCACGAGAGTTCCTTAAATTTGAAAGCTCATCTTTTCTGGTTTTATGGAAACACTTGGATTGTATTTAATGCGGTAGAATGACACTGACGTGGCCCAGCCAAGCGTTCAGAAAGACATACATTTATGCGAGCGATTGAATGATGCTTGCATCATTTGATGCGCATCGATTGTGCTGTCGCCATACATTTGGATCTTCGGCAGCGCACGAAGTGCTCCGAACGCACAACGAAAGCACTCGCGATGCGCATAAAATGATGCAAGCATCATTCAATTGCTCGCATGAATGTATGTCTTTCTGAACGCTTGGGCCCAGCAATTGCAAATTGTCAAATACTACATTTTTTTCGGTTTCTTTGCAAATTGCAATGATTTCTTCTTTTTGGCGCGTATGAATAAAGCCCAATTATTATTTATTGAAAGAAGAAGGAGAAGAAACAAATAGAAAATGTGCAGTAAATGAGTGATTCATCGTTACAGCTTTTCGTAATGCATCGTATCATTTTAGTAAATTTCAATCCGAAGAAAGATACTGTATGGAAATGATTAACGTAAACGCAAAATGATTTTACGAGCGTGATGATTTTTTCATTTTGTTTCGTTCGCTTGATTTCAATGCTAGTATAGATTGATGCAGATGATACGTGTTATCAAAGAAAGGGAAAAAGAGTGAGAACCAGAGAGGAGAGATAGAGGGAGGTAGTTAGAGAAAGAGAGCAAATTGAATTTAACATTTGAATATTGGGTCAAGAAGTCAACTATTTTTTCTATTTTTTTTTTCTAATATTATTTTCATCTTGTTATCAATAAATCTAAGCTGTGCCACGCTCATTATTCGTTCGTTCCATAGTGCACTATGTTCAACAACATAAAGTACGACAAGGTACAACATCGAATGTAAGCCGACGTCGTCAAATACATATGGAAATCTGGAATAAGCTTTTTATTTATTGTCAAATGCTCCCCACTTTCAAAGTTGATACCAAAACTGATCGTACAAACATACACATACGTGAACGCAGAGAGTACCGTCAACAACAGGCCACCACCACCACGACAACAATAAACGTTTCATTACAATCGTAAAACCTTATGCATCAGCATCTACCGCTACTTGTATTACATGTGCCGCTCACTATACACTCATTTTTATTTAAAAACACCGAATGGAGAATATAATTTAATACAAGCATAACAGCAGTTAGTTTCTGCCACGATTGTTATATTGCCAACGAAATTTAATATTCCGATCATTCGCTGCAGACGTTTCGTGACTATTGTATTGTACGAACGTAACGAAAAGCAATCTCTCTCCAAAAAAACTATACTTAAACCCATTCAATCCACTCTTAAGTGTTGTTGAGTGAATCTCGAGTTTGTTGTGTTTTCTAATAAAAGTTTTCCGTTTTTTAAAGAATTTTTTGTTTTGTTTTTATCTATCGATAAAAAAAGAGATTCGTTTCTTTTTGAAGAAGTCAATTATTAGCATTTTGTTTTTTAAAAAAATTAAATTGTGAGTGTGAGTGTTTTATTAGATGATTTTTTTTTAATTAAACAAAATAAAACAGAATAAGAGACATTAACGAAAATTCGTTGACAGTTTCTTGTGTCTTCTGAGAATTTAAAAAAACAAATCTACAAGAAACATGTGTTTTTTCACTCAATTCTGCAAAATCGAGTATTGACTTTGTTAATCATTTAAAAAGAGAGAAACATTTTCGGAGTTTTCTTTCCGGTTATGGTGTTGTTTGATTTAAAAATGAAAAAAACAAAATAAAATGTGAGATATGTATGTTTCACACTGCTTAATTCACTCGTTTCTTTTGCTACGATTCATGCTACGCTCAAGGCTAATCAGTATTCATGCACTCATTATAAAAGACAGAGAACATTTCATCACATTAAGTCCAATGGCATAAAAATTGAAAGTACAACAATCGATCACACAAAATCCTCCAAAACCGAATTCGAAAATGGTATGGTACTACATCCGATATATACTGGTAAACGAACTATCAGCATACATGATGAAATTGCATATCCACCATATTCATATTTAAAAATGAGTTAGAAGCGCAAACTCTGAATGTGTCTAAATTAAGGCGCCAAATGCATGCGGCTTGCTAGACTTTCTCTTTTTTTTCTGTCGTCGTTGTTATTCTGCCATATCAAAATGAAACTAAATAATAACAAAAAAAGAAGAATTTTCGAGCGTTGTTTATTCATTGATGTGGTGTGTTGACGATACGCTGATATTGCTATCATGTTGATGCTACGAATTCTTGTTGCGAAACACAAAATCGAGAGATCGTTTCATTACACATTGCGGCGTTATATTTTTCTCAACTTTGCCGTTGCTGCTGCTGCCATCGCTGCTGTTGTTTTTATGGTGTAATGTATTTGGCTCGGTTTTAATGTGTCGACGAATTCCACTTTGGCATTGCAGACGCTAAACGATAAATTTCAAAAGACGAACCTACTACGATGAAACTTTAGTGTTGTTTTTTTTTCCTTCTTCGTCATGATGAAGAAGAAGCAACGTGTAACGGCATTAAAAGACCGAAAACCAGCAACAACATTGAATTGCGAGCGTTTGCACGTCGTCTCAATTTTTGCGTCTCTTGAATCGTGAGATTCATACCTATTTCCCATTTTTTTTTTCTCTTCTGTTAATTGCTGTTACATTTTGCAGTGCAGAATTTTACCATTCCATTTTCATAATTTGCAAATACGATCCGATGCGCACACCGTCAAGTTGCAATGTGTTAATACCATATTTTCATAATTTTTTTGCAATCGATCAGGTATGCAATATAAATTAGAAAATTCATCAAGTAAATATTGAAAAAAAAAAAAAAACGAACAGCAATAAACAAATGAAGAAAAAAGCCAACGACGGCACGGAAAGTGAAGATTGAAATAATTTCGAACAAAACAAAAAAGAGAATGGAAGAACTACAGATCGAAGTAGAAAAAGAAAAATAAGTATAGTACACGAAAAATTGCATTTTGTGATCTAAATACAAGCGAAAAGATGTCTTTGTCTTGTCTACTACACTTGATGCGGCTATGAATATCGGAACTACCATTCTTAGCGATCGCGAAAGAAAGATCCGACTATGTTTTTTTTCTTTCTTTCGTATTTAAATGTCAAACAAACAAAGTCATTCTCATAATCTAGTATATATTAGGGTAAAAGACTTCATTGTTTCATTTTCGTTACTTGGAGGCTGTATTTCATTGCAAACATTTTATTTTGTTGCATTTTTGTTGAATTGCGATTAAAAAACACATACATACAGAGATTATTAAGAATTCGTTTTTTTTTTTTAAATAAAAACCCACATCGAAATACAACGCTGATAAAAAAAAAGACAGAGAAAAGAAAATAACACAAACTCTACTCTGAATATATACTAAAAAATCAAGGCATATTAACAGATTTATATGATGGAAAAAGAACAACACGATTCAATGGCAACTGTACAAATGACCAAGGCCGATTATGCTGCCAGTGAAGTGTACAGTACAACAAGCGAAGCGCCACCGGTAAGTCACTTATTTTCTTTAACATCATTGACATTATATTGGAATTGATTGTGCAAAAATTAAACAAAAATCAACGAAAATTTAGATTCCACCATCTAAAACAAGCGAATTTTGATTATAATGAATGCGAAACTTCGGATCAATAAGCAGAAAAAAAATAGTCGAATTCAAAAATCATTGTAACGCAAATCATAAATTTGTTTTGAATGATCTTTTTGTTCGTTTATTTTAAAGAAAGACTGGGACCTTTCGATCGAAATAAACTTTTGTCGATTTGAAAGGTATTGCATGGCAGGAAAAAAAAACAGTTTGCCCACTGTGATTCAGGGTATAAATCATATTAATGTGTGAACAGTTTTTTTTTATCACCGTTGTTTACATTCTGTGTGCAATATGAACGGATTTGTCATTGAAATATTGTGCATCGCAGTTTAGATCAGTACGTAACTTGGTTGGCAAACAACTCAATAAAATTTCATCATATGCGAATTTTACTCTATTATCTGGATTATGAAGTGAACAAACATGTATATGCATGAACGCACATTATTACTAACAAAAAAGCATAGCACATGGAAAACGACGATGCAGTGAATAATCTTTTTCTTTTATTTAAGAAAAAATGCAACATCAGAAAGAAATATAATTTACTAACGCCTAACGAGTAAAAATTCAGATAGAGAGAGGGGGGGGGATATGAATGCATTTAAGATGCATGCCAATTCAAAAATGAGCAAATGAAATGAAGAGGAATCTACATCGTGTCGTTTTATGCGAGAATACAGATTTGCTTGCGTTTATGTGCATTTGATGGTTTTTTTTTCTCTTAAAAAAAGCACAGTCATTGCAATAATCAGCCAACTCAAACGCTGGAGATTTAAGCGTGCAGAAAAAGCAAGACCAAATAATTGGCATGCACTGTAAAAGAGAAAGAGACATCATCACCTCCAGCGCCAGCGCATTTTCTGTTGTTGTGTTGCCTTTACACCAAATCCATTTACTGAGAAAGCTATATTAATATTGTGAAAATGACTTGAAACAACAACAGCACTATAAAAACAACACTACTAAAAACAACTATGATTTAGAGATCAGTTCAGCAGAAATAGAAAGAAGCAAAAATAACGCCAAGAACACTATATCTGAACACAATACCGCACACAATTTGCATATTAAATTAGCCCAGAAATTTCATTTTTTTTTTGCTTCTCTATTATTCTATTTATCTCGATAGTGTGTTTTATTATTAATTCGTGTGTTTTTTTTTCTCTCCGCTCGTTCGTTTGTTGTTTAATGTTTTATTTTATTCACTCGTGCCATTCTCGTTTCTCTTTTGGATGTGTTGTGTGTGTATGTAGAAATTTGTGTGGTTTAGCACCTTTTCAATCTGCACCATATGATCATTACATTCTCTTTCTCTCTGGCTTTCGTGAATTGTGGCAACACATTGGTGCGGCTGCTGCTGCTGCTGCCAATTGTTCTTGTCGAACACATACCAAAATGATTCCAATGAAATTACCAAGTGTACCACCAAATTCACCGTTGGTGTCGAGTGAATGGTAGACGATTATCTTCACGTTTCTTTCTTTTAAACACGATTTTATGGGCAAAAAACCACATTATTTATTTAGTTTTTTTTTTGTAAGATGGGTAACCGAATGCATTTTTTATCTTAATTCATTTTGATACATGGGCGTTATTTTGCGCTTGAAACTACATTTCAAGTTTTAACGCGTTCGCGCGTCTCAAAAAAGAAAAATTGAAGAAGAAAAGATGATGAAGAAAAACAATACAAAATTTACATGGAAACCAACAAACGATTACGATTGCAGAAATGACAATAACCAAGTGCACGCAAACACGATCATATCGTCGAATTGTTGCTTAGCTAGACGAAAAACAACATCAGCTCTCTCTCTCTCTCTCTCTCTCTCTCTTTCGCTCCCCATCTGTGTTCACAACCATTCAATCAACAATGGTTTGATCGTGCGCAATTTATTTTGATGATTAACAAATTAAAGCGAAATTTGGCTGGCTTTGATCGCTTCAGGTATATAAAACTTCTCGCAAGAGTGGGATAGAATAAGAAGAAAAATGAAACACAAGTTCAAATTACCTTGAGTATCACAATGAATCAATGGATGATTTATAGTAGATAGGCTTTTTCGTTTTTTTTTTATATAAAGAACAAATTATGTGCCATGTTAATCTGCCCACTTAATGAAATCCAACCAAGAGAGCAAAATATAGCTGTTGTAATCAAATTAGCCTACATCAAAGTCAATCTACTGACTTTTATCGTAGCTGTGTTTGATTCCTCTCTCTCTCTCTCTAGATCTACCAAAATGACGATCAATCTTTACGTATAATTGTGTGATTTGTTGACCAATTCGAATTATTCGTTTTTCGTCTTAACTCATTCACCCATACCAGATTGGCACAAATCACACCGGTTCACAAGTGACATTTGTTATTTGAGACGAAATCAGCTCCAAAGACTGTGAAGAAAGTGTCATATTTAAAAAAAAATAGCGAAAAAAAATGATTTGTCCTCTATTTAACCCTTTTGAGACTGTGTTTTAGAAGGTTTTTCATGCTGATGTCATGCACATATACATACCAATCCATTAATAATAAGAGACACTTATTGCTTAACACTTGATTTCGTGACTTTGGTTCTTTGTCTCTCACCTGAATGAACATGTTTTCTAGTTTTTGCTATTCATCGCAAATGAGACCAACAACCAAAATAATTCATCTTTTGCAATTGTTTGTCCAATTGGTGCGTGATTAAACAATTTGGACTTTTGTTCTAGTGGCACGTTTTATTTAAAATATCGAATGCGCGCAAACATCTGCAATCATTTAACGTTGCGATCGCAATATTCAAAACGCTTTTTTTACTATTTGTTAGGACACACTAATTTTTTTTTTTTCCTCCATTTTTTTCTCTATAATTGAATGGGATACTTCTATTCGCGATATGTGTTTATTTCGTTGCTTCTGCTGTTCTTCCATAATAATAATTAATTTACAATTCAATGGGCTGTAAACATAAGTCGAAATGTGATCGTGTTGTGTGTGCGAGCTTGTCGCTTTGGACCGTCAAGACTTTTATTTCAATTTCATTTCGATTGTTTCTATTATTGTAATTGCGTTTTTAATAAATGTTATATGTGTCTTAATGCGATATGGTCGCTTATTTTCGAAGCAAATAATATAATAATAAATAAAAACCAACGAAATAACTAAATAAAAAGCCAGCACTTCATATTTCCGGTATGGTGTACACACAGGTGAAACAAAGATAATATGTGTTTTTGTTTTATTTTTTCGTTGTTTTTCGTTTCTCTTGAAACTAAAATAAAACAAAAGCGCGTCTTCGCCACCTGGCTTGGGGAAAAGAAATAGGAGACAGCGACATATGAAAAACATTCACGACACCCATAAGTGTTCAGTGTGTTCACTTATGGCAATCGTTACATAGATTTGTTTGTTTTCTTTACCGGTTTTTTTTTCTCTCTTCTGTTGTGCATACATCGGATTGGCATGCATAAACTTTCTGACTTTTTTGCAATTCACTTCATGATCTTTATTGTTTGTCGCTATGTGTATGTGTGTATCATGTCATTGTTTAATCCATTAGGTTCGCATGCATTTATGCTTTTGTTTTCTAATTCACTGATGATAACACGTACATGTTCCGTGCGCACATACACTGTTTTTTTTTTTTTGTTCCATTCGTCCAACTGATTACCAAGTAAAAACTTTTTATAACCACTGTTGCGAATATCCAAACAATACCATAATCTAACATGACACAAGATTCCATGGTTTATATTTAATTTTATAGCATTTTAACCGTATGAGTGGCGTTTTTTTTACTCTGTTCGAAATCATAACGGAAGTTTCATCTCTATATCTCTATGTCAACGTCGCGATCCATCTCATCACCGGACTGAAAAACATATTCTGTGGTGGTTTTTTATTCTGCTTTATATGGATTTGCATCGTTTGGGTTAAAGTTTGTATTGCTGACTTTTGGGTTAGCAAGTCAGTGATTTATGAGATATAATCGTTAAAAACAAATCGCCTATCCAATTAACTGTAGATTTAGATTTGATGCTTAAAAATGCGGTTTTCTATTTTCTTGTCGGGTCCAATTTCCGTAAGACTCTATTAACCAACATACCATTTAACCATTAAACAGTTTTATATATACATAGTTTTTGCATTACGCATAGCGTTGTGCAAAACGCTAAATTCGTTTCCGTTTCTAAAGACACATAGAAAAAGACACTGTGTGCCTATATGTTTATTTTTTTTTATGTAAAGGCATATAACGCAAAGCTAAAAAGAAAAAAAAATACAAAAATAAAACAGAAACGCATGCATTTTACATGCTTGTGCTAGCACAATATTGACAATAGCGAAAATGCGTAATTGGTACGCATGAAACGGCATGGTTTGTGTTCTGTTTTTTTTTTCCCTTTTTTAAATATATATTCGGTGTTTAAGCACCATGATAATAAATTGGACAAAATTGATGGTTTACGGCACAGCATTCAGTTATTGTCTACTTTAGCGAATGATAATAATTGCACAGCGCTGGAAAGCATTTGTACACGGCATTCAAAATTTTGTAAAAAAAAAATTATGACTAAAATTTTTTTAAAGATAATTAAATGCGCTTTAAAGGAAAATGCTTTTGGGCAATTTGTTTGTGGAAGCATTGCTCAGATTCACATAGCAAAGATCATCCATTTCCACAATAACGCTTGTCATCCATAAATGCAACACACATAAACATGCATTTCGTGTCAATGGACAAACAAGAGTCACATGAGTTCAATGACGGTGCTCTGCCAGAAAAAAAACACACCACAAAACGGCAAAGAGCACCACTGCCACCGCTGCTAGCGGCACGATTTTCGAACAAAAAATATATATATATCTAATAAAATCAACGTAAACAAGCATGTAATTTTATGAAATGACGT